CGCGAGTAAGAAAATTAACTATAACTTAGTTATTAGAGACTTAAGGTACTTTTAGCGCAGCCCTCCTATATACCCCTCTGCTAATTAAGATTAGATTAAATGCGTTAGGTAGAGGAATTTCTTTGTGCGTTAGTAGATATAGACAATTAACAAATCCTAACTATTTTTTGCTATTATCCCAACTAGACTAACAGCTCTGCAGAAGGTTATGTGTCTAGTTTTAAAATACTAAAGAAGAGGATTATTCCGCGAGATAACACGCTTAGTATAGTATAGCTTATTAAGCATAAATAGTGCGCAGAGGCAGGAAATATACTTATTAGAAGTAGGTTATTGTTACTTAGAAATCTATGCACATCTAACCCAAACTAGTTTGTAGGAGCCCTTAATTTAAGCTACGTGCAAGGCAGGCTGTTAAGTCCCTTCCCTATAATATTAACCTCAAGAATAGTGTATTTCAGCCCAATAAAACTTAAGCTAGCAAGCTATTAGGCTTTAGATACTGCAAAGGTAGCGGCAAGGGCAAGGGCATAGAAAAGATTATTAACTATGTCAAGGCTAATAAAAATGTGTAGTTATAGATAGAAAAATAATAAAAAATACAAGTTATTTGCCCTACTTTGCTTGCGGGCCTTAATCACGCTAATAGGCATGCTAGATAGCGTCCAAAGCTTAGCGCTTATTAAGTCTAGATAGCTAATAAAATTAATAAGGTATACAATTTAGCGCTTTTGCTACGTTTACGCGCTTAGTAAAACGCTACGCATATGCATGTATTGCGCTATTAAGAACAATTGCTAATCGCTGCATGCAATAGCATTAGCTATCTATTTCCCTATAGTTTAGCTACATGCAAGGTTTCTATTTGCTGCCTAAAAACTGCATACCTATTTTAGTAAATAGTTCGCGCAAGTCTTGTGTAGTATATATCTAGCTTATGCGTCCCTACCTTAAAATACCTAAGTACTAACTGCACAGGTTGCGCGCAGCATTAGAAGAGCAATTAGTTGTCTATAGCGTTAAAGCGTTTCTTGCTAAAAAGGGGCTTCTTATAAGGGACTATAAGGGCTAAACTCTGCAAACTGCGCGGGCTATTTCCCTATTAACCTAATAAGTTAAAGGTTTGCGGTCCTGTCGCGTTGCCTTGCAGTAAACCCTAAGAGAAATAATAACCTAGCAGTAGTCCAACTTATATAGAAGTATAGCCTATATAGTCTGCACTTTCTAGATTCTCTAGTCTTGTAAGGCCTGCGATCCCTTGCAGTAAACTATTTAGGTAAATATACTAGCTATGCACTAGTGCAGCAAATATAGGGGAGTAACTTGCACAGTTTATACCTTTTAGATTCTCTAGTCTTGTAAGGCCTGCAATCTCTTGCAGTAAACTATTTGGGTAGATATACTAGCTATACACTAGTGCAAAGTATATAGGAGAATAACCTACGCAGTTTGCAGGTCTAGGTTTTCTAGCCTTATAAAGCCTGTAATCTCTTACAGTAAACTATAAACCGCGGTTATAACCTAAGCGCCTGCATTTTTAGAGTACACTATAAGAGCTTGTAAACAGCCTAGGCTATACTGCGTAAATATATTTGCTCCTACTAATTACTATAAGGGCAAACTTCCTTATTAGTATTGCGCGGAAATATAAAACAGTACTTAAAGTATAGGTTAAAGCGTTTAGATTGTCTACCTTAAACTAAATTGTGCTGCATTAAGGAATACAACAATCTACTTGCCTAAGTAGCGCAAGGACTGCCTAATACTAAGCTAAGACTTTAACACAGACTAGAGGTCCCTGCTTATTCTGTGTACTATATACCTAGCTATCTCTTCCTACTATAAACTCTTTAAGAATAACATCCTCGAGCATATAGCTATAGCGGTAGTATAACAGCTTAAGATTATATATAAGCGCCTTATAAGTAACACAACGCTTAGCATAGTTTTCTAAGAAGTTTATATAAAGGAACTCTAATTATGTAGGCTTTCTTAATATCCTTTAAACAACTAGGTCTGTCTAGCAGACATGTAAGGGACGTTGGAAGATTATAGTAAAACAGTTAAGTTGGAAATTGCAGAAAAATAGCTTTACTATTTAGATATATATGCGCTTAACAATTTACAGACTTCTAATGCTAACACTATACACAGGGAACTAAAACAGGACTATCTATAGTATTATGTTTATAATGCTTACTTCTCTTTAGTGCCTCGCGCTATTAAGTCTTTAGCATTGCAAGGTAACTCTAAAGGCGCACAGGCAGCGTTTAGAAAAGCAGTAATCTTGTTTATCTATTTTTTAATCGCATTAACGTCCTTTCGCAGGTTTCTAGCTACTTTTAACGCCTGTTTAATTTCTCTACTTTAAGTTAGCATATAGAATTAACTTCTAACACAAGAACTAACGTTTCTAGGTTCTAGACCTTTGTGTCTGTATTACGTCTTAGTTTCTAGACTAATCTAATAACTCTGTCCAAGTCCTCCTAGATTAAGCTTATAAAATTACTTTAGACAGCGCTATAATTAGCTGAAACTAGCTTGTATAGAAGTGTTAGCTTAGGGTAGTAATTTGGTTGTAGGAGGTAGTTTACTGCAGGGAAAAGAGGTTAATTATTAAAGTAATCTAGGTTGCAGCTAAGGTCTAGGGCAGCATTTAAAGCATGCTCCGAGTTTGGTTAAAGAAAGAATAGACTAATAGTTAGATTAAAGTAGAATATACTATCCCAATTCTTGTCTTTGGAGTTCTGTAAGAAAAGAGACATTTTGATATTATAGTTAGTAATAAGGTTATGTAATAGTTATTAATAAGAAATAAAGGAGGAACGAAGCTGTAGATATAGTAATACATAGCAAGTCTAACAAGCAATAACACTTTAAGCACCTATTATTATACGGCTAAAATCTAAAATTATATAACCCTTATATCTCTGTACTACCTTATAACTTAGCCGCCGTTGCTGCGCACTAATGTTTGAAACACTTATATAGTACTAGCTCTAGAAATAGTTCCAAGATACTATAGTCTAGATCTTGTGTTAGGTACTAATGCTTTAACATAATTAGCATACTTTTAAGGTATAAGCAGGGCACCTATAGGCTTTTTAAGCTTAGCAATAGCTAGCACACCCTTGTTAAACATACTGTCGACGAAGTTAACTAGGAGCTTAAAGCCGCTCTATTGCTCTCTATTCTCTAAACTAAATATCTTGTTGGATTTTCTAAGACGCCTTACCTCTACAGGATCCTTTAGTTTCTCGTTTGTCCTTCTGTTTATGCACTTGAGAATTACTGCTCTAAGGCATTTAAGATTACGGTTTGGAGTTAGCTTAGTTAGATTCTAAATAGCCTCCTTAAAGTTTGCTAATTAATGTAATTAGTTAGTTGTTGCATGTCCCAAAATACGGCTTATATAGGAGGGGCTTTCCCCTAGGACAAATTCTTATTATTGCAATTAATATCGAATTGTGTACAATTTTAGCAAAAGCTATGTGCTTTACAGCAAGGAAGATCTATAGGTGTTAGGGTATTATCTTAGATAGTTAAAAACGAACCTTACTAAGCTAGCTAATACGCAAATATGCGCTTCCTCAAGCTATATATAATACGTTAAGACTTCTGCAAGGCTGCAATAAGCGTATTCTAATTAAAAATATAACAACGTCTCCGTCTCAAATGCTTGCTTAATAGTTAAAACATATAGATAATCTAATAGCTTAGTTAATACTTTAAGTTCTTTTTGGCCTGCTTTAAGGCTTATCTCTTTTACTATTACTAGCTGGCCTTGTTAGATGCATATAATCTAGATATACTCCCCTTTAGTTAAACTTCCTTGCTAGTTTAAGGTCTTCTATAAGCTCCTACAGATCTCCTTAAATAGAGATAAAAGCTGTTTATTATTCTGCAGTACTTTCTTTAGTAGTGCTGCTTTAGTAGGCACTTATGGCCTTAGGTATTGCTAGAAAGCCTCCTTAATTGCTTCTAAGGTTATTGTTGCAGATAGGATAGTTTGCAATAGGGTAGTAGGGTATATCTCCAAAAGAGTGTATAACAAGAATCTGCTACTATACTGTTAGAAGTTAGTATACTTAAACTAGATCTTAGGCGAGTGCGCGGTTCCTGTAGTTAGTTATAGCTATACACATTGTTAAACAGGAACGTAACTAAGAAACCGCGGGCGTATATCTGGATAAGGATTTAGGTCTATATGCTTGCGCATAAAAAGTCCTTGCAAACGCTCCTAGATATAGTCTATCTTTATTGTATTGTTCTTATTTATACTCTTTTATTCTTACTAATACGAGTTTCTACGCATAATAATAGCTGTAGTAGAAGTAACTTAGCCCTCCTTAGTCTAGTCGCGTTATAGGCAGAACAATACAGCTAATTAAACTGCAGAGGCCTACACTCTAACATAGCCTGCACTACTGCTAACACCTAGCAATAGCGTTGCTGCACAACTTTAGCTGAACCTCTATCTGCAATTATCGCAGATCTTAGAGTAGGAGATTTAGAATTACAACTAAACGCGTGCTAGACTATGCTTAGAACTTACTCGTTGTACTAAGTTAGAGGCCTAAATCTAGAAAGCCTTACACGATCTCGCACAATGGCAAGAGACATGCTAAATAGTGTATAGAGCACTTAATAAGCATCGCAAGGAGAATGCAAACCTAAAGCTTAACTTAGAAGCTGCTACTTCTAAGCTTTGTTGCCTCAAGGAACAGCAGCAGGTACGCTTTATTATTTAAGTGTTGTTTTAACTAAAGCTTATTTTGGTCTTCTAGCCTTGCTCCGTCTATTACGAAGCTACGGCCGCTGTTAAAGGAGAAATTGCAATAGGAAATAACGTGCTGCTGAAAATTGAGGAGGCGGAGGAAGTGGGATTGTAGCGTCTAGGGTTTATTCGAGATATTAAGCAGCATTTTAATAACCGCAGGAGCGTATAATCTGTTGTGGAAATGAAAGCAGATAGAGATACATAGGTGTAAATAAAAATCTACATGTTTATTAACTAGATTAATCCGGAAAAAATGTTCTACTGAGCTACCTATTATTACATTGCAGTAGCATAGTCCTTGTTACTTCTATCCTCCTTAGGCTTAACTTCTGTCCCTGTTAACTGACGTAATATGTTCTGGAACTGAAGCATACTCTTACCTAGCTTTATTACAAGCTTTCTCTTATTGCTTAACGTTACTACTTTATAGAGTTTGCCCGAGATACGTAAGTAACTCTGGCGCAACTCTACTACGTCTTTATAGCTTAAGTAATCTTGTAGAAGCTAGTCTTTAGCTAATTGCATCCTGCTGTTGAATCTTTGCGCACCCTTTACAGCATTTATTGTTGGTAACTCTATTAGTTCCTTCTACTGGACCTGTACAGGCTTCTAATATTTTTCCCACTTTTCTACATTTCTCTGCTTGATCGAGGCCTACGAAACTATGTTGGTTTTAGTCCTCTAATAGGACGTTCTTTTCGGCCAACGCAAGTCGCTATGTTTAGTATTGCTGCTAGGAGTGTGATCTGCTATAGCAACGTCTTTGTCTGCATCTTGCAGTGGCTTATCCTTGTTGATTATAATTAGCCTTGCAAAAGTACTAGGTTCTGAACCGGGTGCGTCTCGATCTATTAATGGAGGATGTTGGGTAGGCGACAATGTGCTATGAACATTAGCTGGCGACTCTTAGCTGCTAGTAATCTCTTGCTGATCTGTATCTAAGAGTCCTTTAATTAATGACTTAGTGCTTGCAACGTAATGTTCTTGCGTAGATCCTGAATATTGTGGAAGTAATAGTTGAAGACGGTTTTCCTTGTTGCGATCCAATATCTGCTGAGCGGAAGAAGGATAGTCTAGATCCTGATCTTCTGGCACTCCTATTAATTTACTCTAAGCCGCCGAAGCCTCTTGTTCTTTAGTATTGCCGCTAATATGGCATGTTTTGGAGTCTATCTGTTGTAGGGCTTGAGGCTCCGCTGTTATATTGAATCGGGCACCCTAGTTAGCTTCAAGTTAATCTGGCAGAGTCTGAAACGCACGCTGCTTACACGCTACTAATTCTGTTTGTTCGGAAGTTTGCTGGAACAGTTCTAGCGTTGGAAGGATATTATCCGTCTTAGTTTCTTTATCTGGAAGGGCTTCTGCTATTGTGTGGTTAGGCGCGTGTTTTGGAACTTAGTGGGCGTAGAGCGCATTGTCTAAGCACTAGCCCTGTGCTAAGGTTGATATGCTAGTAACTTTAGAGATAGTTAAGCTGGTAGTGCATGGTGCGCTCTGCTTCTTGATTAAGTGCTTGCTTGGGGCGGAGCTCTATATAGTAGTAATTTTGGACATAGTTAAAGTTGTAGTACTTGGAGTGCTCTTATCCTCTTTAGGGCCGGAAGTAAAAAGATGAAGAGCTTCCTCTATTATCTCGCTAACATCTAGTAATTGCATGGGGAGAATGGAATGCATAGTGTAGTATGTCTCTCTTCTTGCTGGGAAGTCTGCACATACTTATACATGTTGCTTTAGGCTACGACGAATTGCTGATAGTTCTATTTCTGTCCCTTTTGGCCTTACGGTTAATTTATGCTGACATGGGGCACACTAGAGGGCGTTTAAGTACGTACTGCTAGTAGCTTGTATTATGGCACTCTGAGACTACCGAGCTGCACTGTGGATTTAGCTGCACACTATCTTATGCTCTACTAAAGCCCCTATTAGCTTTGCATGGGGATACAAGAATAGTTGCATGAACATATTGCCGCTATAGTGTCTATGTTATCCTGCGCCGCTACCTTGGGGTTGACTATTTAAGGCACCTAATTTATGCTGTCTGCATTATTGGCTCTAGTAGCACTGTGTAAAGGGCTACTATGCTATTATTAGTTTATGTAACCTATACGGAGGAGTTCAACTCTATTGTATGAACATATTGCTGCTATGGTGTCTATGTTATCCTGCGCTGCTACCTTGGGGTTAACTATTTAAGGCACCTGACTTATGCTGTTTGCATTATTGGCTCTAGTAGCACTGTGTGAAGGGCTACTATGCTACTATTAGTTTATGTAACCTATACGGAGGCTTGTATTGGCTGCAGCGAACATTTCCTGGCTTTATAATGGGGGGGCTGTGGGAGCTTGTTGGTGTTAAAGTTGTGCTGCTCCTCTCTGACAGGTCTACCTCCTGGAGATTACGCATGCATATTTACTAACGCGGCGTTATAAGCGTTGTCCTGAAGGGTAGCGTGTCTTAGCATGCAGAACCTAGTACGGTGATAGCGTGCTCTGACAGCCCCTGATCTGGCTAGGATCTGTTAAGGACATATAAGCTGTCTAGGTAGACACAAGCAGTAGATTAATGGAGTCCTCTCAACATAGGAAATACGGCCTTGATGAAATCTTCTGAAGGTAAGTAAGGCATGTGTGACCCTAATAATAAGAGCTAACAGTTAAGCAGTAGACAAGGTCTTTCTTTTACGATTGAGTGGGATAGTACTGAGAAATCTGCTACCCTTGTCTTGTTGCCTTGCACTATTACTAACCTCCCCCAAGAATATATTTGCGGCATCTACCCTTTACAAGAGTCTATATTTAATGCTAGCTTATTAGGAGATGCTAGCGTCCTTATCTACGCTTACCTTGGACACCTTCTTGACACAGAGGTCCAGGACGATCTACTACATATCTCAAGCCCTCCCGCGAAATTGCTTCTAGCCCTAGCTTTTTAAGATAGACAACTTCTGAGGACACTGCTGCGTCTGAGCTAGATGCAAGACTAGAATAACTTAGATATACGTTCTATCGCTTTATGCTCTGCTATTTTAATAAAGTCCACAGGCCTTTATATCCAAGTGGAGTTTGTGGATTAAGTTATGTTAGCTAAGCGAATCCTTGAGTTTCTAGCTAGTTGTAGAGCGCCCCTGCACGCTGTTATTTACTCTTTAAGTGCAAAGCTGCAAGGGAGTTACTCTACTGACACTATCTGTATAGATATTGAAAGCGCATTGCACTATGCTTACGACCATTTAAATGAGGTAGAGGTGTGCTGGAAAAGCGATGTTGTGCTACTTAACTCTATTATGTTCTGTTCTCTTTAGAAGGAGTTCTCAACACTTTATTAGATAGCTATTAACGCAATGATTGCTACAGGTATCTGGATAATGCGGCATGTCTTATTAGTACTTTATGTATTAAGCAGTGTCTAGTCTACTAGCATCTACAGCCTTGTCTTTTGGGGATGAACCTCCCTGCTAATTCTGCAACAGTGCTTTTAAGTGACCTCGCTTCTAGACAATAAAGGCTAGTAATGCTATAGTAATAAGAATTGTCACAATTAGACTAATTAGTACAGGCCTGTGAAGCCCCCCTCCTTTCGAAGCTCCCTGTAAGGACCCTCTAGGACTTGAGGGTGTTATTTTGCTGCCTATCCTTACCCTCTGCTGCTTATTAGTTCTATTTGTAAGAAGCAGCGTGATGACTTACTATAGTGAGCCTTTAGAAGGCGTTTGAGGGTTGAATGAAATGCTTTAATTAATTGAAATTGGCGTGGGCGCTGCTTTCCTGACGTTTCTAGGAGAGTTCCAGCTTTCTCCAGCTTCTGCTTGGAGGTGAGGTTACTACAATTATAAATTAGTAAGTTTAACAGGCTATTGGAGGACTTAATTACATGTATTAAGGTAGCTCGTTGCTGAACTCTTCCTGAGAGTTCTTTGCCGCGGTTTTAGGAGAGTAGCTTAAGATTATCTAGCACATGCTTGTTTGGTATATCTGACAGTTGGGATATTTGTAAGCATCTTTATAGTTTTCCCCTTGTGCTAAATACCCGTAATATAGCATGAATTATAGGCTCTAGAATTTGGCAGAATCCTGAACCATCCTAATGTGAACCCGTTTGCTGTAGTTCGGGGCACTATTTAAAGTCTGGGGCGATGTTATATATAGGGCTGTGCTGCCCCCTAAACAGTAAATAGGAATAGAGGAGGGCGTTTTACCTTTATGCCTGCAAATTTACTTGGGCATTTGTTGGACAGCAACTACATGCGCGTTGGGAGATATGTACACATGCATTATAATAAAAGAAGCTTAATTTACGTAACTAGTTTATAATTTAGAGTACTGTATTTAAACTAACTTGGACTCCTATTAGCACCTGGAGCATTCCTTGTAATGCTTATAGTACAAGACCCAGACCTGCTTATTATGTTAGTACTATAGTTAAGTGTATTAGCGTGACTTACCTCTTTATCCTAAAAGTAGTTGTAAACTAGCATATCTCCTTTATGCTTAATTGTAATAAATACTCGTGTTTTATTTAGCAGTATGTAGCATTTAAATGCTTAGACACTACTGTTAGTGTAAGGCAGGGAATAACTAAATAGATTATAAACGTAAAACCTAGTATAATAGAACTGTTAAGAGTAAGTACAATTTTAAGAGGACATAATATACAGACTTACGTTCTTTAGAGCCTTGTATATATAGTGTATAACTTTGGGAAACCCGAATAGCAGTTCAAAGGCGTTATCTTTGCTGCTACGTTCTATACACTAATAATAGCACCTGTGCACGCGGAAGACTAGGAGCTGCAGCTTTTCTAGGAGCACGGCCTAGTTATTAGTAGGTGCAACTAAATTATTATGCACATCTATGTACATTAGCGGCGTGTCGCTAGGGTCTGTGTACTTGGGCTAATAGGGATTTAAATGTACTATTTCTAGAAAATTTATAGTAACTAAACACTTAATTTCTGTATTAGATAGCGTTTGTAGAATTGGAACATAGTAGGTTTGTTCTAACAGATTACCTTGTAGGCTATCTATTTAAGACAGTTCTTGTGCTAGGGGTAGAGAGTATTTGGCATTAATAACGCTAGATGCATAGACTAGATGTTCTTGCATTGCTGCTGTATACTATTCTTGTTAGAATTAACACGTTTTAAAACAATTAATGCAACTTATACTTAGTTTAGAAATAGTTAAATTATAGACCTGTACATCTCTAGGCCTCCTAACTTCTATGTATACGCTCGCGCCTAAGGACTAGAAAAAGCACCTAAGTAGAAGGAAGAGAACGTCTTCTTTATGCAGCAGTTTAATCTTGCGTAGAGATTCCTAATATTTGCAAATAAGTTGTTTAATATTACTAAACGCTTGACTGTATTGTACGTTAATAACCTGGGGAGCATTAAGACATTAGTACTCTGCTAGGGAGCTAACACCCTAGCATGTTTAGTCTTTACCTATTAAGTAGTTTGCTTAACTTACGTAGCTAAACTTAAGAAATAAGTCTTTTATGCATTCTATATAAGCTCAATAGTCCTCTACTCTAGGCTGGCTGTTTGTAGCAAACGCAGAGCAGTACTTAGCATTTCTAATCCTCTATTAAAGGTCTATTCCTTCTGCTTTGTAGAGGGGTAGAGCTATTAGAAATAAGGTTAAATTTATTGCGTAGACTTAATAGCTAAGCAGAAAAAGTAGGTAACTAGCAGTAGAAGGGACAGTAGAAGATCGAGCGACTACCTAATAACTTTCACGCTTCCTATAGGTTGTAGAGAGTTACTATACCGCAACTTAGGCGTACTTTAGCTAACATTGTTGTAGGCGCTTGGAACGTGCAGTATACGTATATTATGTGCTATCGCTAATCTTAATTAAGTTATAGGTTCTAGAAGATAGTTGTTGCGTGCAGCGATTAGCAATACTAATTCCTGTATCCTGCAAGCACAGCGCTTAACATGCTTGCGCTTAGGCTAGCCTGTTTGCAGAATAGGTACTAAGTCCTAGAGCTAGGACCTGTATCCCTAGCAGGTTCGCTTGCGTTTGTTACTGCTGCGCTTAAATTAAAGTAGAATAGCTAGCTAAATTTATAGCTACTAATTCTAGACATGCTAGGCTTTCTCTCTTTAATTATGTTGCTTGGTAGCGTGTTAGGCCTGCCCCAATCCTCTGTTCCTATAGGAAACAACGTTTGCTATACTCTCCCTCTAGGATTTGCAGTAAACGCAACGTTCTTAATCCTTTGGCCCTGTTACTGCATCCAAAACTACTATCCTCTTAACTTACAATTTAGTAAAGACGAGCTGTGTCTTGTAAGGTTACTACATTATATTTTAGCACTATCTTCTAATCTTCTTTGTAGCTAGTTCGTTTAGAAGAAGCTAAAGCTAATCTTAACTAATATAGTATATAGTTCTAGGAGACTACAGAGGGGTTCTATTACTCTTATACTAAATGTTAGAGGGATAATATACTTGCTTGTTAAATAGCTTAGGGTAATTAGTGTTAGATTAGCTAACAAAATCTTTAAGTTATAGAAATTTAGCGTTATAGCACAACTGTTAACTGTAAACGTACTCTAGCTTATAGTTACAGGATCTTTGCAACCCTAAGCTAATACTTTATAGCTACTTCTAGGAGACGCGCAATACGCTTGCTGTACTTAGCAATTAGTTGTAAGTGTATTTAACTATAAGACTATACTATCTAACCTCTTAACGCAAATATAACTTTTCTTACAAAATACATTAAGCTACTTAAAAGGACAGCATTAATTCTACGAAAACTACGTAACAGAATATTCCTAGTTGTAGTAGTAGAGCACTACAAGTACCTCTCTAGCTGCAAATCCTAGGATTATTAAGGTGTGTAAGTTTATAAAACAACGAGATAAAGCTAACAAACAAATAGATATAGGCATTTAGATACACTATTATATGTAGTTAATAGATAATTTGCCTGCAATATTGGTTTCTTACTACAAAGTATTATACTATTTAACTATTACTACTAGCCGCGACGGCTATGTTAACAACCTGCTTATAGGCCTGTAATTAGTAAGCAATTGCTGTACAAGGCGAGTAGAAGCAAACCTTTAGTTATAGAGCAGACTTTAATGCTAAGTTAACTAAGTTATATACGTAGAAGCTCCTACTAAAGCAAACTATTATATATACCTCTGTTTTGGATATCTAGCAGAGCTAACTCGCCTTTTAAACTAGTGTATTAAATTAAGACTAGAGTTTAGAGGCTTGCGTATAGATGCGCAGAGGGGGATTGGGAACGTAATACGTCTTTAACAAGGTCTAAAATTATAAGCTTTTATTTGCTATTAGGCTTAGAGTTCTAAACTTACCTAGCTTTAGTACACTAAGACAGTATTTAGCAAGACGTCTTTGCTAGTTATAAGAGCAGAGTCGGTAGGCGTAGAGCTGCGTAGGATTGCTAAATTTTTATAATACATAGGGAGAGGCTTAGATAAAGTTTTGTCTAACTCTTAAAGGATGTTGTACAGTTAAGCTTTAAGTTGCTGCTGGCGCGTTAGTTTTAATGCCTAGTAAGGAGAACTACAGGAAGTAGACAAACAAAAGAGCAGAAATGCCTGCAACTCTTGCAGGTCCTTAAAGTCTACAGTAAGTTAAGCCTAGTGCTTAAGTTCTAATACTAGTAGTAAAAGTATTTGTATAGGTAAAGGCGTCGCGCTTATAGCACGCCTTTTACTAAGCTTAGCAAGCTAGCGCTTAAACTGTTTTATGCAGTAAACTAGCATCCTGCGTACGTTGTGTAGTAAAGTTATGTCTGCAACTCTTGCTACAAGGCATTAATGCATTATATATAATCCCTCTAGTTTGTTATTTTACTCTTAAAATAGCTTATTTATTGTATAACTATAGCTACAGTAAATTAACATACTACTTTCTAGCGCGCGTTAAGACCTCTCTACTAGTATATACTCTAAGCGCTAAAGTTGTACAAGACCCTAGCACTACTCCCTATTATTATAATGCGGCGTTGTAGTTTTGCATGCTACTAGCTACGTTGTTATCGTTAGTAGTTAGGCTTTTCTACTATCCTGTTATCCTGCAAGGACCTTAGGGCAGACACTTAGCTTCAAACGCTAGAAACGTCCCGCTCTAAGTCGCCCTGTCCTTGTTGCTGTGTCCTGTTACTATACCTATCTCTACAACACTACGCTTGTTTAGGCGTTAATCTATTTTACTACTATCTAAATTCGGCGTTTTCCGCTTAGTCCTTTAGGGCCCAAATAGTGTAACGCTATATATAACATTAGCGTAACTCTAGAAGTCTAACTCTAAGTTTAATGCATCTTCGCATAGTAGATAAGGGCACATATTTAGAACGCTAAACCGCTCTAGATGCGACTTAATATGCTAGTGCAGGACATTAATATTAGTAAACTAGGCAAAGCGCACTAGTAGAGGTTTATTAGCCTCTAGGCAACATAAATAGTATGCAGCAACTCTAACTACCCCGCTATCCTTTATAAGACCGCAGAATCTGTCTAGAATATTAAAATATTCTTTCTAAAGGTGCGCATCCTACACCTTATTAGACTAACACTACAAGCTATGCTTATAACAGTAATACATCTTTATAGGTATTGTCTATTTATTAGGGACGCGGTGCTCCTTAAAAATATAGTAGGCAAGGTCCCTGCTTCTTTTAAAACTCTTGCAGCAGCTGGCCTATAAGCACTAATGCAATCTTATTTAGTTAAAGTAGCATGCGATATAGCGCACATACATCTTGCAGGGTTTACCTTTAAAATAGTAATTGCAATTATTCTAAAGACACGTACAACTTAGCGCAAACTAGCCTGCTATACGTTCTCTTTTTTTATTAATATATTATTGGCGTGCACATTAAAGCAAATGGCTATGCATTTAGTATGCCTGCAACCTAATTGTCTATTAGAAGAAATTAGAGAAACAAGAAGATGTACTTACTAGGTTAGATCTGTTCTGCAAACTCTGCAGCAGCTATTATTAGTTAGTTCTGCAGTTATATATGCCTAGCACTTCTTCTAAGGCATAGCTAGCTTAATTAGGGGTCTAAGGATTGTTTGGAAAGAAAGCTTGTTATAAAGTTCGCTATTGCTAAATATAAGATTAATAATAGCTTTGCGCTCTAGTTTAAACTTTAGGACTGCTTTTAAATAACAAGACAGCTTGCGAGAAGGTGTTTGTTTAAGAGAAGTTGCCTGTCTTATTTCCTCTGCTCTTGTTGGACTGCCCGTTCCCTCAAAAAAAGCTTTACAGTCTTTTTAGTAAGCCTCTGCTCTTCTACGCTGTCTAAGCTAGTACATCTGTGCTAAAAATAGCAACAATATAGTTACATTAATTACACGCCGTAGTTTAGTTAGCGTAGAGCCTAATAGACAGGGCGCAAGTAAGTTCCGCTTTGCTATTATAGAGCTAGCCTTGTTATAAAGTTTAGGACGCTACTCTTCTCCTAGAACTATTAATTAACAGTTAATGCCAACAAATCCTGAAACATAACTTTGCCCTGTACTATTACTATTATATAATAGCAAAGTTCTTCTTTCTAAGGCTGTAGCAACCTCTGTTAACATATAAGCGTTGTACCTATAGTTAAAATATAATACTTACTTTCTACTGCACGTGCAAAAGCTCTCCTAAAGCAGTACGTACTAAGCTTCTCTTAATAGCTAGCTCTCTAACTAACATTCTTTAGAATGCTGTTTAAACTATTGTAGGTCTAGATTCTAGTATTAGAGATAGTTCTATTCTAAAGCGCATTTTGCATAACAGGTTGCTCTTAAACGCTAGGCTTGTACTTAGCTGTGTAAAATTTACTGCCTATAATAGGCTTTGCGTTCTTAAGATTATTGTATAACACTAAGTTTAAAAATGCGTTATCTGCAAAAGCGAGTAATAAAAACTATATTACAGGGCATATCTATCGCTGCCTTAGACGTTCACATAAGATAATAATAGGTCTATATAGTAGTTAGTAATCTAAAAAGCTAGCTATAAAGGATACCTACGCGTGTTTCTTGTATTCTTAATGCCCTTTCTAATTTCTAAGCCTAACGTTAATGCGCTAACTGGGATTGTCCTTATTTTGCAAATAAACAAGGTTAATATCCTTGTAGAGCAAGCCTTTGTTGCTATTAGGCTAGGCGTCTAACTTAATAACTTCTCCTAGCTGGACACCTGTGAAGGCTATAATCTAGATAAGAAAAACTAGCTAAACTTTTGTGCAAGAATAAAGGGTTTAGTGCTTGTTGCTAGCAATAAGAAACTATAGGATGTCTTTAGCTACTAGATATGTAGCAATTAGTTTTGCATAAGTAGACGTTAACACTAGACCTTGTTAAACTAGGTCTGTAAGGATAAAAGTACTTACTGCCTTATTCTCCTGCTTAGTGTATTTGTGGCCTGTGTAAATATTAATTGCACGCTTTAGACTGTTAAATTAGTTAAAAGCAGTAGAGTTAGTAATAGCTTTGTTAATTGTACTAGTGCACGTTTAAGCAAGCTATTCTAGATAAAGCTTAATCTTGTGGATTGTTGGTGCTTCTGTAAATTGTTAGTTAACTACCGGCTTCCTAAGATAGTCTTTAGAAAAGCTAGACAGTTAGCATAGTTAATAACTCTATAAGAGGTAACTTACCTAGACTATTTCTGTATTGCAAACTTATATAATATATATGCAGATAGTTTTAGGCTCTCCTTAACAGCCTCAGCAGTTAGAGGAGCTAGTAGTGCGTTTGCCTGACAAGCGCGCTGCTTTAGGTCTTCTAGGTCTACTACTCTAGCTCCTCCCTTTATTTCGTCTTATTGGAATGAGGATAGTAGTATAGAAAATAGTATAGGAATGCCGTGAAAGGGAGCAAAGGCGCAGAAGGCCAGAGTACTTCAAGCGACGAGATATGGCAGGCGGTGCAAAAAGGAGAAGCGCCGGGTGTTAGATCACCGCAGGTCGGTATCCCGATGGCCGTCGACAGAAATCACAATCATGTCTTGAGCTTGGTGTGGCAACCCGTATCGATACCCCAGAAGGCAGAAACAAAAAGGATGACTCAGCCGTGGCTCGAACACGGGACCTTCAGTGTTGCGCTAAATAGCTGTTAGACTGACGTGATAACCAACTACACCACCGAGCCAGATGTTCTCATATGTTCTGATATGAAGATTTGCGAAGAGGATAATATATAATCACATTGACATTGTTAAAGCAGGAGCGAAAGGTTAGAGTACATATCAGTAGAGTAAGGCAGGCCCGAAAGACTTGCAGGAACCGACCATGTGGGGTAAGAGCCTATCTTCAGCGGGAGAAAATTTCGTTAGCCGCGGTTTCCATTTCCGCCAAACCCCCCAGAATTGGCACCCGACCAACTTCAAAAGCAGAACACGGTACGAAAAGCATAACATGTGAGAAACGTGGGTCAATTACTACAAGAAACATCCGATATGGTAGATGCATCTACTTTTCGTCTCCGTCGCAATGCGTGATGTACAGATTGAAAAGCATGAAAGGACAAAAAACAATATGTAGCAAAACGACCAAAGTCCCGGAACGCCTCAAGTCGATACGATCGAATGTCCTTCCGTGGTGTCGTGGTATCGCCCATCCCTGAAATGCCAAAACGCCTCCCGATGCAGCTTTATCGTTGTACATGTACGCCTTACATCTATTGTCAACCCGATGCATAGCAACACCGGTCCACCTCAATCAAGCATCCGAGTGTGCAAGACTGAACTCATCTAGTCCTGCGCGGATGCAGGATCGGTGCTCTCCCTCCCCCGCCCATTCTCTCCCTTCCCAAGATTCAACTTTATTTTCTTTTTCTGCGGCGCTCCGTCCCCACCGTCATCGCCCTCACGGTCCCGCTTTCCGTCGCTACGCTCACTCAACTCGCTTTGCCTCCTTTCCATGTCCGGCTTCCCACTCGTCTTGAGCTTGACTTTCAACGTCCCCCCAGCACTACTCCTGTCACGATCCGCCTTCTTGACGTAAGAGCTCTTCTTCTTGATCTTTTTGCGCTCAGGAGTATCATCCCCACCTAGTTCGTCGGCGTCGTCGTCGGCGGCGGTGAGTCGCTTGACGGGAGATATGCCCTTTGATTTGCTCTTGGCCATGGGCACTGAAGAGTCTTGCGAGCCCGGTGCAGGCGTGCCCATTCTGCTTCCCAGCGGCGTATTGCCGAGGCCGGAACCCGACCCGTTCTGACCCACGAGCTTCGCCATCGCATTGCGTGAGCTCTGGCGCCCACTAATCCCCAAGCACTTCTCCAGATGTTGCGCGAATCGCGTTATGAGTAAGCTGCGCTTACAGTTTGGACATGTATGCCACGGTATGTACGAAGCCGGCTTCCCTCCAGTATTTAGTTTTATCTCCTTTGCATCGCCGCCGGCCATATCCGTGTCTTGAGACCCGGGTGTGCCTACGCTCTCCTTCTCGGCGTTCTTCTGTTGTTGCTTGATGAGTTCACGCTCCTTTTTGCTCTTGGCCATGTCTGTTGGGAAGGGGTTGCCGTAGACGTCGTGGCCTGATCTCTGTACCCAGGGATACAACATGCAGTACTCTTTGGTCAGGTCCGGGTTCTGCATGCCCTTGCCCATGATGGGGTGCATGAGCCGCGGCAGCTTGCAGTGCGGACATATTATCTCGGGAGTGGTCTTGAGTGGATTGCCCTTCAGGAAGACTCGCCCGTTCTCGTATTTGGCTGCTGACGTCTCAGCTATAGGTATGGTTGACCCGTTCGTGTTCTGTTTTTGTGGTTGTGGTTCGAGGTTTGCGAGGGCGATGGACTCGGCTTGCGTGGCGGCAGACTGCATGCGCAGCCGCTTTTCCGATCGATGGCACGACAGCGCAGTGCTGAAGACGAGATTGCTCAGCAGATCCTCGAGAATATCCCTAGTCTACACATTCAATGTCAGCTTAGCAATGCCAACTTTCCACGTCGGGGGCGGTTCGCGGCAGCCTACCAATTCTGCGACGATATCTCGTGACAGGCTGACGGCAGACTCAACGCCGTCGCCTTGGTCGTCTGCCGGCCGGTCCTCAGACATGCTGTTGGCCCTCCACGATTGCGTTCAGGGCGTGGAAGAACGGGTGTTGGCACTGCACATGTGCTGAGACGTTAGCGCAATTTCGGGAGATATCGATAGCATCCCTGCTCGGGGCCGTTCAGCGCCACGCATCACCCATGCAGGGCTGACTAACCTACCCCACACGACACGAATAAGCGCACTCCCGCGGTGTTGCCCCGGTTGGGTGTGAGCGTTGCAAATGCAAAGACTGCATCTGTGGATCTGTATGCTTGCAAAGGCTTGAACATATTGGTGCTCGGATATCTATAAAGTCTCAAACAACTTCCCACCTTGCTAATCTGCCGGTGGTACTGCCCGCTTGTCTCACAATACAAACACGCTTCTCACTTGATATGCCCTCTCCTTCATGCACAGCGCCGACAGTCCTATGGAGAACCAGGTTGGCAACAGCAGTCGGCATACCCTCAGAAAGATTGTAGTTACCTGTCGTTACGAACCCAATCAAGTCTGCTTCATCAGGAACCAATGGATAGTCGTCCTCACCGGCTTTAGGTGGCCCATCTCCTTGCCTCGGCGGTGCTAATAGAGTCCTTGCGAGCTCTCTACGTTGTATATGTTCAGGCACGTTCGTAGCTATGCGACTTTGCTGCTTCTTCAACGTATGCTGGGAACCGGGCACTGGTAACAACGATAACCATTTCTTCCGCAGCTCTGGGTTGTTTGTTGGGAGTCGGTAGATGCGAGCACAATCTGTCGGACAGCCGCGTTGTGCCATGTATATCTTGACGGTGAATAGGCATGGAGCCTGCATGACATCGGCCAGGAGAGAACGCCCCGCAACCATGTCAGCTGCTTGAGTAGATGAGAGTTGTCGAACCCGGGGGAAGGACTTTTCAACTTGGTGTTCCGGTATTTCTCCCTCTTTCTCAGGGACAGGCCACAACCGCTCCCACTCACATGCCCAAGGGTCGCCGACCTCGCCCTTCCTACCCTCTCCAAGATTAATCGTCGACCATTCGATCCTTTTCCCCTTTGGCCGCTTAGTCCACTCAAGCTTCCTCGCCTCGCGTTCCTGCAACTCCCACGCCCAGCCAGCATCAGTACCAGGGTGATCATACGGGAAGTGGGGAGTTGATCGCTCAAAGCTGATCTGGCGTCTTTCTTTCAGTCCACCGAATCTTGGATTGCCGCCAGTAGATACTGGGTAGCGCATAATGCCTCGCCACACAGGCATGACACATTTCCAAGGGAGTAATACCGTCCAGGATTTGGTATACCGCGAAACGTATAGGAGCATGGGGATCTTTGGATCTGTTGGTCTAGTCTCGGGGTCTTCGCCTAGAGTACATGCACTTTTGCGGCGATTGATGGATTTCTGTGATAGCATGGCTCGCGCTGCGGCTAGTCTTGCGTTGGTATCGAAGATTGATGGTGATTTTTGCGTGTTGTCGACTGGCCAATCTGCAAGCGTTGTAGTCAAAGTGCTCAACGAATGCTGGTCCTGTGCTAGAGGTGTAGATGCAGGGGGGTCGTAAAAGCGAGGGTCGCAAATCTCGAATGCCAATAATGCACCTGCTGGCAGCGAAGCAGCGTCCGTGATGGAAGCCAACGTTGACCACAAAGCCTGAGGAGAGGCCGGGTCCCCACCAGTGGACGAAGTAGGACGAAGAATAGAGCAGAGACTTTCAGTTGTAGCAGGTCCCACAATCTCAATAGACCCAATCTCAAATCGAAGGTCGTGAACTGTTACAGCTGGCTTCTGCACCTTTGCAATTCTGACGATCTCGTTCCAAAGTTGCAGAAAGGCCGCAGGGTGTACTCGAATGAAAGCCTTTCTCTTGTTGCTGTCCGCTTCAGGTACACACCAGACAACAGTGACCCGCGCAATCTTCTTCGGCGGGTTGGCTTCTCTTTCGCATATCCACCCTTCCCAAGTCCTCGTGCCATTTGTCCATTTCTTAGCCCTGCCTCTCCCTTGCCATGGATCATCTACGCCATCGACACCAAAGTGTAAGCCCTTCAGTAGCCCAGCGATACTAGCTTCCAGACCTTCGAGACTGATCGTCGAGAGATAGCTCATATCCCACGCGATAGCTCCACGTTCAGTTGCAGCTCGATGGGTGAGACGATATGCCTTGGAGACGGGCTGCAGTGGGATCGCAAAACGCCAGAGAGGCTCGTCAGGTTTGGTTATACGAGCCCGTTTTGTGTGCCATACGTGTGTTGGCAGCCATGTCTTGTCTCGCTGACGTCTACGAAATCGTGACGGCGGGGTAGCAGGTGTAGCTAGGGCTGGGAAGTTGCGCTTCATCTTCGGTTTAGCGGTTGGTTTGGCAGGCTTCTGTGCGGCATCTTCCGTCTCTGCATCTTCGCCTTTGTCCCTTTTACCGGCAGTCTTGACATTGCTGTTCTCCTTCCTCTGCCTAACCCTCTTCTCCGACGTCTGTCTACTCTTCTCACGGCCTTCCTTCCTCAGAAACTTCTTCTTTCCCTTCCCAATCCCACCCCCACTTGTTCCCCTGCTTATTGGGGTATTGTCCTCGTTTGCTTCCTGCCGTGCTCTCACTCTAAGCCTCTTCGGCACGCGTTGCGGATTATGACTGGCCGTCCTCCTTCTCAACTCCCTAGGTACATCTTGAAACGCTCGTCTTGCCAACGCCTTCTTCGCCGCTCTCATGGCATTCTCCAGTGACTTGATCTCATTCTCGTGCGACTTGAGGAAGTTCTTGACGTTAACCTCGCCATTGGGGTACGCGGTCTTGGTTGATGCCGCAGGGATGAGGTATTGCGGGCGCTGTGGGAAGCGTGCGCGTTTTGCGTTTGGGGCAGTGTCGGAGGTCTGTTTCCTCTTCTTCGAGCTGTCTGCCATTCTTTGTGGTGACGTGTTGTGGAGACTGCGACGGGTGATGGTAGCCAACGGCTGCAAGTGCCTCGGAAATTTTGGCGACAGAGTCCCCCACATGCACTCTAGCGCATTACACGTCAGCACGTGCCCCCTGGGCCTGCGTGTGCAGGCCCACCATACGACCTCGGACCCTCGTTGCTATCTGAATCGTGACCAAGCCAAGCAAACAACCCGCTCGTGTTTCAGCTGTGATCCTCCTATGAACGCACAGAACAATGTTCATTTCTTAGTCCCGCACTCATGCCTTCCCCTGGCTATTGCAGCGCTCCCCTGCGGCCGCAATCTGCGCCACCAAACCCTGTCTTAGGAACTGCTGATTCAATGTTTTCCCACAATTACTCCCTACAACAACTGCATTCCAGCAACGACACAACGTCTTTGTCTTGTGTAACAACCGCTGCCTAGACACGCCCTCAATATGCTTACTTATCCTTCGTTCCCCGACCAGCCATTGCGTTCAATCAACACCAGTCCATTCAGGAGCAGAAGTCGCGCCATTCTTCACGAACGACACGCCTCAGAAGCCATGCAACGTCCACGACCCATGAGTGTTGCGAGTTACCCGACGATGCAACACAGCAAAAGAGGCTCCATCTATGTTTCCGACGCATCCATTAACCTCGCACAAGGGACGCCCATCATTGCATCGACTTCAACGCACAGTTTGTCGTCGTCACCAAGCAACGACATCCCAGACTTCGTTGACCACTATGCAAACTTAGAATTAGAACCCCATGCCTCGGCAGAAGACATTACTTCCGCTTTCCGCCGCCTCCGGGTCGTCTACTTCCAGAGCGATGCGACAAAGTACAAAGCACTAACAACTGCTTTCGACGTACTGAGGGACCCGGATGCACGCCAAGACTACGACGCAAATTACCGTGCACGTGCTGCGGCACGAACCCTTTCAAACTTAGGGGAGGACATGGAGCAATCAAAGCATGAGAGAAAGGACAGTGCTATGGGCGACGATGCAGGCATGGAGGCGGTACCAGAGGAAGAGGATGCAGACGTAGGGAGAAGCGAAGATCAAAATTGGGCGTTGAAGCGACACCGAAGGCTGTTCGAGCCAATGATTGGGACGAGACTTTACCAGTCGTATGTGCCGATCCTCGAAGCATACGCACAAAGAAGTAGGCATCCGACCTTGAAGTGCAGTAGGCCAGCCTATGCTGGCCACTTCGCAAAGAATGCAAGACCGAGTTGAGTGAGCTACGGAAAGTCAAACCCAGGAATCCTTTCTATTAGCGATCTAGGTTCTGTTACGATATCTACGAGGCTGTAATCTCAATGTATCTAGTGATTATTTTCAAGCACGGCGTTGTTGGATGAAATGGTAAATCATTGGTGGAGTTTGGCGGATCCATTGTTTCCTACTACACCTGCCTTATTCAAGATGGAATGATATATCTACAAATCGAGAACGAAAGATTACCAAGAGCGCAAATAGCTCAAGGGCGTAGCTTGCGTTTTCGTGTTTCGTATTGCACACCTGGACAGGCTGTAAGTCCCATGGCTTCTGATGTGATCTTACCGAGGCTACCAACACGTGCTCTGGAGTGTTTTCGAATTTGACATGAGAGGCGGAATAAAAACAAGGCGAGCATTTAAAAGCACAGTTAATGACATCACAAACCTCGTCTTGATAGAAGTACATGAATCAGAGCTGCATTGCTGATATCGATCGCTATGATACAAGTGCTCCCAGTTGCGCATGCCATACTCTGATCCATCCTCCTCGCGCTCTAGTAAATCTTTGCATGCTAAGTTACGCCGTGGCGAGCGATTTACTGATCAAGCTTGACAGGGAAGTTGCCCGCCTCTGTGATAGTGGTTAGTTGTCGTTCCAATCCGATCCATATTGGAAACACCAGCAGAAACGCGCGCAGGGGTCGAGTGCGAGCCCTCCGACCTGGAGAAAGGAAATGGGATACTCACCACGCTGGTCGTCCCATCGCGATGTCCAGCCACTTGGGCAGAGGGATTTATAAGCCAACAGGAACTACACCTTATCAGTATTCACCCAATTTCACCACATCTAGCTAGATAACGCACCTGGCGGCAGGGGGCAAAGTCCTCGCCCTTGGCGATAGTGCACTTGTGGTAGTCGACATAATTCTGCCAGCAGTGCTTGGTCTGGTTCTGGTTCGGGAAGCGGGCATCGAAGCCTAGAGAGCGCCGAGGCTCGTCAGCACCTTTGTCGCATATTCCGAGCTTGGGATAATTGTATTTCACGTGGTTTGGGGGAGCTGTAGGAGCTTGGAGGGTAGCGTACCAGCTGTGGAGTCAGAAGTTAGCTACTGATGTCGAAAGAGAGCGGGATGCGCTGGAAAAGCTTACCAGTCACGAACTTGAAGGGCTTCGTTACGAGCTCGTCGCCGTTCTCGTTGTCAGACATGATTGCGGTCGGTTATCGTGCGTCTAAAGCGTTGGGGTGGCGGCAATGGCAAGTGGTAGAGGCGAGAGGGAAGTCGTGAGGTTGCGATGGTCTGACCCGAGTTGCTGCGCTTTGTCCACCACACAATTCGCTCGGCGTTTTCCGGGCGAGCAAGCTCCCTGAGCTCCAACAACCTGCGTTCCTGTGGCGAAGCCTCAATTACCCAGCACCGCGACCCCAGTAACCCCATACTCGTTCAGAAATCTCCACTCAATCCCACAATGTTCAAGGTTACCAGGGCCATGGCTATGCAGCCGACGCGCATGATGATGATGCGCCAGAGCCCGCAGCTCTTCATGAGGCAGACGCTGCGCATGCGCTCGCCTGTGCCGGTACGACTGTCTACGTCTCAGGAAGCTCTAGGAAGTGTGCTAATCAAGAGGACAGAAAGAGGAACAGGGTGGTAAGCCAATTGTCTAACCTAGGATATGTGGTAGGGCCCGAATTGACCCAATATACAGCCCACACCGTCTCCCAGCGTCTGCGCCAGCTCAAGAACATCCCCACTGAGATTTGGCCTCTTAGTATGTCACTATCCCTTCACAGCTCCTCAAAATATTCCAGCTAACATGAATTGCAGTCTTGGTCCTCGGGTAAGTCCCTCGTATACTTTGCGCGGGGTCTGGAACTTGGTGGTCTGATATAATTATAGCATCGCCGTTGGAGCCGCCTTCTTCTCGCTCGGCCGGAAACTCGTCGTTGACAGGACTCTTCGCTTGAAGCGACAGGGCAAGCTCGACTAGAAGCTTAAATCGCCATAAGATTGCGAATGGGAGCAGAGGATTGGGGAGGGGCTAGGAAAGCCATGTGTATACAAAAGGGACAATGTCCCTGCCAAAGTCCAGAATCAAACATCGGGTTCCCTTTGTGCACCAATTCACAGCATTTCGAGTAGAGTTGTTTGTTCATATAGACTGACGATATGTGATAACCCCTTCCTTCCATTTACGTATTTTCTTGCACTGCTGACGGCTCCCACGGCCATCCGATGCACAAGCTAGAAGTCCATCTAGATCCCGTAACCTTTGCAAACTCTGTGAAATGGCATACTTGGTGCTGTAGCATGTGGTATCAAATGCACCTTTGCCCATACGCCTAAACACCTTACATTCCGGTGATCCCCAAGCCCTTTAATACGTCAGAAGAACATCATACAGGTTTTGGCCCAGCCTCGTCTAGCCCTTCTAGACCTTGCATGGGATCCGCAGGTCCATTTGATTCCTGCGCCTCTGCAGAAGCCTGCTGATCCTCCTCGCTCACAGCATGCTTGGCGAACCAACCCTCCTACACCGAGTTAGCAAGAAGTACTCTTGTATCCGATTAGGATGCACACGTACCTGCTCCCAAATCGCCGTCTTACTCCCTAACCCTTCATTCGCATTCTTCTGCGGCTTGGCGGGTGCTACCTTGATGACAGATCCATAGAGCTCGCTCCGATCCATGTTATCAATGGCGTCTGTCGCATCTGACGCAGCCTCGAATTCAACGTAGCCGAAGCCTCGATGTTGTTCATTCGAGTTTTGGGATTCCGGTTTTGGCAGGTTGACTTCGACGATGTCGCCGAATGGCAGGAAGGCGTGGAACAGGGTCTGCTGTGTTACGGCCTGGTCGAGCCCCCCTACGAATACCGTAGCCTTCAGGCGAGATGTATCTGAAAGATTCGACATGGTCGTTGGACTATTGCTGGTCGGGTACTGTGTTTCGATATAGCGAGGAATTGGTCGTTGAGCTAGAAATTCGATATCACGTGAGTTAGCGGGACCCACTTTGGCGGGTCCGCGATGACCAGGCAAGGACAGGTGGATGTTGATGGTGAAGCACGTCGAGGCCTTACCTTTGGTTCCGCGTATTGACACATTTCCAGACACAGGACCTCCACGTATACCTCTCTATAACTCTTTAAGACTGTCTCACTACTTGTCAGACTTGATTTTGTCTCTATTCACAATTCGCTAGTCTGACACCTCGGTGCGATCTCGCCCACCATGGTCCGTCTACGAGAAATCCCCAGGACCGCCACATTTGCCTGGTCGCCAGGCTCTACGCAGCCATTGATAGCTACTGGTACCAAGGCTGGTGCTGTCGACGCCGACTTCTCAAACGAAACACAATTGGAGATCTGGGAGCTCAAGCTGGACGAGGGTGATCAGGGAGTCGAGCTCCAACCTGTGGCCTCTGTAAACGTAGAGTCAAGGTATATAGACACTTTTGGAGTATAGCTGAACATAAAACTGACCCTGTCATAGGTTCAATGACATTGCCTGGAGTCAGCCTAGCGAGCAGTATCCACGGGGAATCATAGCTGGCGCACTTGACAGCGGCGCATTAGTACTATGGGATGCGGACAAATTGCACACAGGTGCTAGGTAAGCATGAATTCTAATCTGACACGAGATGGGAGTGCTAAGTCTGTACAGTGACGCCCAGATTGAGCAAATCAGCAAGCACACTGGTCCCATCCAAGCGATACAATTCAATCCGTTCCGCCCGTACATCCTCGCCTCGGCAGGCGCTAAAGGCGAGCTTTTCATCCACGATCTCGACGACGAATCGAAGTCCTTCCGCTTAGGCAAGGCCGGCGCGAATCCTGACGAGTATACCACCTTGGATTGGAACAAGAAGGTTGCACACATCCTTGCGACTGGAAGCAGCGGGGGCTTTGTGACTGTCTGGGATGTCAAGGGCAAGAAAGAGAATCTCACATTGAATCATTTTGGAAGGAAGACAGTCAGTGCTGTCTCGTGGGACCCCGATGTTCCCACCAGACTAGTAACTGCTATTCCGACCGATCAGAATCCGCTTGTGCTGGTATGGGACCTCCGCAACACCAATGCACCCGAGAAGACGCTTCAGGCGCACGACCAGGGTGTGCTGTCACTCTCTTGGTGTGCGCAGGACAGCAACATCCTATTGTCATGTGGCAAGGACAATAGGACGATTGCCTGGAACCCGCATAGCGGCGAACAATTGGGCGAGTTTCCAGTCGTGACGAACTGGACCTTTCAAACAAGGTTCAACCCTTCAAATCCGAATTTTCTCGCTACTGCATCGTTTGATGGCAAGATTGCAGTTCAGACCCTGCAGAACACCGGAGCCACAACAAACCAGACCAAGGCTGCTACTCAAGCGCCCGAAGGCGAGGACTTTTTTGCCCAGACACACGCCGAACCTCAAGGCGCATCTTTCTCGCTGAAAACACCACCGAAGTGGCTGAAGAGAAGAGCTGGTGTGGCTTTCGGCTTTGGCGGAAAGCTCGTACGATTCGGCATCGTCGACTCCAAGTCGAAGGTCACGATATCGACATTCGCAGTAGATTCAGACATTAGCACTGCTGGCGAGGAGTTTGACAAGGCTTTGGAGAAGGGTGACCTCACTTCGATTTGCGAGTCCAAGATTGCCAAGGCGGCCAACGAAGAAGAGAAGGCGGACTGGACGGTTATCGAGACTCTGACTTCAAAAAATCCACGCAGCAAGCTTGTCGAATACCTTGGCTTTGCAGACACTAAAGAGGAGGAGCCAGTGGAAGAAAAGAAGGAAGTTCAGACCAATGGCGACACTGACGAGGGCGCCTCATTCTTCGACAACGCGACCGACGAGGGCAACTTCTTATCTGATCTTGCCGCTTCAAAGGGCGCGAAGACGAACAACCCGTTCCAGGTATATTCTGGATCCGAGTCAGAGGCCGATACGAAGATCACCCGCGCTCTCATGCTAGGAAATTTCAATGCAGCATTGGATGTGTGTCTGAAGGAGAATCGATTATCAGATGCTTTCATGATCGCAATCTGCGGTGGAGAGAAGTGCATCGCTAAAGCGCAAGCTGCGTACTTCAAGAGGCAGTCAGATGCACCCAACTACCTGCGACTTCTTGCGTCAGTAGTAGGGAAGAACCTCTGGGATGTTGTCTACAACGCCGATCTCAAGGATTGGAAAGAGGTTATGGCCACCATCTGCACCTTTGCCGACCAGTCGGAATTTCCTGACCTCTGCGAGGCGCTGGGTGATCGTCTAGAAGAGGCCATCTCAGAAGACACACGTTCCTTCCGAAAAGATGCAACCTTCTGCTTCCTGGCTGGTTCCAAGCTGGAAAAGGTTGTGGTGAATTGGGCGCAAGAGCTCCAGGAGAACGAGGCTACTGGTATTGAGCAGTCGAGCGGAGATAACAGCTTCTCGATTCATGCACGATCATTGCAGGAATTCATTGAGAAAGTCACCGTGTTTCGAAAGGTGACCGCATTCAAAGATCCGGAGCAGCAGAAAGATGACGACTGGAAGCTGGAGCCACTGTACGCGAAGTATGTCGAGTATGCTGACATCACTTCCTCCCACGGACAGCTAGCAATTGCGGAGAAGTACCTGGACCTACTTCCTCAAAAGTACCCAGCAGCGGATGTGGCCAGGAATCGCGTCAAACAGGCTACGAGGAAGGCTGCACCACAAGCAGCGGCTGCTCAGAGACAAGCTCAGCCCGCTCTTGCCCAACGAGGTCAGCGGGTGGTTCCCTCGTATGGAGCTACCCCGGCACAACAGCCGGCACCGGTGCAGCAAACTGGCTCACCGTACGCTCCTGTCAATCCTCTTGCACCGCAGGCACAGGCTGCTGTTCAGTCATCGTACACGCCAGCAGCCCCGAGCCGGAGCGCATACACTCCAGTTGGATACCAGCCGCCCTCACAGCCAGGCTATGGTGGATATCAAGCGCAACAGCAGCATCCAATTGCACCTCCTCCACGCAACTTTGCAGACTCACCGGCCATTGTGCCAGCGGCACATCGACCCAACATTCCGGCCTGGAACGATACGCCAGACTTCGGTCCGCCAAAGCTATCACGCCGCGGAACTCCGCTGAACACTGTAGCATCGCCGTTCCCCAACCAGCAGCAGCCCCTCCCTGGTCCACCACAAGGTCCATTCTCGCCAGGAGTAAGATCAACTCCGCCTCCGCCTCCAAAGGGGCCGCCTCAGGGACCCCCTCGAATGACCTCCCCGCCATCCGGGGCACCACAAACCGGGGCCCCGAACCCGTATGCTCCTTCGCCAGCAGTGAATGCATATGCCCCGCCGCAACCTGGTGGCTTCGCGCCTCCACAGCAAGCTCCAGTCCAACGCGGAGCGTCTCCATATGCGCCTCCCTCTTCCGCCGCGCCACCATCGAACCGCTATGCTCCCGCTCCAGGCTCACAGCCTTCTGCACAACACGGGGGTATGCCGCCACCCCGAAACATCGCACCACCGCCAGGCCGATTCTCGCCTGCCCCATCGCCCTACGCGGCATTGCCAACTCAGCAACAAGCGCCTCCTTCAGCTGCCCCGCCGCCCAGGGGTCCACCTCAAGGCCCACCGCGGGCCGGTCCTCCAGGCGGTCCTCAAGGTGGACCTCCAAGGCCAGACTCCCGACCTGGCACCTCACAGTCACAGAATGCTCGTCCAGCGTCTGCATCCAAGTATCGTAAGTCACACTTCACTCAATGCCTATGTCCCTACTAACATACAATAGCTCCTGGCGATCGGTCACACATCCCCAATGCATCTCGCCCCATTTACGAGATTCTCGAAGCAGATATGCAGCGAATAAAAGCCAAGGCACCCGCACAGTACAAGCAACACGTTGCCGATACCGAGAAGCGACTTAATATTCTATTCGACCATCTCAATAATGAAGATCTGCTCAAGCCAGATACTATTCAGCAGATGAATGAGTTAGCGAGCAACATCCAGGCCAAACAGTACGATGAGGCGGTTGCAATCTTCTCGGATTTGATGACGAATAAGACGGATGAGGGGAGCAACTGGATGGTGAGTCTTTGATATGATTGCATGTTGTGAAGATGATTGCTAACTGTGAGGCAGGTTGGTGTTAAACGGTTGATTCAGTTTAGCAAGTCGACTGCTTAAACTGTCGTAGTAGCTTTACTAATCATTGCGATCAAAAGTCTACAAGAGGCAAGGCTAAAAGAAACAGATGGGTGTCCCCTGGGCGTGGCCGATTAGCGGGGTAAGCTTGATAGAGAAAATGAATATACAATGAATCTTGGTCGCTAGTTGTAAGATGTTCTACGAGACCTTTACACTATTTGAATATTGGTTATGTGATCCGAATGCGAGAGACTGACGTGCGTGAATGCCCCATAGATGGTGCTTTTTTAGGCACCCATGGACGTCGCACGTGATTGCGTGAGGGACGCGAAAGACTGGTCTTTGCTGTTCAATCAGGCAACTTCTTATCACTAGTCGATGACAATGAGCGGCCTCGGGTAGAAAGTATCATGCACGAGATGGCAGCTTACTAACACAGCTGCAACCACGATTCTGCAAGCTGTGGGTACCCAATGAAGGGCTGCAGAGAAGACGGCGCATCTGCTATCCAAAGTAGGATTGCTTTTCTCGCCTTGTCGAGGGCGGCCTGCAGGCGTCTGTGACTTTTCATGCATGTCGTTTCAACATTGGGGATGGCATGATGGCATCCCGGCAGAGCGACATGATCCACTCACTGGTCGCACCGTGATCCCCGGCCCACCCCGCAGATCCGCGGTACATGAATGATGGTCTTAATGTGGGCCCCAATAAGCTCAAGAGGTGGGTGGGGGGGGGCATGATGCCACTGTTGCGACGAAGTGAGGGCGGGCGGGGAATTTGGGGTCTTTGGTTGGAATGCAGATGGCACAATGCATCGCATCCAATGTTGCCCGGTTGCTTGGGCAATTGCGGGACCCAGTGGAGTCATGACTAGTTATCGTGGTGCTTGTGCTGCCCAAGCAGTAATTGCGGCTGTTGATCAGTCAGACCGGGCGGAAGACAGCGACCTCAGCGTAGCGTCATGCGCAACCTGTCAGCCAACAGCCAACGGGCGGGTGCTTGAGGACGAATCGAATCCGCACCCACGCGGGGCCAATCGATCGACTGCATTAGCGACATGTAGACGCTCCCGGAAGTGTCGCGCAAGGGAAAAGGCAGGCCACGGAGCGTGTTCCAGATGCTGGGCGCGAGCCGAAACGTTTATTGCAGTATATGAATGGCAAACATGTCTTTCCCGGTGTACCATCCATTGCCCAGCCAGTCGTAGATGGACTGCACAGCATGCAGGCGAGCGCCAGCATTCATGCGTCGCGTAACCTTCGGATATATCGTATGTGAGGGCTAGGGGTGCAGTCATCCATTCCCAGTATCTCGGACGAGCTTTGGCTGGCTAAATAGGGGGGGACCTGAGGAGCGGATGTGTGTCAATATGTGGGCGTGCAGGTGGCAGACGGGTGTATATTGATAGACGATTGTTATTTCGAGGCTAGCTAGTGGGGAAGCGTGCTTGTAGCTTTCTTGCGTGCGTGGAGCGATGTCAAGGCGGGAACAGGCCTAGGAGACGCTGCTCTGCTGCTGACGAAGGAATGTATGCAATTCCGAGAGCAGCTTCCCTTTGGAACGGTGCCAAGACGAGGCTCTTTGCTTGACAAAAACGACAATCAACTCCATCTGCGATCAAGGGTGGTACTATATGCAGACACGACCAAACGCGAAACACAGATCCTGATGCGAACATGTCAAGGCACGTGCAAGTGTGGCCCCAAGCCCTCGGGGATAAAGTCGACTCAGCGGACAGACAGAACTACTACAGGTTCTAGGCATCGACGTGGTGTGAATACTCGACACGATGAAACAAGCTGTTGGCGCGTTTCGCCCTCATGCGAGTGCTGCGGGTACGCGCACCGCCGGAACCTCCCCGATGCTGTCAGCAAGGCCAGACTTGGCAAATAGAAGGCGGCCAGGCACACCTCAGCATCCTACAAACCATGGGTCAAAGGAGCTTATTATTATGGTGTTGGGGGGTGTGGCGGTAGAAGGTTTCACGTGGCGGTACTGCGGACCAAGACGCCAGCGCGCGCCCAGAAGCCGTGGAGTTGCCCAGGTGTGTGGCTTGTCTAGCGGCGGCTGATGGTCTTTTTCGGTCATACCCCTCCGTGGAACGCCATGGCCCAAAGGGGTATCGACAGCCCTGGAGATGCGCCTCTGGTCACATGCCTCGTCCACGGCGGGCTGCAGAAGGGCCAAATCGACTGCCAGGCAATCATGGCTCGAGGGCCAGGTGGCAGACACCAAGGGCCAGGTACGTCCCTCTGCGGTGCAGGCCGGGGGGGGGGAGGGCAACACAAGGCCGGCTGGCGTGCTCATGCGCAGCAAATGGGCGGGCCCTCTTGTCAGATTGCAGGCTGCTTGAGGGTGGGTGGGATATTGGGTGCGACACGAGCTTTTTTTGCCGAAAGCGCGGGAGCGGAGCACAGCTGCGTCACAGCACGGATGCACGCCAAGGCCGCGCTAACTAGACGACCGGAAGCTTCAGCGATGCGAGCATGTGTGGAGAGAGAGACGTCGTTTGCTTGGCGATCATCCACATCGTTAATCATTGTCCCCCCCCCTGTCCCTCGTGCGCCTCCGTGCAACCACCACCGCCTGCGGCCTTTCTGTGTCCCGGCGACCCTGCAAGGTGCCGTTTGCCTTGGGCCAAGCCTTTTGCCAGCCACCGTCCGTCAGCAGCACACTGCAGCGCACCGCAGCTTTGCCCCGGTGCTGCCGTGCGTGCAAGCTGTGTTTCGATCCAGGTGTATAGATTCGCAGCGCCATGTATGTCATGATATAGTATCAACAAGTTGGTTTTGGGTTAGGGAAGGACATCGGCCAAAATGGGCGGTTTGATCTGTCCACTGCTGGATGAGGCGGAAGTACCCATGCCATGACCCATCATAGCCGAGGAGCGGAGCCGACACGAACCTGGGACGAACGATGCTGAATCGCCCTCTTCGTGCCGTGACAGGCCCACAGCGAACAAGCTGTGGCTTGTAATCTCTCATCACCACCCTCGTCGTGGCTTCTCCGTCAGACGCTCGAGAGGCAAGGCGTTCAGCGCCGATACTAAAGGGCCCGCGTAGACGCATCAGGTGCCGCCCCGGATAGGCAGCGCGATGCTCGGCACGCAATTTGCTGTCAACGGGTAGTGCAAGACTGGCGGGCCCCGGTATGGCTTGCGTTAGTCTTGGTTGGCGTCAACAGGGGGACGTTGACCCACGGATGCACAAGGGCTTTACCACACTTCAGTAGCCGTCTGGGTTAGGGTTCCTTCCCATTCGCATCTTTAGGGAAAGAGCGTTTGACCGCCCTGCCCCTTCCTGCTTCGCTCGCCTGGCTGCTCTTCCTCACTCTCCGTTCCTTCTTCACCAGGCCTTCGTGTCTTGCCTCGCCTCGCCTCGCCTCACCACACATCCCAACGCGCCGTCGCAGCAAGCTTGCACGCATTGTGTGGTCGCATCCTTATCACTCCGTTGTTCGACCCAGGCTTCACCTCGTCCGTGTGTGTGTGTGCGTGCCTCTGCGCGCTGTGCTGTCGTTCTCAGCGCCAGCCTCTCCACGCTTCCACCTGCTCCCGTCACTAGACTAGTACGCCTGCGAGACGCGCAACCACAACAGCCGTCGGTAAGTTTCTTCCATCTCATCATTCCATCTCTCAACATCTCAGCACTAACCAACATAGACGCCTTGGCGACATAATAGCTGCCTCCTACCATCTCGTCACCGCCGAGCTTTTATAGCGCGGGCATCGCATTGCAGCCGTCTTCATCGCAAGCCGCCTTCATGGCGACACACCAGCAGCCCTCGCCCACCACGGGCATACCTCCGCACCATGTCGCGCAGCACCCAGCGCATGCGCAGGTCAACGGCCACGCACCACATGCCAACCAGCCCAAGACACCGTCGCAGTACTTGGGACAGTTGACAGAGGCAGTATGGACACAGATGGGTACATGATGAAACCTTGCCGACAACCACTGCGCTTCGCCTGCTAACATGTCACAGGCTCGCTCTCCGAGCAACTGCAGGACTATGACGGTGCCATGCAATGCTACGAACAGGCCTTGAAGTACAATCAATGGTCTGTGCCAGCTATGCAGGGCATTGCATGCATCTTGCGCACCAAAGACGCTTTCCCAGCGGCCGTCGAGTATCTGCGCACCATTCTCAAGGTCGACCCGGCCAACGGTGATGTTTGGGGCAGCCTCGGTATGGCTTAATTCTGCTCTTGTCAAGTACACCAGCTAACTATATCAGGTCATTGCTACTTGATGATGGATGACTTGCAGCAAGCTTATTCTGCTTACCAACAAGCACTCTATCACTTGTCCGATCCCAAGGTATGTCACCTCCATCACCTCCTTTGACACTTGGCCACTAACTGCTGCCAGGAACCCAAACTTTGGTATGGCATTGGAATCCTGTACGACCGCTACGGGTCCCTCGAGCATGCCGAAGAGGCCTTCTCCCAGGTCATGCGTATGGAGCCCAACTTCGAGAAGGCGAACGAGATCTACTTTCGGCTTGGTATAATATATAAGCAACAACAAAAGTTCAGCCAGAGTTTAGACGTACGTACATACGCTGCCTGGCCTACGACGTTTACTAACATGGCAACAGTGCTTCAGATACATCGTCACAAACCCGCCACGACCATTGACCGAAGAGGATATCTGGTTCCAGATTGGTCACGTATATGAACAGCAGAAAGAGGTTTGTCCACTCGCTCTGTCCTGATTCCTTCGCTAACGCCCCGTGTAGTTTGAGTCGGCCAAGGGCGCCTACCGCCGGGTCCTTGAGCGTGATCCCAATCACGCCAAGGTGCTTCAGCAGCTGGGCTGGTTGCACCACCAGCAGAGCACCAACTACACAAGCCAGGAACAGGCTATCGAGTACCTGGAGAAATCCGTCGCTTCAGGTAAGTCCTGTGTCTCCCCATACGATAATCACCTCATATCTGATTGCTTGCTTTAGATCAAACCGACGCACAAAGCTGGTACCTACTAGGCCGTTGTTACATGTCACAACAGAAATACCCCAAGGCGTACGAGGCCTATCAGCAAGCCGTGTATCGTGATGGCAGGAACCCAACCTTCTGGTGCAGCATAGGAGTGCTGTATTACCAAATTAACCAGTACCGCGATGCGCTAGACGCCTACTCTCGAGCCATCCGACTGAACCCCAACATTTCCGAGGTTTGGTACGATCTCGGCACACTGGTCAGTCCCTCAGATCCTCCCACCTTGGTAAAGATTCTAACAATGGCACAGTATGAGTCTTGCAACAACCAGACAGCCGATGCCTTGGACGCATATCAACGTGCGGCTGATCTTGACCCGTCTAATGTACACATCAAGGCTCGCCTGCAGCTTTTGCAGAACGGCCAGACATCTGCTGGCGCGCCGAACCAGGGCAATGCTCCAGTCCCTCAAGACGTCCATCCCCAGGCTTATCAACCTGCCTCCGTTCATGGACCTGCTGCACCACAATGGGGTGCTCCTCAGCCTCAGCAACCACCCCCGGGACCTGCTCCACCAGCCTTGGCCGGCTCGGGATGGGATCGACCTCTAGCCCAGATCCGCGATCCTGGTATGCCTCCCCAGCAGTTGAACCCATATGAGCAGCGCGAGGGTATACGCCCGCCTACGCAGCATGCTCCCCAACGACCTGTGAGCCCTAGGCAGGAGCCTCCTAGGTCGTATGCAGAGCCTCCACGACCTGCTACCAATGGCCCCGGTCCTCAAGGACCTGGTGGTCCTCCACCTCCGGGCCCTGGCTCTATGCGTCGTGGCATGTCGCCTTCCCCAAAGACGCACCACGTCGCTCCCAGTCCATATCACCCTGCGCCGCCCCAGCTTACGCCCCAGCCTTCGCAGGCGCAGCCACAAATCCCGCTGCATCAGCAACAGCAGCCACCCAACCGCATCTCGAATCCCAACTACGGCCCTCATGCCGCTAGTGTCCCCCCTCCACCACCACCGCCGCCCACCAGCCTCGGTGTGCCGGCAGGTCAAGGTCCGAGTCAAGGCCCTATAACACCCTATGGCCGTCCCGCCAGCCCACCTCCTGAGGTCCGACCCATTGTCGAGAACCGGGCAGGGTCCCCGCGCAATGGATACCAGGGACCATACCAGCACCATCCTGATCCTTCGGCCAGCAGCGGCATTGCTAGCGGCGCTCCTCCCCCAGCTTCTGCTCTGGCTGCAGCTGAAGCAGCAGCTCGAGATCGTGATGAACGTCCCCCAACTGCGCCGCCAAAGCGACACCGAGAGTGGGAAGAACCTGATCACATGAATCCTAAGCCTCCTGCCAACGACGAGAAGCGCCAAAAGCTAGAGGAACCGCACAGCCGCCGCCCTAGTCCCCAACATCGAATGTCGTCGCCTCAGGTACCTCGTCACAGCCCTCAGGACGCACCTGATCCTCGACGTTTCAACGACGGGTATCATCCATCTGATGCTGCTCATCACCCGACACTCCCGCCGATGGGAGCTGCTCCATCGCTTCCGCGCATGTCGGAGACACCGAAGCAGGATCGGCCGGAGCATCACGAACCGGCTGCTCGTCACATGGACGTGGATGAGAACTACGACGACGACGGCGAGGATGTGAAGCCGAATGCGTCCAAGTCTGATCGGGGAAGTCCACGGAACGCACCTACTAATGGCGTACCGCATGCCCCAACCCCGGTCGAGCAGAAGTCGTAGGAGGACTAGATCAATCGGCCGAATTATCAATTGTGTTGTCTGCAGCCTGTTTCGAGGTGTGCATATCCTCGTACTAACTAGCCTTCCCACATGAAATTGCATCTTTCTGTTTTTAGTTTGTTTCTATGACGAGTGAGTCTACTTCCATGTTTGGGGTCTTTGGAGCAGCGGAGCATCTAGACATGTTGCCAGCTAGCCGGAGTTGAAGGGAGCGATATCCAGGGATTGTATTTGAGGGAGAGGACATGTCAGACGAGCATGATCGGTTTGTTGATTTTGCCATTTTAGCAACGGCTGTATGATGTTTTATTTCGTCACGAACCAGAAGAAGCAATAAATTCTTAATGTTACAGCCTGATTTTGTCGTGTGGAGCAGTGATTGTCACATAGGGCTACATTCCTTGAGCGCTACGAGTTAGGGTTGTTGGTGAGGAGGGAGTAGTGGGGCTGGCCCGCATCGCACCTGCCACAGCTGCAGCTCGACTGTTGCGTCATTGAAGCGCCAAATCATGGGCAGGCTACCTCAGCGACTTGTCCACAGAACTGCAAGAACTGCCTACCGCACACCTACTACAAGACGTTCATCTATCCTCTCCATCAAGACAGATATATCCGGCAATACAGCCACTTCCACCGCCTCCACAAGCCTTCAGAACCGCCGCGATTCACAGCCCGCCTACTCTCTGACCTCAGGCACCTCGAAGCTCAGCACCTACCCTCGCCCTCTACGCACGAGAGCAGCTCTTCTGCCAAGACGAAACATGTCCTCGGACGCCGACTACGCTTCCTTCCTCAACAAGGCCAACCAAGACACTGGGGCCGCAGAGCAGCAGAGCGCGTCGAAGAAAAGCTATGGCAGTAAGAGCGTGGACACTGATGTGCCCAAGGTACTAGAACAAGTGGAGGAATACTACACGAGTGACGCGGACGAACCGTTCGAACCGGTCGCACTGAAGTTTGATGGGAGCGATGTCAGCGCAGGTAAGCACACGGTACACTTGAGATGAAACCGCCTTTAGTGGGACCTGGAAACATATGACCATGAGGCTGATGCGCGCACAGATGACCTGAAGAAACTCATCGGAGGGGACAAGGAGGTTGAAGAGGTCAAGCAGAAGAGCTTCGAGAGCCAGTACAAGACGGTAATCGATGCGGTGAAGAAGGCAGGCAACGGGCAGGTCAAGATCTTCAGGGTGGAGCTTAGCAGCACAAGAGCGGAATACTATGTCGTGACTGCGGATGAGAAGGAAGGCAGGATTGTGGGATTGAAGGCGCTCAGCGTTGAGTCGTGATGGCTATATTGAAGTGGTTTATATTATCCCAGGCTCGAGCATGTAGAATCGAGTAGAAAATAACGGGCCTATCTATGCATAGGAGATGACGAGAAGATGTTTTAGGGCATAAAACCGAGAAACCGTGAGACAGCGGAGCGTTGTTGGCAAAAGCAGGGCAATTATGGAGAAGTACCCGCCTTGCTCACATAGAGTGGAGCTCTTGCCGTGCAGCTGCAACGTAGCTCATTGAGATCAACCTTTTGAAACATGCAAAGGCCCAGGAACACCATGCCATGAGCCTGTTGGCCAAACAAAGCCTTGCGGTTCAGCTTCCCACCACTTGGCGGCTGTCCAGCTGCAACACCAGCAGCCATCCACGAGGTATATATTCTTCAGCGTCGCTATACCAAAGCAAGGCTCAGCCCTGCGCGACGACTCGGTGGGCGGGCGCTAATTGGCTCGTCGGGCGAAGATGGTCACTGGCCCAATCACTGGCCAGGCTCGGCGGCTGCAGGAATTTCTAGAACTGCGCCTTCCGCCCCAATTTCGGGACGAGGTTTTAGCGCTTGGCGGGCACCTGGGCACACGCAAAGCAGGAGAGGACAAGGCAGGACAGGACAGGAGAGGAGACGGGGTTGCGCCATGTTAAAACATGTGTCCTGCTCCTCGTTGGCTGTGTGAGATTGTCGTGGGAGACGTGTGAAAAAGGTGGCAGAACCATGGTCGCGAAGTGGCAATGACAGTGAGTGACAGTTTGACATGGCACGACCTCACGACAAAAGGATCAAGAGGGTATACGAGTAAGTCGATCGCCTACGCCATGCGGCAGCGATACGATGGGTGAGGTGTCGGATACGAGATGAGAGAGATGGCAAGGTTAGGCTCGACCGCCGCCGCGACTAGGCTGTGCGGCAAAGGCTTTAGATAGCCTGGGCGCTGGGTTATCATATGTGGTGCGACGCGTCATCACAGGCACGAAGGTTTGGGGGAAGGATGAAGTTGGTTTTGTTTATGGGTGGAAGGCGCCGACTATGTTTAGATAGACAGCTAGAATAGCGTGGTGAGGGGGGGAATGGGCACATTAGAGCTAACCGATGTTTCTGTAGAAACAAGCTGCAGACTACATGGTGAGTGCATGAGGGATGACAGAATCAAATCAAGATGCGACTGGCGATGATCGTCCCAGAGAGAGGCCCAGTCAGGGGCGCGTGCATGACGGCTTTGTATAGTCGAGCATAGCGGTGCGCAATCTCGGTGGTGGCAGGCGAGGGCCCTGGGCGTAAATGATGGAGGATAGCGATGGACATGACAAGAAGGGACGGTAAATTTAGCAGTAGCAGGCCCTCCTGTGTCTTGTTCTTGTCTTGTCTTGTCTGGTCTTGTAGTAGCCCGTGAGGAGCTGGTCGGCCCTTCATTGGCTTCGACCTGTTCGTCTCCCTGAAGGCTCTGTGGACCAGCCCCAGGGGACCCTCGCCCGGAGCTCCCAACCCATTGCCACCCTGCTCTCCACGACACTTGACCTGTTTGTTCACTCCCTTTTGCACTTGTACTCTACCGCTGTCCTCTCACCACCACAAGGAACCTGTGCGAACATCCTGACCCGTGCATCCATCGACAGCGACAGCGACATCGACATCTCCCAATAATCCCCAATTCGCCTCCTATTATTGGTGGTCGTGTGCACTCAATCGCGCCTGCCTCCCACGCGCGTTCCTGGCTGACAAGACTACTACCCTGGACGCCCCCGTTTGGGCCAGGAGCGACTCACTTGTGCCTTCCCACCCATCGACCCATTCTACTCCTCCTCCTCGTCCTCGTCCTCCTCGCTGCGCCCGAGTCCTACTCTTCCACTCCAGCAGCGATACCGAGCGAGCACTTGTTGCATTGCGACGCTGGTTGCCCCGTCACCTGCCTGCTTGCTGCACGGCCACTGGAAACACATCGCTCCCTTCTTTGCCATTTTCCCCGACTGCGTGCCACAGCCCACCAACAACAGCCCCCCTTTAGCGACTATACACGCCCGCCCTGGCGCCGTCATAGCAGAGAGCTCTGTTAGCACTCTCACCGCATACGCTCGCTCACCATGTCACCGCCGCAGTCTCCTAGGGGCGACGGTCCTCCACACATCCGCCTCAATTCCGGTACCCAAGAAGCCCGTACCGACGATAACGCGCCGCCTGCTGTGCGACCAAGCACCGCGCGCAATAACTCGGCCCGCTCATTAACACAGCCCATACGCCCCGGCACTGCCTCGAGTGCGGCCCTGCGCTCAGCAACAGGATCCTCGCTCTATAAACATGAAGGCATCGCCGAGTCGGCCGAGATGCTGCTCCCGCCAAGGAAGCTCAAGGGGGGTGCTGGTGGCCACTATCGCGACGAGTCACCAATGTCGTCGCGCCGGACAAGCTGGAGTTCCGATGCCACACGCGACTCGGGCGGCCCCTTTGCCTCGCCATTCGACGACTCGAGAGCCCCGTCGCGCGCGGGGAGCGAAGAGGATTTAAACACACAGACCGTGTCGGAGAAGTTCAACATCCTGCCCTCGGCGGGGCTGTTGCTGTTCCCCGAAGATGTCGAAAAGGACGACTATCTGCACAACCCAGATCCCAACGACAAGGACAAGCTAGAGTGCGACGTCTGGAACAGGAGAGGTCTCGTCAACCTTGGCGGACTCGCCCTACTCACCATTGGGCTTCTTTTCCTGTTCATCGGCTATCCTGTAATGTACGTTTTTACCTTGATCCACCCGCTCTCATGCATCGCATCTTTACTAACCTTGTCATGCAGGACTTTTGTCGACAAAATGACCAAACCAGTAAGAGGTCCTTGTACGAACAACCCGTTGTGTATAAAAGGAAAAGAGAACGAGCCTTTATTCAAAAATCTACGCACGGGTCTAATCGACCCCGACACACCAGCGAGCGCCATGACACGGACATCAGCCGATGGATCGAAACAGGTCCTGGTCTTCTCAGACGAGTTCAAAAAAGACGGACGCACGTTTTACGATGGAGATGATCCCTACTTTCAAGCTGTAGACATTTGGTACGGCGCTACGCAGGATTTGGAGGTTAGTGTAATCAGGCATCCATTCATTCAAGCAGCGCTAATCTCCCGTAGTGGTATGATCCCGATGCAGCTTACACCGAGAATGGTACACTCAACCTCAAGTTTGACCTGTTCAAGAACCACGGCCTCAACTATCGATCTGGTATGGTTCAGTCATGGAACAAGCTGTGCTACAAGGGCGGCCACCTGGAAGCCAGTATATCGTTACCTGGTCGCGGTGACGTCAGTGGGTTCTGGCCTGGTTTTTGGACCATGGGTAACCTCGCCCGTCCTGGCTATCTTGGCTCGACCGAAGGCCTTTGGCCGTACAGTTACCATGACGAATGCGACATCGGCATCACGCCAAACCAAAGCTCATATGATGGCCTCAGTTATCTGCCTGGAATGAGACTGCCAGCTTGTACATGCAAAGGCGAAGACCATCCCAATCCTGGCAGGTCTCGAAGCGCACCGGAGATTGATGCCTTGGAGGGCTCAGTCCACTTTTTGGGTCCTGGCGAAACCAACGCTGTCGGAGTCGTCTCCCAATCCTTCCAGGCAGCGCCATTTGATATCTGGTATATGCCCGACTACAGTGAGTCTTTCCATGTCGTGTCCCTTGGGTTCCCAGCTAAACATCACTAGACTACTTCGAGGTTTATAATACCCAGATCACCATGATTAACGCTTACAAGGGTGGACCTTACCAGCAAGCTAACTCAGGGCTAACCAACCTGAATACCGACTGGTACAACGGCAAGCAGTACCAAACGTACTCGTTCGAATACAAGACTGGCAAAAACGGCTTCATCACGTGGTATGTCGGCGAGGACAAGACCTGGACAATGAAGGCTGCAGCGACACGGCCCAACGGCAACATCGGCACGAGAGTGATTCCCGAAGAGCCCATGGCCATCATCGCCAACTTTGGCATGTCGAACAGTTTCGCCGCCATCAACCTCGACGAGATTCAGAAGGACTTACCCGCTGTTATGCGGGTTGACTACATCCGTATATACCAGCCGGAGAACAACCAGATTGTAACCTGCGATCCCGATGATTATCCCACCACGGAGTATATTGAGAAGCACCCGGCGCCATATGCGAATCCTAACCTCACCAATTGGTAAGTGGTAAAGGGTGAAGAAAATTGAATTCTGCTAACAGTCAACAGGGCAGGAACAGGATTCGACTGGCCGAAGAACTCCTTCATGCATGACTGCAAGTCATAAGCTTCGGAAGGCTCGTCATTTTCTCGTTAAAAGGAGCCACCGGATCTGGTTCCTGTTTCCTTATGTCGACTACTTAATGTGGCCCACGGCAACGACAATACACGCAAAATGGAATATCGCAAGAGCACGTTAATTTTAGACGTTTCCTTCTTCGACGCCTTGGTCAAGGCACTGTACGCAATCAGCATTTGCACCGGAGCTCGAGGCGCGGCGTTTCTGGCGCTTTTTTTTTTATATCTACGGATTATTTTCCGTCCCTGATTTTTCTAGAGACGGGGCGGCAACCAAGTAACCTGGCACCTAGGACAGATACCCACCTACCCTAGGCCCACGGCTTGTGTATTTCGCACCATTCCCTTCTTTCAGCGACGTGAATTACTTTCCTCTGACAGAGTTGGTTATTTTGGCGGCGTCGACTCTTCCAGTTCACATAGACGGCGCCCTTTGTATATCACGGCATTTGCTCTTCTATGCATCGCTTGTATAAAGCATTTTGGACTTGTCAGGACTTTTAGTCTTGTTTGTTTTGTTTTTTGGTTACTTTTGAGCTTTTGGGGGCGTGGATCGCCCTTTGATAATGCATTTCTATCATCCTCTCATCTGGTCTTTGCCCCCGTTTGTTGGTATTGGCCGAAGAGCAGCACGCGATGGGCCTTTGAGGAGGCATATTGAAGTAGACGGTATGGGAATGGCTGATGATGACTACTACTTCAAATTCCTGCGGGCGTTGTAATGTTTTCAGTGGGGGGAGGGGTTAGAGGCCTGTGTGTGTTGGGGGAGGATATGCTTGAGGCAAGCAAGACATGGAGTGGAGCCTATTCGGATATCTGAAAAGCTTTTTTCAATGAATGAACAAAAAAGTGCAAAACATGAACCGCGTGCTAGTCACTACTACTGAGATATCATTTCATGTCTATTAATATCCCCCAGTATCATACGCTAGTGAGATGGGGTCGTCAACAGCAACTCGTGTAGATCGTTAAACAACAAGTCATGCATGGATAGTCCGTCCTCCATGACACAAAGCTCACGTGGTAGTCGCACACGCTGGCTCGACCATGGACATTGATCGGCCCTTTCTCCGTCCAGCCACCCACTCCACTCCCTCGCTACCATGGATCTGCATGAGCCTGATGACACAATTACGTTAAATAATTGAGTGAGATTTTAGCTGTGCAATCTACACCTTGTTTCCCTTTTTTCAACAAGTTACCCGTTTAGGAAGGATGCCGCATCGTCACTTCACTACTGGACTACAAGACGTGTAATTGGCGACATTTGCTACCCGCATCGAAGTCTAGATTCTACTCAAGTTCACGTAAACTCACAGCGTCTCAGCAACGACCATCGGTCCAGCAACCTCATCCCTCTTCTCTTTCCCAGAAATGACCTCGACAATCGTGAGCGCAAACAGCAACGCAGTGCCGGGCCTATCCTTTGCATTAGCACATTCTTCAACCACTATTATCATCCGACTTTCATCTCCACGTACCCTCGACTAGTAACAATCTTGCCGTCCACCACCACCCTCTCCTCACTATACTCCCACCCCGCCCCCTTGACCTCTTCCGTCACGCTCGGATGGCTCGTCACTTTCCCCGTCCCACCCCCACGCGCCTTCTCCGCAGCCACAAGCGCCGTCGTCCCCGCACAAATCGCAGCAACCCACTTACCCGCCTTGCGGAAATTGGCCACCATGTCCAGTACAGTGTCTGATGTGCTGAAAGTTTTGGCGCCAGGCCCGCCGCCGGGCAGGATGAGAATGTCGAAGTTTTCATGGGCGTTTTGCGAGGGCACGGCTTGGAGGGTCGTGTGGTCCGGGACGATGCGGATATTTCGCGTCATGCTGCGTTGGTGATGTGTGAGTTATGGACTGGGGTAGTAGGGGTATTTCGTGAGGAAAGGGGGGGAAACGCACTGTGCGTATCCTTCGTTCTTTAGTTGTACGCCTGCTGATTTGACTTCGAAGCCGGCTCGGGTCAGGACTGTGTGTTGTTAGTATTTTGAGGTCATGTTTGAGCTATATTGCCACTCTAGGACTATCTGGAAGGGGGTGGAGGCCTACCATCATAAGGAGTAACAAACTCAATCTCCTCCGACCCGTCTGCAATCAGAATCAATGCTTTCGGCATCGTGTCTATGTGAGGATCTGAACGATCAAACTTTCAAATCAACGGTAGTGGAGAACGAGACGCAAATGCTCTACGATGGGTGATTGACAAAGAAAATCGAGTTGGAAAGGTGCTGGAAAGGAAAGCCCATGAGGTTGTTGAATCAACAGTTGGTGTGACGTAGGGTGGCCTGAGCGTTTGCGTGGGGAAGGTACGACGTGCCAAACACCGGGGAAAAGGTGAAGTGAGACAAGACCTCACAAAGTCAGTGCTTACCTCTCTCCGATTTGCAAAATGTTTGCACGCAGAGAACGGCACAAAGGTCTAGTAGTTTGAAATCGTAATAGATGGCATTTGCTCGTTGAATACTCCCGCCAAGTCTCATCAAGGATATCACTAAACCACTGTACGATCGCCTATATACATCCACCCATGTGTGCTTTCCAAACCAACTACACCACCCAGATTCGTACCATTAGAGAGCGCCAAACGTCAAGCGCCAAAATCAAACTGCGCAAATACCAAGACTGTGCAAACGCGCAGCCACCCATCTATGCATTGCAAAAACCCGGGATATCTCTCGTAAGCTCGAGCAAGGAAATGGACCGCTCAAAGAAAACGTCTTTCAAGACAAAAGACACCCAAACGGCAGATTCAGATCACAAATGTCCCTTTCTAAGATCAATATTAGAGCGGTTAGCGGTTTGATGGAGCGCCTGCCTCCTCCATCTCACTGCTAAGAAAATCGACCGAAGGGGTATGCCAGAAAACAGAAAATCGGTCCATGTCTATCGTTGAGTCCGTGTAACGCGCATCGCATCGCAGAGCCAAGCATCAAAATGAGCCCAAAAGCAGCAAAAGAACAGGGATGAGAGGTCGTCGTGGTCTAAATAGACCCACACGTTTGAGAATCCAAACGCCGGACGTGATATAAGAGAGCGTAGTCGTGCAGTTTGTGTTGTATAGCCGCCGCGACCGGTGTCGTTATGCATTTGGTGCAAAACAAAATTCTGAAGGGCGGGTGGAAGCCGTCAAGAGCGATCAAAGACTCATAGTCAGCCATTCCTAAAACACATTTGTTAGCAGTTAAACAATATTTTACAATGTGGGTGTCCTTACCCATTCAGCAGGGCCTGATGACTGCAAACCCTGGCCCATGGCACCCATGGGAAGAGCGCCCAGGTTCTGGCTTGGGAATGCACTCGGACTTGCAATGGGGGCGTCTCTCCTTCGCGAAGGTGCCTTTCCATTCGTGTCATCTGCATCGGCCATTTCTAGCTCCTGCGGTTCACTCCTACTCTGACCCCGCGCTCGTCGAGGTGTCACGTTGACTCCTCGAGACTGCGTGGGGGTTACTGATGAGCTGGTAGTTTTGGGTGGGCCAGGGGCGATAGGAATCACGCCGTTAGCCTTGGAGGTCGGTGTAGCAGCTGATAGCAAACTGGCACCAGAGATTCCGCCGCCGCTGGACCCTGTAGATTTGGGAGACTCGGAGTCTGCTGCCTTGTTCGAAGTCGGCGTCGTAACTGGGGTATGTGCGATGGAGTTTTTGCGGGATGTCTTTTTCGATGACCGTGTTGCTGCTGAGCCAACGGGTGCGTTGCCGCTGCCTCGGTTGCGTTTCTTAATGACATCAGTCTTAAGTGACAACGGCCGGACGACGCCATGCAGCTTCAAGAAGAGACCGCATGCGTTGCAGAGTGGGTGGCCTTCTGGATTACGGCGCCACAAGGGCGTCGTCTGAGTAAAGCAGTTGGTGCAGGTGGTGGGAGCACTGCCTTCGCCTGGCTTTGTTCCATTAGGACTTTCAGGTCGCGAAGGTGCTGCAGAACTGAAGCCCGACTCTGGAGGTGAGTTTGGTGAGGACTGCGAGAGACCGTGCATGCCCTGAAGCACCAAGCCGGCTGCGTTCGGCGTGGAGCTGGTGCGGGGTATCTTTTGGCGTCGGGGGTCGTTTCCACGATTGCGAATGTCGCTAACAGAGGCGGCTGAGCCATGCGTCCGGCCAAGACTACCCCCTGGACTCCAGTGATCTTGCGGTGAGTGCACGATTTCAGTTGGGCCAATAGTGACGGTTTTTCGAGGCGGCCCAGCGGGGTAGCGGGCTTGCATTGGGTTGAATTGGTTCGAGAGGTTGGTCTCCCATTGGAAGCCAGAGGTGAAATCCAAAGGCCCGTCTTCCATGGGTGAGAATTCTTGGGCAGGCATAGTACGGTCTGCAAAGGCGCTGCCTTCGTCGTCCTCGGCGTCCGAATCAGCACCAAAAGTGAACATGTTCTCTTGGCGTGTCATTTGCATTTCGTGTTGCTGTCGGAGGGGAAGGTTGTTGTGTAGTACATGAGACGGATCAACGTGGTGACTTGAATGCCCAAACGAAGATGCCGAAAAGGGCAGTGAGGAACTGGCGCTCGTGACGGGACTGAAAACAGACTCTGAGTCGCCTACACCGGGATTGAAGATGAATTGGGTTTGCATCGAGGTGGACAAGTTGGAGGGTCGGTGCGGTCCGTACAAGCCGCTACTATGCGTGCTACGGATGTCCATGCCGCTTCGATCAAAATACATCTGATTGTCCTCGGCCATGGGTTGGGGCGTCGAGGCCGTGGAGGGGAAGGCGGAGCTGGGAGGAGAGTAGTAGTCGGTGGAGTTGAGGGAGGAGGCCATGGAGTTTGGGTTGAACAGGTTGTTGCTGAAGGCGTTGTGGTTCATCATGGGCGAGCCGACAGGAGAGAAGCCAAAGTTTTGCTGGAAAGGGCCGGCCGAGCTGATGATGGAGTCGTCGGGCATCTGGAAGGTGTCGATGGAGTAGGGGACCTGGGCCTGCGAGGCCGGGAAGGTCGGGGGTCGCATGCCGTGGTCGAGCGAGTACTGGCTCAGGTCGGCCTCTGCTTGGGCGTCTGTGGGGATCATGCCGCTGTGAACGGGAGGGACCAGAGGCGAGGCTTCTGCTCGCCGTTTGGGGGGCTGATAAGCGGTTAGTGAGGGCGTAGAGGGACGTGGTGGGCAGGGCGATAAGGGACTCACTCGTCGCTCGTCAATGCTGGTCTTGCGGACATGCCGAGGCACGTAGCCAAATTCATTCTCTCTATTGATTGCAGGAGGGACTGAGGGGGCAGAGGCGCGGGCGAGGGAGAGGTGATGGTCGTTGGCCTGATTAAGCTTTCTTATCGGTATCGCTGGGGCGGTTGCATGAAATGGAGCTGATCCCTCATTCGACGCTTCTGGCGACAGGCCTGCAGGACTGCCGACGGACGAGGGAAATATAAAATCGTCTAGATTCATCGTGTCTGGGGGTGGTTGCTGTACCTGCGCCTGCTGGTCGGCCGACTTTCTCAACTGCTGCGCGATTCCACTCGGGGCAGAGCGGGGAGGCGGACGTGTGCTCTGTGCAGCAGCAGCGGCAGCAGGCGGTGGTGGTGGCATCAGATCACTGCTCTGGCTGCTGGGTCTGCTCTGGATATGTCTGCACGCAATGGCTAGTTAGCCAGGCTCAGGACGAGGCGAGAGGTCAGCAAGTAGCGACATGGCGGCATGCATACCCTTTATTGCGATCGAGCCCGGCCCGCCGCATGTTCATGGCCATCATTCGCCAGGTCAGGTTCTCCATGCGCTCTGCATTGGGCAGCTGGGTTTTGGCTCGTGAGTAGAGCTTCCATATCTGCGTGCCCAGCGGGTCGTTCTTCTGCATTTCCTCTGGCGACTCCCCGCCTGGCGAGTCGACAGGGTTGCCAAAGGCTGGGAAAATGGCATCGTCGAGCACGCCGCGGCGGTCGGCGTCGTCGGGCGCAGACAGGTCCATTGCGCCCTCTGGCACGGCAAAGTCCATGGGGTGTGGCGGCGAGGAGCCCTCAGTCGTTGGGAAGTGTTGCTCACGGTGCCTTTGGGGAGGGCGATGATGTAGTAGCTGCGACGGCGCGCGTGCTCTGAATGTGTCGGATGGGCGTACCCCACGTAGGCGTGGAGGGGAGGGGGGACCTTGGCTGCAACCACACACAGCCGAAGAGAGCCCAGAGTGGTGGTGCTGGTGCTTGTGCTGGTGCTGGTGCTGGTGCTGCTGTAGTGGGCAGTGGGTGGGCGTTTGCGGCCAGATGCTGGTGCTGGGGACTGGATGTCGGTCGGCCTGGAGTTATTATTTGCCCTGGAATGCTTTTGCTGCTGCTGCTGCTGTCAGTCTGCTACTACTGCTACTACTACTACTACTACTACTGTTACCACTACTCTATGCCCTGCTCTGCTCCACGGGGAAACCCTTGCACCGTCAACCACCAGTGAGCGGCGCAATAATCAATTGCTCCTCCCGAGCTCCAGCATTGGCACCAAGGCAAGCGTCGCGAGCGAGTCGTGGGCCTGGGAGGTGCCGTTCAGTGCCCACGCTCAACCCCCACCCATTCACTCTGCCTTTGCCAATCATGCCCCTTGTTGCTGCTGTACCAGTCCAGGGAGAAATGCCTGGACGTGCAGCCGGGCGTGCTGTTTGGCCGGCTTTGAACGCCCTCGAATGGCAGCGCCCAAACCCTTCAATTCAACTGCACAGTGTCGTCAAACCCGCCACTCGAAAAAGCAAGCTGCCTGCGCACACGACACGGCTAATTACCGCGCTTCTACTCGCGCTCCACTCCACCCAGGGGCCCGTTGTGAACCGTTTGCCAGCCCGATCGCGGCGGTTCAAGCTGAGGTTGAGGCCTGGGGGGGCTGAATCAATGGGACCGACACACTGAACAATGCCTGTCTGCCCGGCCGCTTAGCATGCACGCCCTGGTTCATTCAGAGACCGCCTGAACCGTGCAGCCATATATACAATTACGGACCCTGTCTCACCGCGACGTAGGCTATTACTCGACCCAGAGCTCGTGTGCGACGTGCAGAGAGTGGGCTGCGTTGCTGACCACCTTCCACCCCCCCCTCCTCCTCTAGAACAAAGCACAGGGACTCCGACGCCAGTCGAGCTGGCTCACTTCCGCTCTTGACATGTTCTACTGCGATCCACAACCCAGATCCACCAACTGCAGCCGGCTCAAGGCCTCGGTAGTAGAGAACAGCGGGACTGTGCACCCCTATTGGCTGTGCCCGTGGCTCTCACCGGGTGCCTAGCCAAATCCATCCATCCAGCCAGATTCCTACGCCGAAGCTCATCCTCATCGTCGACCTTCCGCTACACCTGGCTGCTTGCGCGCGCAATATCCTGTCATTTCCAGTGAGCCCCAGTTGTGCCTCGCTCCAGGCCACAGCGAAGACCTCGTCAGCAAGTGGATGCTTCCTGTGGCAACAGGCCTGCGATCACCAGCTAAATAAGGCACACGCAGTTCCAAGATAGCTCCTTTGTTCACCCGAACTTCAACCAACTACTCATCCCGACTTGTACCGGCTCCTTCCAATAAATCCCGAACTGCACTGCCATCTCAGGGTTCGGTACAACGGGCCCACAGCTTTCCCCTGCTACAGCTCCACCTCCCGCACGTGGTTGGAGCCATCTAAACTCCTAGTCTAATCCAACAGCGCCTATCGTCCGTGGCTTCTGGGCTTGCGGGAATTGGCGCATTCAACAGCAATAGGTGAGGCAAATGATCCTCGTCCAAGCCATTCTCTACATTCTACATGGACATTCTGGAAAGTCCGTATATGTATATATATATATATATAAGGTCCAAAAGAACCACAAGACACGCACCCAGGTCCCACTCCACACGTTGTTGCAACCCTATTTCTAGACACATGCACGTCATCTGGCACTAACTAGACATGATCGGGCCAGTGAGCCATCTTCAGCCAGCAAGGCCTAATCGGTAGAGCGCGCCCAGGGTCCATGGCAGAGTGGAGAACGAGGCCATACCCGCTGGAGTTTTCTCCGTCGCCATCACCGAGCGACAAGTTGATTACTCACAGACTTGTCTAACAGCAAGACGAGGAATATGTGGCGATCTAGTAATGCATGCGTGCGGCCAAATTGGATTGACAACCCTAGCAACGCCCAGCGGTATATTGAAACTGCAGCCAGTGATAGCAGTGGCATTATTCACATCCGGGCACGACTCATTTCCCTCCAACAACGCTGGTGTTTGACGTCGTAAATCCGCTAACTTGGGACGATCGCCTAGAACCTTGCTGACCGGCACTGTGGATTTCACATGTGAAAGCTGGGCCTTGGAGACAAAGACAACAAACTCGAGTTGAATAGCGCAGACCTACTAACGTTACTACGCCTTGCCTTTCAGACAGGGCCAAAGCCGAAGAATTCCGCCGCCTTTTTACCCATTATATCTATAATAGAGCATGCAAAGACATGGTTTGCTGGATATTGAAGCCGCGAAACCCCCACACTTCTTCCCCGTTGGGAGCAAGTAGCTTCGGTGCATCCGTGCTCATGCAAGCCTCCCAAGCCACTTACATCTGACTTGCATGCCACTAGTAGGGATATAAAGCCTAGATCAACTGCTAGCCCGACGCAATTCCGCTAACCTCAGTTCGTGAGACGGATGTGCCGAATTGCTGGCTTTGACACGCTATGGACGCAGAAGCCGTACCAACACGCCGCGTCTGCAGCGAATTCCTGCGCTCTTTTGCCTTTTGAAATCCTGATTACGCGGCTGCATATCAAAGACGTCCGACTTCGCAGCTTTGGCTTCCTAGGGACCGCGGAAACGCTTGGTGGAGTGCGTAATGTCCGGACCACGCTGTACCAAGTAGCGACGGAAGTATTACACCGCCTAAACGCCGGACATATCAATCACCCACAACCCCAGTAGCACACGGGTGCACGTCTCCTTTTAGCAGGTCGAGGTAGCTGTGGGGAACGTTTGGACATCCGATCCTTGATACAGGCGCGGGATGCCGTGGGGTCAAAGTACGTGATTCATTTAGGCGTCGTATCGGAGCCCCTTGGGCCCTCGACACCACCTCCTTCACCGATCAACGGGTCGAGGTGGATTGGCCGTCGACGGGCCGGGCGTGGGCGAGAGGAGAGCGGGTCTGCTCGTGTGCTTCGTTGAGTCGCACTCATGCGGAGGCTCGTGTGCTTTGATTCCACATCGGTTCGCAGGACATCCGTCATCCTTGGTCAGCGACCATGTCACTCCAGTCTTTCCTGGTGACTGCTGCCCTCGCCGGTGCGATGCCAAGGTATTGCCGAACCGTCCTCTACGTGTTGGAGCATCGTATCGTATCTGCAGGGGCAGCGGAGGGTTGCGTGCGTTGACCAGACCAGACCGCGCTGCGAGTTCAATACGCCATCCGTAGTTGCAACAGGGTGACAACAGGAGTGCAATGCAATATCAACTCATGAGCAGCTCCCACAAGTTCGTACCATCCTGCCCCCGTTCAAACGTCCAAAGGAGGTGAGTCGTGATCATCCAGGTCCATTCTTGGCATCCATGGCGGAGAGGTCCCACGCAAAACCACAACGGAGTGGAGAGGATGGGCGGGGATCGAATCGAGAATCTCGGCGCGGAACCATCAACATTTCATCAATCCATGAGCGGAACAGCCCATCTACTTATACCACAGCCGCCCAGGCGGTTCTGCGGTGAGACCATTATCGGTTATCATTGCGCGATTGATAACGACATCCTTAGTGGTCCTCACGTCTAGCACACGTCCCCTTCCAGCCTTCACAATCTTTTCTCACGTCCCAGAACTCACCAATGGCAGGACGTTGTCTTCTTGTCTGGGGCTGTCTGAGCATGAGCTTCCTATCGCGGAGCAGTGAAACCAGGATGACTCGATAGCTTATCAAGGCGCGCGGATGTGGGGAAGCATCGAGAACAAGGCAAGGCTGGTAGATCGCTGATGGGGGAGCTGGGGGATGCGATGCTCTGATGCTTTGTGGGACTGTGCGACACTTGCAACAAAACAACTGCAACAATGCTCAAGTGGCCGACGGCCCTCAGAAACATAGACATGCTTAATTGGAGAGATGTGTGTTGGCGAGCCAGGTAGCCATTGCTTTGCCCCCCACTGAGCAGTAGATAAGTCATCGGCCCTATAGCTACCACGACACCCAGAGGATACTGTTGGCTATCTGAATAGTCCTCTCCGCCGTGAAGAACGCAGGATCATAGCAGCCATCAGGCCCACCTATTGCCATCTCTGAGACATTGAGATAACCCCAACGCTTTGCGTTCTTGTACTTTCGTCGCAGACCTTTCTTTGCGTGCCTCGTGACTACCTTCCAGTGGAACAACGCCGAGTACTAGGGCTTTTTATCTGCAGCTGCAATGTCTCAGTCGACGGTCACCGATATGGTATCGCGCCGTCCCGGTTCGTGGGCTTGTCTGGCTATCAATCGCGAAGCATGTGTCTCGCATTGCTTGTGCTGCAGCCTCACTTCTCCCCCTCCCTTGCACCCTCCTTGGCCTTATCATCACCACCTCCCCCTCCTTTGACCGTCTCTTCTCCTAGTACTTTACTAGCTGCCATGAACCTATCGCACACTCATTAGCCACCCAGCATATCATCGTATATCGCCTCCCAACCAAAACTTGACAAGTCGTCGTCGAGGCATGGATCCCTTACATTGCGCCTGAGTATCCTCCTAGTCCGCGTATATCCTGCGCTTGGCCCGCTGTCATACGCATCAAGCTCTCTAAATCCGACATATTCGCCGTCAATTGCGCGAGCTGTGCCTGGAGGTGTGAGAGTTGACGTGGTTTCTGGGAAGGGACGGTGCTGAGCCGTGACGAAGGCTGGGCGCGCGGGAGGTTCGACATTGCAGAATCGTGTTTGAAGAGAACCTAGGTATTGAAAACCTTGCAAAGGAGAGTGGGACGTTGTTCGTGGTGTTTGTTCGTTGGTTTTGTTGATTGTTGTTTGTCGAAGCAAAGGCGGGGACGCGTCGAGAGACTCCCGCGGCGAACAAGCTTGGCGGTCGGGGTTCTCCAGTTCTCGTCTTTTTCCATCTCGCCTTCATCGATCGACCGCGGAGCTTGACATTGACTGTCTACAGTTTCACCGCAAAGTACAAGCTTGCGAATAAGCCATGACTATCCATCAAGCTGTTCGTCGCTGGATCATGACGGGTGGTGTCGCTGCTGTTACCATCACTGGTACCATGTACGGGGCCGGACTGAAAGGGGATCAAACTGCTAAGCAGGTACGTCGCGATCACTTCTACCCTATACAATTTGCAGCATGTATGTACTAATCTCCTCGCAGACCAAGAAGAAGATGCTCGAAGCCACGCCAGACGAGATCATTGCCCAACTCGAATTCGCACGTGCTGATCTGGTCCTGAAGAAGAATGAGATGGAAAGGAAGATAGCGAGGTTCAAGGAACGCCGTTCCGAGGAGCGGGGACAGACGGAACCGAAATGAAGTGCAGAGAGCCGGTTCACGATCACGCCCGCTCGTATATGATGTACAGCTGCAGGAGCCAGTCCCTGGGAATATACATAACGAGGGGAGGATATGAACTTCCAGGACACCAACGGTTATCACTTGAGTTCTCTGTGGGCATCACGCCTTACCAGGCGCTATCAACGATACTAAAGACGAAAGAGGAGGCGGAGCACGACGTTAGTTCCCAGTCTTGTTGCCAGAGTTACTGGTCGCACTCCCGCGCTTGCCTACGAGAAAACTACGACTAAAGCGACAAAAACCCGGCACGCCATTAGACGTACCTCTAAGCATCGTTTCGTTATCCACAGACGGCTGTTCCAGAGCTATTTTGCCAGCTATGCGACATGGTGGTCGTTGATCTAGCTCAGCGCTGCCTGAGTCACTCTGTTATTTATAGGAGTCGCTATGGAGCAGATTCGAAGAGCGATATTACCGGGTACGACAGGAACGTGCTTCCACGGCTGCACCTATGCACGTCCTACCCTACTAGAACGATGCATGGTCGTTAGGCCTGCAGCACCTTGCAGACACCCCTTCAGAATCCAATAAACAATTCAGCATCCATTCATGTCATCTTGGCCTATCTAATCTTTACCCCACTAGGCTTGACACGGCTGTTCCATGGCCCCCCTTAGCCCGATGCAAAGCGCCCAATCCCTCGAACGCCTCGCAAGCATATAGCCGAAACACTACCACTGCATCAACAACTAACATCCTACCTTTGAGATGAATGGGCACTAGGGTCACGGCCTTTGATACCAAACACGAAGCACACGGTTAACTAGGATCGATAGTACCTCGTATTGAGGGTGTCCGGCACTGAATAGCCCAAATGCAGCAACGCGAGTCGCAGGTCAACCAGCAAGTGTGCAGGCCGAAGGCATTGAAGCACAGGTCCCGAACCCCAGCACTGTGGCAAGAGGTTGTTGTTAAAAGGTTGACATGCTCAGAGAGAAGGCTAGTCAACATCTAATTCATCGCATCCTAGTCTCACAACAACAAAGACTCATGCAGCCAAAGCGCAGAGCACTGCAAGTCAAGAACACGATCTCAGGATACCCATGCATGCACATGTCTGTCCACCAAGTAGCACGTTCTTACCAGCGCTTAGGCTCACTAGACTATCCTTGCGATATGCACGGCATTCACTCGTTCATGGTACGCCGTTGTACTAGACCAATACCTAGCTACGGGATGGTGCAGTAGATTGCCCGTCATGTCCAGTCAAGTCCCAACTTTCACTACGTTGCGGCTGCGTTAAGCTTCGGCAATACCTGCCTTGTGTCGAAGCGTCTCGGTATACTTGCCATCTCACCGGGTTGAACTTTTAGTCTTGGGCCATAACAATTCACGTAGTGCGACAAAACTAGGCTTGAGGGTGATGTTCTGCCATTCTTGGCTATACTACGTTGGGAGTACGCCATCGATACTTGTACCGTTTCCGATGATCGAGGCGAGGCGCCTAGTATGAACGAAGATGTACTGATCTTCTCAGACAAGTAGACTGTCTCGCTTCAACTCTTTTCTCTCATCAGCCTAGTGTCGGCCTTGGATCCTACCCCTACTCCTTCTCCTTCTCCTTCTCTTTCTCCTTCTCCTTCTCTTTCTCCTTCTCCTCCGTCGGTTCGAAGTTCGCCTCACACTCCGTCCCATACGAGAGTGCCGCAGCAACACTACCAGCCGCTCCGACAGCCCCGTTCACCACCCAAGCAGCACTTCCTCCCATGGCCGCACTCTGCGCGATCGCAAAGTAACTGCCAGCTACGACGTTCCCCATCCCGGCCTGTGCACCCGCGGCGACAGATCCTACCACACATGTTGTCAGCGATGTACCGTTGACTGGGGAAAGGGTGGGTGTAGTGATAGAGACGTACCTGCAACAACCCCTCCAGAGGTCCAACCTGCAGCACCAAGCGCGAACGGCCAACTGACTATTGCCGCGGTGGTACCACCCAAAATCCACGCAGCTCGGGGAATTTTCGAGATGGTAGTCGTGAAGTTGCCCATTATATCGGGCTGTCCGATGGGCGTTCCGAAATACATGCTCGACCAAGCTGTTCCGTTGACCATGGTGAGTGTATTCAACTGATGATGCGATATTTCGCTAGAAGGTAACGTTGTGGTTGCGAGTCGCGTAAGTGGAAGGATAGGTGTGGTTTGCTTGCTCGAGGTGGACAGTTTGGCTTTTTAATGAGCAGGGTGAGTGGGCGTTTGTAGGTGGTTCGCGAAGGCTACCGGTGAAGTGAAAGGAGAGCGACCGTTACTATTGGTACAGTTTGAAAGAGGTGGCGCAATTACCAGACGTGCGCAGGCATCTGTTCGAAGGATGTTTGAATCTACGACGACGCTTCTGTGAAATCTTTATTAGTGAGAAGCAAGATTTACGCAGCGTGTCTGATAATTGCCTATGCTTGCAATTGAGTCGAAAAGCCAGTGATTTCTTGTCACAACCGTTGCGGTAGTTTCTGTACGATGCTAATACAACAATCTATGCTTGTTGAAAAATTAAGTTTAAAGAACAACACGTTGAAGAGCACGGCTCGAGGACTGGAACGTATCAATGAATAGATATACAAGGAACCAAATATCTTGTAGATTGTCTATTAGAATGTTTAACAGCCAATGAAGACCAGATCTGCTTGGCGTATAAATCCCTCCCACCAAATGCCAGCGCAATGATCTATCACCCCCGTTTGGGGAGCTTCTAGCCTTCGAAGTGCAGCCTCTACTCGCTGTACTATTAAAGAATCGGTCGTTGTCTCATGTACTAGAGCAAAGACCCTTACTCGAAACGCGTCTGGTTGTTCTCAATGAACACCTTCCGGAACCTGAGATGCGCCAAGTCCTTTGTGACCTCCCACGAGTTCTTCGCATTCTGCTTCACCAGCTGGCTTGTGGGCATCTGGAAAAGCTGATCAATCTCCTCGAGCGTCTTATCCTTCGTCTCCGGCATGAAGAAGATTTGATAGAACCAGCCGAGGACGGCAATGCCGCCAAAGAAACCTAGCGACAGGCCAGTTCGAGTGAACGCCTGCTGCATACCGGTGAAGTTGTATGTGATGATGAAAGACGACAGGAACAGCCAGCCGGTTGAGGTACCCATTCCATAAGAGCGAAGGTACGTGGGATACACTTCAGACGGAATCACCCATGTAAGCGCGGCGTAAGAACCGAAGAAGAGCTCGTAGAGAATGAGGCCGGTGAGATAGACACCGAGAGTTCCCTCAAAGGACTTGATTTGGTAGCTCACGCCGACCAGAACAAGGCCAATGAAGAAGCCAGGCAACATGGCAATAGCCCAGAATCGTCGACCGCAGGTCTCCATAAGGAAAATAGCCGGGATCGTACCAATCATGAGCGCGCCACCGCCGACCAAAGACATGTACGTAGCGTCGTATGTGTTGAAGCCGACTTGCGACATCAGCACGCTCATGTAGTACAAGAGGGCGTTGACGCCGGTGAACTGGCCAAGGAAGATCATAATATTGGCGTAGATGATGGCGCGGCGAGCACGTGGCTTAGTGAAGAAGTCCATCCATGGGAATCGGTTGGTCCGTCCGGCTGCGACCTCAGCTTCCTCCATTTCGGTGCTGACTTTCATGACGAAGAACTCCTCGCGCGCCTCGTGGGTGGCAATTCCTCGGATACGGAGCCAGACTTTGAATGCCTCGAGCGGCTTTCCCTTGTGCATCAGGTACCGTGGGCTCTCGGGCATGAAGAGCATGCCAATGCCCATTATCGTGGAGAAAAGAAGCGAGCTGCCGAGAATATAACGCCAGCTACCGTCTACTTTGATAAACCTAGACGTACAAAGTCAGCGTGTGCCACACCACAGTAGTGTGAACGTTACTAACATGGCAGCAACGGCGTAACCGAGGACTTCGCCGAGCGCGATGTTGAACTGATATAGCGACACCAAGTTACCCCGAAGCCTACTCTCGACGGTCTCCGCAACGTACACCGGGACAGTGCCACCTTCGAGGCCGACACCGGCGCCTAGGATGACACGTGCGGCAACCATCATTCCAAAGCTGATACTGCCTGCTTCAAGAGCTCCACCAATGGTGTACAAAATACAGGAGATGAGGATAGCCCAGCGACGCCCGAAGTATTCGTTACATGGCGAGATAAGGATCGCGCCACCGATAGCTAGGTCAATATCAGTATGACGGCCGCAGTCTGATCATTCGCAAAGACATACCTCCAAGCGGCATCCCGGAATTGACCAGTGAGTTCTGACGATCTGTGAGACCAAGGTCGTGGGGAAGCTTCAGATTTGCGCCAGAGATGAGCGACTGATCCAATCCCGAAAGAAGACCCCCCATAGACGCGAATAAAACCAGTAGCCATGTGAAGTGCTTGGGATTCTTGAACTCGAGGTCGAAAAACCCCTTCTTGTAATTAGCCTTCTCCAACTCCTTCTCCAGATCCTGGATCAGATTCTCCGACTCCCATCCTCGCGCATCTTCAAGCTGTTCTGTCTTCGCCTTTGGAGCGGAGTAGTCGGGAGGCGGGGCAGCTTGAATCTCAGCACGCGGTTGGTGTGGCGGTGATGCGACTTCGGTGCGCTGAGCAGTCTCTGGCGCTACCGTGGAATCTTTCTCGTCCATGGCGGGCAGCGATGAAGGAAGAATCGAGATAGTCAACGAAAGAAGAGACGAAGACTGATGTATCTATGCCCTCCGATCGGATGCATCTCCGCCCTTTTAAATCCCCAGTGGAGACACCCACATCATGGAGATTTCCCCATGGCGCTCCTCAGACCATACTGGTGTGACGTAGGCGTGGAGTCTCCATGGCACACCTTCTGCAAATTTTGTCTTCCTGAGCATGGGATCTTGGTCCTTGCGTTGCCGATGCTTGCAAGTGCGTAGCCGGTCGTCGCAGATTATCACGAATTGGACGATCGTAGCGAAGAAGGGTGGAGATCATAAGCATCGGGCCGACGGCTTGGTGGAGCTTGACTGCCAACAAAGCCTCTAGCGGCCCACATGCGGCTCTGCGACGATTTGAATTTTCTTCCGATATTCTGGCCGATTGAGGTACAGACATGTACGAGTTCCTGTCATTGCGAGCATCTTGAAGTTGGCCAATTCCACGGCGCTGCTGTTGATATAGACATTGCGAAATTCGAGGTCATAACAAGCTTCCTGTAGCAAGCGGGAGTGGCGTGCAGCGCAACGTTCGTGGCCGAGACCCTGGGCGGAAGCTTTTTAAAATTGGCAATTGCCGGACTGTATGCCTAGCACACGCCGATGCGGTGACTAAATCAAAAGCCGGTGCAGAGTAGGTGGTTTTCATAGTGAATCCATGCAACATCGGTGCCTGTTCGGTGGGGTGAGATCGTAAAACTCGGCCCTTTCTCACGAACTATTATCAAACTGGTAAGATAGACCTGATGTCACTGTGCCATGTCGGAATTAACCGGTACGCCGTAGATATGAAACTCGACTTGAGCAGATCCGATTGCGTGGTCTTCAGCTCCATGGACATTTTGACAGGGTTTAATGGCGATTTACCTCATATTATCGTCCTTAGCGCAGCGTCGACCTCTTGGCCCGGCACCATGCCGCCAAGGGTAGTTCGGCTCGATGCTCTGCTATTTCGCTATACCCGTAAAAGGTGCTCCAGGACGGCTCTCATAGGCTAGCACGCACCGTAGGAAAGTACTAGTGTTTACAACACTTCGGCAATGCATGGCGTTTCCAATATCCGTAAGTCTATCTTGGTGAGTGATCGAGTGCGGTGGTAGGAGGTTGGAAGTCAGATCTACGTTGGTCCTACATCAGAGTTGTGTTGCCGAGGTATGCGCACAGACATTAGGCACTCGCATCAACTCCGCCTCTGTTCCTATGTTTCTACCACCGTTGACACTTCAAAATGTTTATCCCAACGTAGCACGATGGTCCAGGGGCACCAGTACCTTGCGGTAATCTGGCTATCTCGAATCGCTGGCCTTGTTGGGACAGTTCTTTTCACTCTTTCCTGATCCATTTGCTTTCACTCAGGCAACCAATTTGCACCATTGTTAAGCCATTTCCTTCGCACTTCGAGTTTCTTAGACAATGTTTTAACCCTATTGTTTCCGCCGCATTTCACTGTCAATAGCTGCCACCATATAAGCGCATGTCTCAGACCTTTCCCGCATGTTCCACCTGACAACGCCAATTCACCACGCAGTACATTCAAATAGCACAGTGTTTTCACACAATGTCAATCTTTTTCTACACCCCTTTCGATATATATCTCTCTTAACGTAACAAACCCTGTTTCTCTCCACTCCCCACTCTCACATCTCACCGCGCCTCAACTCGTCGAAGGCACAACCGATATAACTTTGACAAAATGTCGAATCAATCGAAAGACGAGCAGACTATCGTTAACACGAACAAACCGAATGCTGACCTTATCATCGAAGATCTCGAGAATTACGAACATTTTCATCAACTCTTCGTCCGGAAATCCACGCTCGGGGTTGGTGGAGATGGCGTAGTTTATTCGTATGAACACTCGCCGTCAAAAGTCTTAATCGCAGTCAAAGTGCCAAACGACGGGTCCCAAAAGTATCGTAAGAGACTTATCTCCGAGATTGAAAGCTTCAGGAATATAGGCAGACACGACCATATCGTCACCATGCTGACATACAGTGAGAATCATAGGCCAATTGGACCAGCCATCTTCCTCGATGTTTGCGATCTCGGCGATCTGGCATCTTACCACAAACAGTGGTACAGTCAAGAGCGCGCGAATGGACGACCGGAACATCCCTCGGAGATTACTGTTTGGAAGCTACTGAAGGATATGAGCCTCGGCCTCAATTTCATCCATAATGGACACGAGACTCGCTACGTCCACAATGACGTGAAACCGGGGAACATTCTCGTTAGCCGCCCTCAAAACTGGAACGAAGCGGATGGGATACCACCCGAGCCGATCTTCAAGATCACCGACTTCGCTCGCCTGACCCCATTCCCTACACCACCACAAGGCGATACTTCTGGCTGGATGGGCACACCCGAGTTCGCCCCACCGCTTCGCGAACAGGCTGCTTCTATGCGACCTTCTGCAGATATCTGGAGCCTTGGTGCAACGATTCAGGGATTCGCGCTGCACATTTTGCCCATCCAATCAAAACAAGCTTTCTTGGTAAGTAGGAAAGCCAAAGGTAAGAACATCCCAGACCTCCTAGGTGACCCTTGGAAGCTACCGCACTGGCGAAGGCGGCGACCGACTGTGTACCGTCCGCTCGACGCTTCTGAAGAGGAGTTGAAAACGCAATACGATCTCCCAAAAGTCCCGCGCGAGTACGAGCCATACAGCAGCCAGTTAAATGCCCAGTACTCGGCATTGTGGCGCAAGGATGAGCACGCACGCATTACGTCGGAGGAATTGGTGAAGCAAGTCGTTCCGATGATTGATGGGATTATTGCGACTGCGAAGAGCAGAGTGGAGGATTCGAGTAAGCCGTCTTCGTAGTTATTTTCGTGTGTACTCTTGAATAATTCTGGCGTCTTCTATTATATGATTTATCTTCCATTCTTGCGTACTCGCAGGAGACTTGATCGCGTGATCTACATTTGCGCTAGTGGGGTGTCAAGGTGCAGGTGGGGCACTTAGGTAGGTAGTTGCTGTACACCATGGAGTGAACATCCATCACCACAAAACATGTCTCTGTCAGAGCCAACCAAAGCCATCGTTTACAAGCCTCCTGTCAGACCGGAAGTCGACAGACCATCCGTCATTCTATACGGGGCGATTCAGTCCAACCCTACCCAAGACTGGCAGACCAGCCTTGCAGCCTCGCTCTCCGACCTTCCCATCGCCATTCTGAATCCTCGCCGCGATGACTGGGACAGCAGTTGGGTCGAGGATATTGCATTTCCCAAGTTCAAAGAGCAGGTAGAGTGGGAAATGGACTATGCGCAGGTAGCTGATGTCATTGTCTTTTACTTTGCGCCAGGCACGTTGACGCCAATCACGCTCTTGGAGTTGGGTATGTATGCAGGGACGGGGAAGGCTATTGTTTGCTGCCCTGAAGGATTCTACAAGAGAGGAAATGTTCAAATAGTCTGTTCGAGGTATGGCATCGACTTGCTCGGGACGCTGGACGAGTTGAAAGAGAAAGTGAGGGCAAGGCTGACGACGAAGCTTGGGCAAGCTGAATGAGCCGAGAGGATAGGTACGAGCGGGGTCTCACTTTGGGTACCATTGAGTAATTACTGCCTGGCAAGGCTCCATTTGGAAACTTTCCGCCACATATTTCAATGGCTTCCCTTGTGTTTTGAATTCAGAGACGTTCAATTTGTACCTGATCGCTCGTTCCCTCCTCAGCACAGCCTTCCGCTTATCTAGACCACATAAGATAGTCGATATTCAATGACATTTATTACAGCTCGCTCGATGTTGATAATATCCCCCGTCCAAGTCTATGCGAAATGACTCACCGGCCATCGTCGGAGTCACTATGTATTCGGCTAGGTTGGAATACTGTGAGAAGGTGAGAGAGTCTGAAGTTGTCTAGGCGATGGAAATGGAAAGGTAATGGCGCTTGGCACGGGGAACGCGCAAGTGGGGGCGCTAGCGAATCGCGTCGCGTTTGGTGATTCTTTGATGCACTGACGTCCTTTACCGTACCTGACTCCCGATCCCAAAACCACCGTCTACCTCCACGCTCCCTCAACTTCGGTCCGCTCCTTCGTTGATGCTCTCCTGTCGCCTGTTTGAAACGCCCATCGCTCGCTCACACTCTATCTCTCCTTTACCAGCACTGGCGCTAGATACGAGAAGGCCGAGCAAGTCGTGGGTATTGTAGATAGTGTGCTTCGCTAAATAGGCAGAGGGAGAAACGGGTTATACTCGCGGAGATATTGAGGGCGGGTCATGCCAGACTGCTGTCGGTTAAAGTTCTGAGAGGGAGCTTAGTTGCCATCGATCCGCACGATAACTGTGGTAATAGAGCATGGCAAAAATACTTGAGAGGATAAAGTAAGTTCCTGCTAACATCGTACCCCCATCATTACCTTTACCTTCAGACACACATGTCCTATCTCGCTGATGCTCTTTCTCCCTTTGACTTTTGCCCAAACAATGTCTAACCACCTTCTCTACTATAGCGAGCTCCGAGTGCTACCCGAAGAACAGCATCTCTTTTGCCCCCGAGTTGGCGACGATGGATCCGTATACTACGACGAAGACATTGCAGCCTACCCTCCCGAAACCGATCCGGTCGAGCTCAATACCCGCAAGCTGAAGCTCCGAGAAGCCGAGGATCGAAAATGGACAGCGCTGAAAGCCACGGAGATATTGGCATTCGATGGCGAGGAGGCAGCACCACACAAAGAATGGCTGATAAAGCGGCTCAATCACCTTATGCAGAGCTGCGATGTCTGCGTGAGGGTTTTCCATCAGTCCAGGGCGGAATGGAGAACACGATTGATCGATTCCTATGACGAGGAGAACATCGGCGACTTCTTGCAGGTAGTGGACGAGCAATGTCTGGGCCGCATACATAAGGGGTTGGACGAGGCGAACGTCATCCTGAGCAACGCCGAACCAAGAGCTCGCTCAGTCCGACTGCTGCCCAGCGAATGTACCTACGGTTTCTTCGAAGCCCTGAGCTGCGACGCCCTGATACGAAACGAAGAGCTCCTCCAGCGACACTTCGATGCGCCATTCGAGATGGTCCAGACAAAGAAGCGTTTAAAAGTCCAGACATACCTTCCAGCCATGACCCGCTTCTTGTTCAGCAAAAACGAGAGACGCCAGAAATGGGCAACGGAGTCCTGGTCCACCTTCAAGCGCAATCTACTGAAGTCAGAATTCGAGTGGGCTGTGCGGGATCACTTCGTGAACGTTATGCTGAAAGTCCAGATGAGCAATCTGGATTTATCTCTTGTCCCTCTGTTCTGGAATGGGGCTCGTCTGATCATCGGGAGAATGGATAGGGAATTGATTACGGATTCCATTCGGGGCCTCGATGGAGAGTTCTACCGGTTGATGCTAGACCACCTTTCTCTGAGGTCAGAAGGCTTTCTTGATCTGATCGCCTCCATGAAGCAGTTGCTGGAGAAGTCTCCGGTCGATTTCTGGGATGGCATGAATGCTGTCACCCCATCAATTGCCACCGTTGTGGAGCAGATTCTCAACAGCCCTATCCTAAACCAAATCCTGCTTGCGGCAACAGAAGAAGATGAGCAAAGTATGAACAACCTCAATGCAGCGTTCAGCTGGATTCCGCCTTTTCTTACATCCATCAAAGAGGCGAATCTTGGCCCAGCTGTGAGACCCTTTGCCCATGCGCTCTTCGGTCGCTTTCAGTCTGACCAGTATTCGCGGACGGCCCGGACACATTGCTTCAAGGAGGGATTGAAAGTATTGGATTACGCGTTTCGCAAAATGGGAGAAGGTAAGACCATAGATAAATTTGTGGGACAGCCGACAGTGAATGGCATGTTGGATATGCTTTCAACTCACATACAGCTGCTGGTCACGAGCTTGAAGCGATTCAAGAGTAGCAAAGACCACCAGGTAGATCTGCAGCTGGCTCTTTCAGTGATACAACATGCTTTCCAGCTAGAAGCGCAATCGTTGATCATTGAGAGGCAGCTGATCTCTGCTAAGCAGCCGTCGCCTACCGAGACACCGCCGTCTAGTCCGATATGGAAGACCGTCCTGAGGGCGATAGACTCGGATAGTTTGGAGCTAGCTACACATCTCCTCATTGCTGGCCGAGGGCTCATTGGGCTTGAACTGCTACAAATGAAGTCTGGGGTCGACAAGGTACCCGCCACCGTGCGGCACTTCAACGATCGCTTCAAGCTGCTGTCTCAGTCCATCACCGATGTGGTCGACCGCTTGTCCGAGTTTGATCCTTCGCAGCTCCAGGCACTCTTCGGTAAGCCAGCTGCAGCTTCTGCCATTGTTTCGCTGCTCTTCTCGTCGACTGAAGACACCAGAAACTCTGCCATTGAGCTTTTGAAGGTCATCAGCTTAGAAGATGAACGACGAAACGCACTACAGCATATTCTGAGAGTTCACTACAAGAACGTAATCCTAGGTATCTCAGATTCGGTTCGGCAGGTCCGACATAAGAAGGCTTTCGCTCCAGCTCCGAGCATGATCAGAACCTGCTCGGATATTATCGATGTCATGTGCAATTCGCAAGACGGTATATTAAGAGCGCGGAATTTCGACTCTGGAGATGCTGGGGCGACGATGAATCTCTGGAAGAATCTGTGGGACTCGCTCACGATGATATTCGCCACCACTGAGGCCTGGAGCAACCTAGGGTTCTACAATAAACACATGATGATGGATTTCTGCCGAGACACTATGCAGTTCGCAGATATGCTGTTTGATCAATGCAGTATTTTTGCTACTGCTTTGAAAGGATCTTCGACTGATGAGGAGGAAGGCACGTCAAAGACGGAGCTGCTTCAAGAGCTTCTCGCACTGCCTGCGAATGCGATGGAAGGCTTAGCCAAGTGGCTGCGTCTTCGCGATGAGTTCTTGTCTAGCAAGTCTGTTACTTTGATCAGCAAGCTACTTGTTCGACTTCACCGGGTGTCCATTGAAATTGATCCAGATACACTCTCCTATATGGAGAGGGTACTCTCTGGCGATGTTCGTGCCAAACTCAGCACGACGCAACAAGCTGAGCTGCAACAAGCTCTCGAAACCCATCTAGGCCGTTCTCTTGTCAAGGAAGAAGAACCGGTCAAGCCAAAGCAAGCCTCGATTGAGAAATGGATGTCCACTGGTGCAACATCTTCACCTGCAGACGCGAAGTCGAAACTGCTGGCTAGTTTAACCTCGGGATCTGCTGCTTTCCAGGAGCGACGGGACCAGATGAGGGCTTCGGAATCCAAAGCTACGAAGCAGAAGGCTATTGATGACCAGAAGAACGCCCAGCAAGCGGAGTTTAGGAGAAAACGCCAACTTGAACTGCAGAAACGAGAGAAGGAGAAGGCCGCAGCGATTGCCAAAGCGAAAGCAGCTAGAGGTGTGTCTATGCAGATTGCTGAAGCTGGCTCTGGTTTGGAAGGGCTGGGTGTCTTAGGCAAAGATCAAGCTGCAAAGGGTGAGGGATTGATGCATTCCTCTGATGAGTCTGACGACGACGACGGCGACATCGATGAGGACCTCTTTGGCATTAAGAAGGCTAAAGTGAAGGTCGGGTCGAAGACCAATATCGTCAATGAGATCAAGGTCCAGATGCCAATTAAGAAGAAGAGGGTTCAGCGATCTGTCAAAGACATGCGCGCTCGCCTGGCCCCTGATTTGTCGTCGCTGCACCGTACCATACTCGGCTGGGACTACTTCCATGAAGGTGACTTTCCACCAAAGTCAAGGCCAGATATCTACTCCAAAGTGCCTAGCACCTTCCGCACGCCCAACGATTATCAGTCAACTTTCGAGCCCCTGTTGACCCTTGAAGCATGGCAAGGGTTTGTCAAAGCCCGCGAAGATAACCAAGCTAAACCGTACGAGGTCCGTATTACGTCGCGGGCCAGTGTAGACGCGTTCCAGGAAGTGGGCAGCACGATGACACATGTCGAGAACAAGGAAGTCACCATCTCGGAGGGAGATATCATACTTCTGTCGCAGTCCAAGTCTCCCTCTGCTAATGAGCCGACATGTCTAGCCAGGGTTTTCCGCGTGAAGAGAAAGCAGCAACATATTGAGGTGTCGTACCGTGTCGTACCGGGCAATCCCTTGTCATCCGCATTGCAACCAAACAACACACTCCTCGGCACCAAGCTCCAATCCATCACCCCTCTGGAGCGCGAGTATGGTGCACTGAAGGGTCTACAGTACTACGATCTGTGTGACGAGATTATACGGGCAAAACCTTCCCCACTACTAACCTACAAAGACACTCAGATCCAACCACTGATCTCCACCTACAACGTGAACAAGGCGCAGGCGAAAGCTATCAAGTCAGCTATTGACAATGATGCCTTCACTCTCATCCAAGGGTATGTAGCTACGTGCGTGTCTTATCGAAGAGAATGCTAACGGTGCCACAGACCGCCTGGTTCGGGAAAGACCAAGACAATTACTGCAATTGTTGGAGCGATTCTCACAGACAGCTTTCGCGATCGCGGTACGACTATAGTCGTTCCTGGGCAGCAACGTTCCAATGCAGTCTCTAAAAAGCTGCTGGTTTGTGCACCCAGTAACGCTGCTGTCGACGAGTTAGTCATGCGTTTCAAAGATGGCATCAAGACAATGAATGGCGAAGAGCGCAAAGTCAACATTGTGCGTTTAGGTCGCAGTGATGCTATGAAGGCCAACATTCAGGATGTAACCCTGGGAGAGCTGGTTAACAAAAGACTGGGCGTAAACCCGGAAAGCGGCAGAGATGCAGAGGCGACGCGCAAACTTTTCCAAGATCACAAGCAGATCTCTGACCAGCTCAGACAGGCCTATGAGCAAAGGGACAGTGCGGAATTGAAGGGAGAGGCAGCGTCAAAGCTCGCAGATGACATCAATGCTTTGCGACGACAAAAGACCGCACTTGGAACACAGATCGACAATGCTAAAGACGACGAGAAACTCGCAAGTCGAAATGCGGATCTAAACCGACGACGAGCCCAGGAAGCAGTCTTGAACGATGCTCATATTATTTGTGCCACCTTGAGCGGATCTGGGCATGAGATGTTTCAGGGCCTAAGCATCGAATTCGAAACGGTCATCGTGGATGAGGCCGCGCAGTGTGTTGAGATGAGCGCCCTTATTCCTCTCAAGTACGGTTGTGCGAAGTGTATCCTAGTCGGTGACCCTAAGCAACTGCCCCCGACTGTGTTCTCAAAGGAAGCTGCACGCTTCCAGTACGAGCAGAGTTTGTTCGTTCGGATGCAGAAGAACCACCCTGACGACGTGCATCTTCTGGACACGCAATACCGTATGCATCCTGAGATCAGCCTATTCCCCAGTCAGACGTTCTACGACGGTAGACTTCTGGATGGTGGCGATATGGCCGGCCTGCGTAAGCGGCCATGGCATCAGAGTAGCCTACTTGGACCGTATCGCTTCTTCGACGTGCAGGGCCAGCATCAAGCTGAGCCGAAGGGGCACTCGCTCATCAATATTGCGGAGATTAAAATCGCGATGCAGCTGTACAAGCGCCTTACCTCCGACTACCCTGACTATGACTTCAAGGGCAAAGTCGGCATCATTACACCGTACAAGAGTCAACTGCGCGAGCTCAAGTCACGCTTTACGAATGCCTACGGTGCTTCAATTATCGAAAACATCGACTTCAACACGACAGATGCTTTCCAAGGCCGAGAAAGCGAGGTCATCATCTTCTCCTGTGTGCGAGCTTCTCCCTCGGGCGGTGTCGGTTTCTTGCAAGACATTCGCCGTATGAATGTGGGTCTCACACGTGCCAAGTCATCGCTGTGGGTGCTGGGTAACTCACGATCACTTGTCCGAGGAGAGTTCTGGAAGAAACTCATTGTCGATGCAAAGGACAGAAAGCGGTACACTGAAGGTGACGTGCACAAGATGTTAAGCCAGCACTCTAGAAAGTTCCCGGCACTGAAGGAGGCCTACGTACAACCACCTCGCCCGATGCCGGAAGTCAAGTCAGAGCCAATGAATTGGTCAGGAAGTATTCAGTCGAATGGATCGTCCGGCGTGGATCAAAAGCCCAGCAAGCAAGAAGTCAAGCAGGAGATCAAGATCGAACAAACACTTGTCCACCACGGTAAGCGCAAATTCGAGCACGACAGCAATGGCATCGAGGATGTCAAGGTCAAGGTTGAGCGTGGCGACGTTGAGATGGAAGAAGCGCCCTCTGATTCGGCGTCGAATACGCTCAATGGAGGCAGTGACCGCTCAACACCAGCAGCGTTCAGGGATGGACCGCGCAAGAGCGCTACGCCTAGTATTGAAGCGAACAACGGGACGGATAGTACTGAATCTTCTGCTGCTCCGGGCAATGCAATGGGGGGCATGACGAAGCCGAAGATTCGAAGGCGACCGCGCGAACCGCCCAATCCATTTATCAAACAGAAGAAGCCGAAGACGGGCTGAACGCATGAGCCGAGAGGCAGGGAGGTTTGGACCGTGTAGCGATTTTTGCTTTGCATGCTGGAAGCCAGTAACATGGCTGGACTACCAGCGAGGGCGTTTTTAGACCAAGGATAGTATACTCAGCATTTGCCTGGCGTTCGTGTCCTACCCGCAACGGCCATTAGTCGACACCTTTTGCATTTGCATTATTATTATGTTCTAGCTAGCTAGTGATTTGCTTTATTGAGGCTCTTGGCCGCCGAACCCTAAAAGCCTTGGAGCTGAGAAGAGATCGGCCATTGAGCTGAAGTGGCGCTCAAGGCCGGATGTGACGGGCAGTGATCGGCCGCCAACGCACGTCTGCTACGCTCAAACTGTGATTGATGTTGGCGATGGCTCGCGACATTTCCGTCCTGCATCTCGTCGAACTGTGGTTGTTCGCCTCTAGCTGTTCTTTTCACAGCGATAGTAACCTTTTTGGCGCAGTCTGCGTTATGGTGCGTGGCCGTCGGGAGGGAGTAGGGAGTAGGGAGTAGGGAGTAGTAGTGGTCGCGACTTCCTCGGCAAACCTAGAGTCGATCACCACCCTGTGGGGACATGCACAGTGCGCATCGCGCACCACAACAATGCTCTAGTCGATCGTCCTTCTCCTTTGCAACTTTTCTAGCCCACGCAAAGCATGCCATTGAGAAGACTCACCCTCTCGTTGCCGAAAGCAGCGAGTTGCACAGCGCTCTCGTTTTTTTCCGGTCCCACCATACCTGTCCAGCGCCAATCCCGCTTGTACTCCTGTACTACGTTCCCGAGCGCCAATTATTGTCGTCGGCTAGCAGCACATCCCCCAGGTCGAGTCCCTCGGTCGCGGAAAGACTTTCTGTCAGAGGTGAAGCTACAATATGGTTCGTTCTGTCCGGCTTCATAGTCTTCTCTCAAACTCATGTCATGCCTCACCCAATGGTTCCAACCACCCTTCTATACTGCCCTTTCCACAAGCCCCGCTTTCCTTGGTATAATCGCGTCAAGTCTATTATTACCAAACACCCACCTTGCTATCAATACGCTGTGGTGTCACATCGCGTCACGACTCGAGTACTGATCCCTACCCTCAGATCCGCCACTTGTCACACTACATGATTTGTCCTCCCTTCAGATTCGGAAAATCATCTCTTTTGCAGGGACTTTGACGCACATATTACTGCCAGCCGCCAGAATCCCTGGCTGAGGTTACAATCAGCGTCCGGTGGTCTTCGTGAGATACAACACCACTGCATCTGCTGAGCTACCAGTCTCCTGGTTGTGCCACGTTCTCAAGCACCATTCCCTGCCAACCGGTCCTGAACGGTGCTCACAGCTCGCGCTTTGGTTTGAACGAGGCCTAGTCTGTAGCCAGGCTCCTGCTTTTAGGCGGCCTGTCAGCCAGTCGCAAACATGCTTTCTTCCAAGTCCACAGAAAACCTTCTGAACTCATTCCCAATGTTTGGTCACCCTGGTATCTCTGCGCTGGAATATGCTGGAAGCTTGGAGGCGACGCGTACGAAGAACACGAGCGTGACACTGGAGTCACTCAAGCGCAAATCTACAACATCGCCGCAGGAGGAACATACAACTCCTCCGACAACTACAGGGACGAAACTGCCTCCTGAGTCTAACCAGTCATCCCCTGTCCATTTCATAGACGAGTTCGGGGTCCAGCAAAGACGGAGAGGTGCCTTTGTCAATCACACACCCAGGGGCTTCGAGATGCGGGCCTCCAAGACGGTCGAGGTCTACCGACCCTCCACAGCTTCTCCCGATAACTACTCCCGTCCGCGAATCTCTTTGCACGCCAACTCGACCAGCACTGTTCACGCGACTGCAAGTCGACATGATGACAGTTCCCCGACGGACTCGGAGAAGCGACTGACAATCAATCCTGGCGCCCCAATAGAGCTCGATGCTACAGAGGCGAACTCGCCTTCATCTCCAGAGGTATACGAGCCATCAACAGTTCTAAGCCGCCGATCAGTATCTATCCCCATGAGTAGGATACTTACATACCAGCCAAGCTCGACCACTTACGCAGGCCAATATACCAAGGAGGCCAGTGTTCGCAGCATTAGTAACCCGGTTCATAAGCCGCAAGAGAAGAAGAGACAGCGACGTCAAACTCCATTCAAGATTGCCGCTCCAAAAGTGGTAACTGTCGCCCGATATTCACCACTCGAGCCTTTGGTTGCAGAGTACCGACGCAAGGCTAGCACTGATACCACCAGTGACACGCCTCTCCAGGCGGAGACTGGGAAACTTGAAGAGATGGGTACTTTTGGGGTGATACAGAGATACTTCGACAGTCAGTCAGGCGGTCCCGTCTCGACCCCGAAACTTCTCTGCCACACTTGCTCTCAAGACCCGCCAAACATGCCACTTCCGGACTCCCCAGAGCCACCTCTTCATAAGCCATTCAAAGAACCTATTGCCATCTACCCCATCGATGAATTGGATTTTCCTGATGAGCCACCAGCAGTACCGGAGCGTAGTCCAAAGCGGCTCACCAACCCATCTTTCCCAATACACACGAAGGGGACAATGTCCATGAGCAGTGACTTTGCCTTCGCCGCTGAAGGGGAGTATTCACCGTACGACAAGAAAGACGATGTTCTCAACATACCAAAGAAGCGAGCGCCAAAGCGCGTCGAGGTGGGACAAGCTGCTCAAGCTGGTTCGGCCAGCCTAGGTCGAATGGCACCACCAATCCTCGGCCATGATGCGCTTACCGCGAGCAGCGACTTGGGCCTGAATGACCTCAGCTACTATCTCAAACACACTGGACCCTCGATGGACTCTCAGCCAGTCTTGCGACAGCGGAAGAAAAAGGGCGTGAAGATTTTCAAAGCTCAACAACAAAGAAAAAGCCTTGCTGCACGTGTCGGCTCGGTGGAGGGGTCTCCACAACGAGTGCGTAAGCCGACCCCGGTGCCGACTTGCGCGAGAGAGATGATGACTTCGGGTGGAGCGAGGCATCTCAAGATTGTCATACCGACGGATGGCGTGTCCGGCAATCAAATGGGTTCGCTTGCGACATCCCAGTCAGGGATACAACGTCGCTCGAGGCATATCTCCATCACTTTTACGGAAGAGATGCTGAATCCTCTTGCTAGTTCGGAGGTTGAGCGTATGCTTTCAGAGTTTCAGAATCCTGTTGAGCGATCGTTTACGGAACCAATTCCTAAGCCGCCGCGTAGTCCGAAGAGACCTCCCAAGGCGCCGGAGCTTGTCCCTGTCTCAGTGAATGACGATCCACTAGCATCACGAGAGGAGCAGACGCGTGCACGCAAGCTCCGGGATCTCCAGCGCATCAAGCGGAAGCCCTTGCCGTCCTCCACCCAGGCGGAGCAGCACCCTGACACCGTCGGTGGCGCTTTGCCAACACCCGCTCAAACTCCTGAACCTGCTGGCGATTCTTCCATGGATGGCTCACATGAGGAGAACAGCGTCGATAAGGACAGCCCGTCAAACAAGATGACTCAACTCCAAAGCAAAATGGTCTTGTTACAGCGCCAGAACACGGAGCTCACGGATGCGCTTGCGAAAATTGTGGGATTAGAGTTTGAGGGGGGCGATTTGAAGAGTGAGGATGTGTTGAAGGCTTTTAGGCAAATTCGAATTTCGCAGACACCGAGTAGGGATTAAGACAAACATAATATAATGACGCAGCACAGGGGCAGGACGAGAGACGAGTGATGAGGGTAAGGGATGATACCATGGGAGGTGGATTACGTGCTTTTAGTATTCTTGAACGGCCGACCCTTAGTAATGAGACATATCTTCCTCTTCTTAACCTGGCATATCAATACCGAGCTTTGGAAGTGCGTCGCGTTCAAAACACGGGGATCATGACGTCTCTTCGTATCTGCTCTAAATTTAGGTTCTGGTTCCTGAATGCTTGGCAGAAGCTTTCAGCTGTCAGCAACAGATAGCCGGCACAGAGGACCTCGAGTGACATCTTCAAAGTAGCTGAAGCATCGTCACCTACTTCAGTCACTCATATCCTCATAGACTTTCAATTGACCTCCTCCCGACATTACTTGCTCAGCAAGCGGCGGCCACGTAAACTCTCACCGCCGTCTTATCGATAAGCAGATAGCGATAAAACATCCCAGTACCCCACGATCTAGACCTCGAAGGGGGCACTTGCAACTCCAGCATCTATATCCTTAGAACAGCCGATCCGACCCTTCAACTGTGTCCGCCGGCGATTCCTCTAGCACCATGCCCTCCGCCGACTCATCAGGCCCGCTCTTCAGCTCCGAGCTCATCTCGCCCGCTGTCCTAAAAGCGCTCCCAGAAGGCTACAGCTGCCGGCCACTTGAGAAGAAGGACTACCACAATGGGTTCTTGGATGTGCTGAGGGTGCTCACCACAGTTGGCGACATCACCGAGGACCAATGGAACGAACGCTACGAGTGGATGTCGCGACGCAACGACGAATACTTCCTCCTCTGCGTCATCGACTCGTCCAACACCATCGTCGGCACCGGCGCGCTGATCGCTGAGCGCAAGTTCATCCATAACCTGGGGCTGGTAGGACACATTGAGGACATCGCCGTCGCGAAGGATCAGCAGGGGAAGAAGCTGGGGCTGCGCATCATCCAGGCGCTGGATTTTGTAGCGGAGAAGGTTGGATGTTACAAGGTACGTGATGGTGGGGTCGAAATCGCGGGCAAGTACTGACAGGGAGACAGACTATTCTCGACTGCTCAGAAGCGAACGAGGGCTTCTACGTCAAGTGTGGGTTCAAGCGGGCGGGGCTCGAAATGGCGCACTACTACGGACGGTAAGCCAGACATTGTACATGAGAACGAGCGGCTGAACGCGGGCTAGTGCTAAGCTGTGAATGCATTTGGAGGCGTTATGCGATACAGGCCTCGACCGATGGTCTGGCTGGATTTGATATACGCGTAGAAGGCTGGTTTAAGATGGCCGTGGCGTTTCTGAATAGATGTGTCGCTGAATGCTGTCATTTCGTGCCTACTAGCTTTGAAGGGTACTCTGATGGAAGCGCCTCCCTCGTATCCTAAGAAATACATGTGATGATAGAGCTTGATGCCCTTTTTCTCTTACAAACGAATTCTAAGATAAAGCATGAAGGGTGAATCTGGTGCTGGTGTGGATGTGATGCGTTCCGTCCGAACAGTTCGCAAACGAAACTTCCATGTTCTCGCTTCAACTCCACCACTAACATCACACGATTTACTTTTCGAGCGCGAAGAACAACACTTCGTCGCTCGAACTGCTGAGGAACAATAGCTTTGCACAACGGTGAATTCTTGCCGGGCGCTTCTCTTATTTCACGCAAGCAGGGCAGGAACAGAGGGCGGTGACTCACGAAGTTCAACTTTGACCTTCGTCGGCGGACAACAGCAATTGAAATTGAAGAGCTATTCTTAGTTATCTGGCCAGGATGGATCAAAAAGAGACTACCAAACGGCATGAGAAACGGACATTGCAAGAGACCGACAAGTTGCCTGCAACTCCAGGAACCCACAACAATTTAACTACATCGCCAAAAGCGAATGAAAAGTCATCGCCCTACGACCACACCAATGCACCCAGCATCTCTTCCGGCCTCCCACCAGAGCTCTGGACTATTGTTCAATCCGCGGCTGCCAACTTCGCACCACAGTTCTTCCTTGAGGTTAGTGATGACTTGCTCGAGAATCCCAACCTGACAGCCTCGTACCTCGCCCGCGCGGAGCTGTCGTATCAGAGCTTCACAGACGCGACGTTTAACCCAAAGGCGAAGACTTCAGAAGATTTGGCAAGCATCATCAAGCACCTCAGGCCTGAATGTCGGCCGCAACTGGTTGAGGGCGGCGTTGAAGGGTACGACCTGGAATGGACGGTCGTCCGGAAACTAATCCCACGGAATCCAAAACTCGACGACGCACTGATGCAGACATGTCACCTCTTCATCTCCCATCAGGACGTCACGGTCACACGCCCAAGTGGCGAGACAGCAACGGTCAACGCAGAGCGGTATCTAGTCATCTACATCCCGCACGTCGACTCCCCGGATGCCATGCCCTTCTACCACCCCAAAGTCCGGAGCCTGGGCATATTGTACACATACCTTCCTAACCAGGAGCCTATATCATCACCCCTTACCTCAGCGGGACTTTTGTCCATTCACTATAACCTTTTTCCTTCCCACCCGCTCGACAACAGACTCTCCCGCACAGCCCTCAAGCTCCTTGAGATCATACACAAGCACTCACGTGGCCAACAGGGAGGGTACAAGAAGCGCGTCCACCACGACCAGATCATTGGACAGAAGAGATATCAAGATACATGTGCATACTTGAAGGGCAAGTACGCAAAGCAATTGATCGAAAACTGGGTCGAGCAGACACTGCCGGAGAAGCATGTCTTCGAGGATCTGGGCATCGCAGCCTTTCTGATGGAGCTGTGGGTCGACATGTACGGCGGTCCAACAGTTCCACAAAAGATCGATGGAGAAGAATCGGAAAAGCGGAGAGAAAGAGCAAAATCCAATTTCCCCGGCTTCGTAGACATAGGCTGCGGCAACGGCCTGCTCGTCTACATTCTCCATACCGAAGGCTGGCACGGTTGGGGCTTCGACGCCCGACGACGAAAGACATGGGACACCTTCCCTTCCTCCTCCGCATCTAAGCTTAAAGAACTCCTGCTGGTTCCCCAAATCCTCCTTCCGAATGAAAACGACGACGACGACCCATCACTGTCCAACGCTCCACCATCCCATAACGGGATTTTCGAAAAGGGAACGTTCATCATCTCAAACCACGCCGACGAACTCACGCCCTGGACTCCATTGCTCGCATATCTCTCATCCTCCCCATTCTTAGCCATACCCTGTTGCTCCCACGACTTAGGAGGGACTCGGTTCCGTGCGCCCGTACACACCAAGTTCCTCCAAGCTGACCCTTCCTCAAAGTCAACCAAGAACAAACAGCCCTCTGCGTATGCCAGCCTATGTAGTTGGGTTAGTCACCTCACGGAAGAGGTGGGATATGAGGTAGAGAGAGAGTATCTACGCATCCCGTCGACGAGGAATATCGCGGTCTTGGGGAGGACAATTGCGAATGATGAGGAATCAACACTAGAGATAAGACTCGAGTTTGCTGGAGAGTTGGTAGAGAAAGAGATGGGTGGGGCAACGACGCTTGAGCAGGTTTGGCGCATGTGGATCAAGTGTGGCGGGACTTTGTTAAAGCCAGGGAAGGGAGGTCATTGATGCATTTGATATAATGTAACACGAAGCTTAGCGTAGTCATAAAGTACGATAACACAATGCAAGTCACTCAATGGACAATCACTGAGCAAATTGGGTATCATTGGAACATGACCACCTAAGACTGCGAAGCCGCAACTCAGGCGAGCAATACATTCGTAGTATCATCCTTCGTTTCGCCGTATGCCACGGTAACCGATCCCATTTGGTGATTCAGTAAAAGTTCGACATGCAGATGATCCGTATCTATCCTTGTACTCCCCAAGCAAGTCTCAACCGCTTAAGAAGCAGGAGCAGCACCACGTCCCCGGCCGAAGCCACCACGGAACTCGGGCTTGAACTCGCCAGGAGCAGCGCCCTCGGCCTTCTCGCCCTGATCACGACGGCGGTAGCTGTCACGGTCGCCACCACGGTCACCGCCACGTCCACCACGGCCGCCACCGCGCCTCTCACGGTCGTCACCACCGAGCATGCCTCGGGGAGGAGCAGTGCGCGCCTGCTTGATGTGCGTCTGGGGCACAATCTCGGCGGGGAGGTGGAGCCATTCGCGGAGGTAGTCAAGACCCTCGGGGGTAAGGGTGTAGTAGTAGTATTGCCACGAGAAGCGGGTCTTGAGGTATCCGCGGGAGGTCAAAGACTGGCCTGCAAATGCATTAGGACCAGACATGATGCGAGAGACGACCAGGGTACTAACAAGCCTTGATGACAAACAGGTTCTTGGTGTCGATGTCGCCATGCTTGGGAAGGTTGAAGTCCTTTTTCGCGACGAGAACGCCCTCTGTGGTGACCGTGTGTCAGCCTATCCTTGTATGCAGCAGAACTGCGAAATTGTATATTTGTGCCATAGCCATGGCTCGACGCGGTGTAGAATACTAACCTCGGAAGAGGTACCTGGAAAGATTGTTAGCAGAGGCTCGCAAATAGATAGAGGGGTCACGAAGCAGTCAAGCTGGGGGATTTCGCATGAAACTCCTGAACTCAATTGTGCCGTAATATCAACGCATGTGCGGGTGGACTAACTCGTGAATCGCCTTGCGATCGGCCTTGGGGATAAGCATCTTGACTGTTGCGAGGAGTCTCGGGGATGATGCGAAGAGTAGTAGTGGTCGATATGGAGAGGAAGTTCGGGCTGCGATATTCCATAGGCAAGTGTGCAGACCCGGGCGATGCGCTAAGGTAAGCGAGTGCGCTCGGACCATGCGACCTGAACTCCAGTCTTCGCATCTCCGCCTCCGTTGGACTTGCCTGCCACGAGAAAACGACAATCATTACACGCCGCAACTAATAAACATATCTGTATCTCCAGATACTGCGTTCCTGCCTAACGCCGAATCAACTCGATCAGCGAATAGCCATCATGGAGTCCACCACGCAGTCCCCGATCACCGTTATCGTCAACAGCATCAAGGGACAGGACATAGCCTTCCCAGCGGCCAAAGATGCTCCTCTTGCCTCGCTGTACGACACACTCTACGACCGGGCGCCATGGATCCAGAACTCATCCTACATCCTAACAACCAACTCGCGCCGCGCAGTCAGCCACGGCCCGGCACCCATCTCATCACTTCTCTCCTCGCCAGCGGATACCTTTCTCTCCCTCCGTCTTACAGTACCGCTATGTGGTGGCAAGGGTGGTTTTGGATCCATCCTGCGTGCCCAGGGCGGCCGCATGTCCTCGCGCAAGAAGAAGCAGGGCGACGTAAACGGATCCTCTCGAAACCTCGATGGGCGACGGCTGCGCACTGTCGCTGAGGCCAAAGCGCTCGCTGAATACCTCGCCATCAAGCCGGAAATGGAGCAGCGGGAGAAGGAGGAGCGACGGAAGAAGTGGGAGGACATTGTTGCCAGCACAGAGCGGAAGCAGGACGAGTTGCAGAACAGCAGGGGAACAGCACGACTTGACGGCAAATGGGTCGAGGATAAGGAGGAAGCAGAGAATAAGACACGAGAAGCTATTGAGAAGATGTTGATGGCGCAGAGGGAAAGCTCAGAGGAAGACGACGAGGAAGAAGCTAAGCCTGCAGCTTCCGCGTCGAATCCTACTCAGCAACGGGCCATGTTTGGCTGGGACGATGAAGATGACGAGTTCATGAGCGACAGTGACGACGAGGAAGACGTTTCAGAAGAGGATGCCCAGCCACCCAACTTCGAGGGCAAAGGAAAGGCAAAGGCGACTTAATTGCCATGTCGCACGGAAAGCACATGGCGGCAAGTGGCGTATTCTGAATATTACCAGCACTTTCAGGCGTTTCGGGCAACTTTCATATTCGTTCAACTAGATACCCAATCCAACAATATCAATACTCCAACGACTACGCATTAGGGATCACAGACATGATACCTACACGTGACTTCGGTTATGACTTCAGACCGTCCAAGGCTCCTGCTTCCAACTCACCCTCCTCTCATCCCGCATCCGGTCGAACCTCACCACACTCTGTAGCAGAACCTGCGCACCCAGCGCGCAATCCTCCTCTTTGCAAAACTCCCTCGGGTTGTGACTCACGCCCTCTCTACACGGTACAAAGATCATGCTCGTCGGGCAGCGCTTCGAAGCGTACACGCTATCGTGGCCAGCCCCAGACGTCATGTCCATGATCAAATTGTGAGAATTAGGGCCGAGGATGTGATGGGCAGACTGGTGGACGGACGTTATGCAGTCGGAGTGGAACAGCGTCGCGGGGCTATTGAAGTCTTCTACTATTTCAACGGAAAGCGGTAAGCCCGAGGTGCAGCCCAGATTCGAGCCGTCTACGTCCTCGCCTGCTGCAATCCTCGGGAAGTCGCGCAGAACCAGCTCCGTCATGGTCGCGACTGTCGAGTCTTTGGGTGCCCGGATGTCGAGGCTGAAGGAGACTTGGCCAGGCACTGTGTTGGTCGATCCAGGCTTCAGGTTCAGGATGCCTGTTGATGCTAGGGCAGTGTTGGCAGTTGCTAGGCGGTGGGAATGCAGTATCATCTTGCTGGCCGTCAACAGCGCGTCCGCCCTGCTCTTCAGATCTGTAGTTCCGGTGTGCGTATCTCTCCCCTTGACATTAACCGTAAACCATTTGTACGCCTGCACACCCGTCACAACGCCAATCTTCTTGTTAGCCATCTCCAGTAACGGGCCCTGCTCTATATGCAGCTCAAAGTGGGCCGCCATGGGCGTGGCCTCGTAACTCGCTGGAGTTTCTCCTAGATATCCGATCCGCTTGAGCTCCGAGGCCATGGTTGCGGTTCCAGGATGGACTTCACGGAGGCTGTGCGCATCCTCCACAGGTATATCACCCGCCCAGACGCCCGAAGATACCATAGATTTAGGGAAACGCGCGCCTTCTTCATTCGTCCAGTTGACTACGCCTACGGGATACTCTGTCTCGACCCAGTTATCAGCAAGCACTTTCAGCATCTCAATGCCTGCAGTTACACCAAGGATACCATCATAGCGCCCCCCTGTAGGCTGCGTGTCTAGATGGCTTCCTACGAAAGTTGGGGGTTTGTCGTTCCGCAGCCCTGGGCGGACAGCGAATATGTTGCCCATGGCATCTATGGTGACCTTACAACCAAGGGCCTCTGTTGTGGAGACGAACCAGTCACGTGCGGATTTGTCGGCGTCTGAAAGTGCCAGGCGAGACATGCCAGTCTCCGTGGGAGCACTGCAGTAGTTAGCCTCTCGTGATTCAAGATTCACGGGCCAACATGCTCTCCCCATCGCTCTCCTGTGCCCCATTGACATGTATGATGTATATCTTCCATGAGCCTCCCCTGATTGACCTTCAAATCCCTAAGCAAGTCATCGTTCATTTCTTTCGTTCTGATCTGCCATCGTGGTGAATTGGAGAATCCCCTGATCTGATCCTGACCAATCCGAGCTCTTGACGGCGCCGTACATCTCAGTGCGGGGTATCTTCTGTTTGCTATGCGAAGTGCTGATGTGAATCTGCTAGCTGGTGAGGCCATTACAGGGATATGTAGAAGGGAGAGAATTGGTATAACGAACGAAACAACGAGACCGTGGGGAAGTCGGCATCTTGTATGACATGGTGGGGAAGTGCTGATAACAACTGCGGAGTGTCTGTGCGGGACCATCCCGCGCTTGACACATGCAACTTCTCCGTCGGCCAACACCGACAACACTGAGAGCTACCCTTTAGGCAATACTTCTATACGAACGCCGCTTTAGAATCCATGTAGGGTATATCTGAAGTAAGTGCCTAGACACTATGATGATTGTGGTTATCATCTCACGGGTCACGATATACTCATATCTCACATCTCACATTCAAGAACTCAGACTTTGAGAGATCCAACTCATTCCAAACTAGGACCAGCCAAAAGGCTAGCCACACTCATTATATCTCTACAGCCGCTCAGAACACCCATAGTCATCATCTATCCTAGCTGGTCTCCAATAACAAGCTCTCTCCGAACCGAAACGCGACTCAAATGCTGCCAAAAGGGAATCGCAAAGCATACGTCAAAACGCCCAACTGCGCCATGAAAATGAAAAGGGTAGTGATGACTAGTCGCTGCGGATGCGAAACGTGAAAGGAAAGTTTGTTTTATGTACAGGTCGTCAGGAAACAGAAGTAGTGTGTAACAGATACGTCCAACTATGCTCATATCGCGTGCGGTTTCGGTGGACTGTTCGGCGGACTCCGCGGGGGACTGCGCGGTGGGCTGCTCGGTGCAGGCATAGGTGGTGCATTTTGTTGAAGATGCGCTGGCGCCTCGTCTTTCGTCACTGTGGCTCTTCGGAATACATTTCGCAGGCGGCTCGTCGTTGGCGGCGCAGTGTTCTGGTTCCCACCATGAAAACTGTTACGACTGTGTGCGGACTCCATGCGTGTCAGCATAGCGGCTGAGGTGAAGTCATTGCTGGCTTCAAAACTGGGGCGCACGCGGTCCATCGACATCCGCGCGCGGTCGTAGCTAGGTCGCACACGGGGGTCTGTTGACATGCGATTAATGGGCGGCAGACCCTCCATTGAGCGGCGTAATGTGTAATCGGTGCTGTTGCTGCCGTTTTGGCTTCTCGGGTTATGGGTGGTGGCAGTGGGAGCGACGGAGGGTGGGTAAATGGGCCGTACGTCTTCGTCCGCGACTTCGGCGTTGGCAGCTTTGTACTTGGTGGCGTCGGCTTCCGGGACATCTGGAGTGTAGGCCTTCTCTGGTGGAGGAGGAATATAGGCGTCGGTTTGCTTCAGGTAGTCGAATTTGCCTTGTGAGACTTGCTCCCGGATAATGTCCACATCGAGAGGGAAGTACATCTTCTGTACAGACTTGAAAATGAAGCGTGGAAGCAAGCAGGCAATGGTGGCGCAAAGAAGGTATGCCCAGAAATTAAGGTTTCCGTACACTTCGGAGCCGGCCTTGTAAAATTGAGCACTCGAAGTAAACGAGGTGTAAACTCCGGTCCAGAACCAGGTGAGGAGGGTGCTGATGATGACGATAACAAGAAACAGCCAGTCCCACCGGTACATATTGTAGAGTACGTAGGTGTTGGCGGCACAAACGGCAGTGGTGGCTGCGTAGATGCCCATGCGTCTGTACTCGGCGATATCCAAGCCGCCTGAGGTGGAAAATGTAGCGGGAGCGAATATTTCGTAAAGAAAGAAGAACGCGATGGCAGATTGGTAGATACCGTCAACCACATATGCCCTAGAAGAAAGTTAGGAGCAGGTAATCAAATTCAAGAGAGCTCACATACCAAAACTTCGGCTGGCTCCACTCCTTCCGTTCGATGCCGCGACGGTAGAGTTGTGGAACAGCCAGAGACACCCGGTCATCGACATCCTGATCAAGGACACCCATGACAATAACGGGAAGAGAAGTGAACACAAGATTGAAGAAAATAATGTAAGTGTAGTCGAACATGTACTGGCTGTCATAGTTGGTGAAAATCTGATACCAGAAAAGGCAGAATGTCCAGATGATGTTCTAGACGATTGTTAGCACCCGTCTTGAGCCGAGCACGGTTTGACTGACCTTGTAGAAGAAGTTGGCAATGGTCTCTGCCAGCCTTCGATACGACCATCGACCATGGACAAGTACGAGACGAGTAAGGAAGCGGAATTGTCCAATACCATAATCCGACGACATGACGGCGGCCCGGCCTTCGACACCGGCGATCCCGACACCGACGTGGGCTTCCTGGATCATAGCGACATCGTTGGCACCGTCTCCAATGGCTAGAGTCAGGCAGTCCAGTCCGGTCTTCACCATGTTGACGACTGCTGCCTTTTGACTAGGACTGACTCTACAGCACAGTACAGACCGACATCGCCTACAGAGCAGAAGGAACTTTCGCTTGACCGTGTCGTCCAAGGCCAGTTTGAGAGTGTCTCCGTCGATGATGATAGCATGCGTGGGTGGAGGTGGCTCGTGATCGGTTTGGGCGGCATCTAACTCTTCTTGAGAGCCCGTCAAGCCGAAGATAGCAAGTTTCTCGTCGAGTTGTGCTTCTATTGATGAAACATTGTCGTCGGTTACCTTCAAGATGAGAAGGTCCATGTCGTTGTCGAGCAAATTGCAGGAAAAGCCGATATTGATAGCCGTCTCTACTTTGTCACCAGTCAATACCCACAGCTTGATGCCGGCTTGACCGAGAAGAGAGATGGCCTCTGGGACGCCGTCTTGTAGTCGGTCTTCGATGGCGGTACCGCCAACCAGCCATAGTTGGTTTTCAATGCGATCGGAGACCTCTTCCAGCTTCTCCTCGCGCCCTGCGACTGCATTGGCAGCAAGGTCGTAGTCCCTGACCCATTCTTGATACTCTTCTTCTGAAAGCTCTCGTTGGGCAATACATAGTGTGCGAAGACCTTCTCTGGCGAACATCTCGAGATGCTCACCAGTAGTGGCACGGAGTTGGCGTTGCTCGCCGGGAATCAATCTGGAGTAAATCATGCTATCGGCTCCCTTACAGAACAGCAGAATCCTGCCATCAGGCATCCTGATGATGGCGCTCATTCGCTTCCTAGTCGAGTTGAATTCGAGAGTATTGAGAACCTGGTATCTGCGCTCGACTCCGAGGGCATTGATGATTAAACGGTCTTCTTCGCGACCCACAAAGGTAAAGCCTACGTCGCGTGCGGTGGCTACTAGTGCTGCCTCGTCCGGAGACTGCGCCTTGAACTCAATCTTGGGCGGGTCGCCTGGAGTCCGCTCCGTTACCACAGTATGACAGACGGCCAAGGCGATCATGAAGTCCTCGTTGGCGGTCTTCTGCTCTTGTCCAGATCCTCCAGCAAGGTCGTCGATGTAGTCTGGCGCCACAAAAGTCAGGTCTTCGTCCCACAAATAAGGGTTATTGTGCATCTTTCGGATCCCTTCGATCATTCGCACACGGTCCCGTGTAATTTGTTCGCGGGCGCGAGCGCTTTCGACTTCGACGTCAACACCCTGCCTTCGCTGCATACCGGCTTGAGCCTCCGTGTACGCTTCTCCGTATGGGACCCCGTTGATTGTGCACTTTTTGAACTCCATAACATTCTGCGTCAGCGTACCAGTTTTGTCAGAGAAAATGTACTCGACCTGACCAACGTCATCAGAGATGTTCCAGGACTTGGGCGTGCACGGATAATCGAGCTTCTCGTAGTACATGTTTATATCACTGTAGATGAAAACTGCCTGGAGCGTGCGGATGATTTCCACGGTAATGTAAAGCGAGACAGGGACCAAATTCTGGAAGAGAATGACAGCGGCCCAGAAGGCGATGATGCCGTCGGTTGCAGGAGTGCCGCCAAAGGATCCGTACTCGAAGACCGAGTGCGAGGTATCGTTTCTGCCCCAAGTCACGCCCAAAACGATTCCCGAGATCAGACACATGATGGCCAGGATCACGAAGTTGTAGATGACATTCCAGTTGAGTTCCTTGGAGATCCTGGCGCGCTTGCTAGGAGTGATACCGGAGTTGATCATAATCTTAGTCTCTTCTCCAGTGAAGACGACAATACCCAGCACCCATTCGGTATTTCGCAATTGGCAGCCACGAAGTAGCAGGTTATTAATCGAGACAGATTCTACCATCTCGTAAGTCGGCGTTTCGGGGTCCTTGGCATTGTGCTGCTGCCACCGGATGGCAGCACTGTACGAATAGAGATTCGAATGCGCGCCCTCGCTTTCAACAACAAACTCGGCGCGTTCGCAATGTCGAGCGTGGCGCACATCACGCGTACAGTGTAATGCGTTACGCACTTTTAAGTTGGTCTCGCCGTCCAGATTTTTTGTTTCAACGTAGCAAGCGCCGTCGTCAGAGGACGTGGAAAGAACCAGGACATCAGCAGGTATCTCTTCATCATTGTACAAGCGTAGGAAGTCGCCAACTTGTACGTTCTTCCAAGTATCTTTCTTGAACCGCGCCTTTTCCGGGGCAGTCTTGTATGGATTGATAACACTGCCCCAAAACTTTTGCGGGGTAGTGCCTTTGGAGTCGGCTCCTCGGATCATGTCGCCTTCTCCGGGGCCACTGGTCAACGGGGGGGAATGGATGGGGGATTGGCCAGGTAGGGGCGAAGGAACGGGTGTCATCTGAATGCCGTCCTGGTTTCCAAAGTATGATTCCCTATGCGAGGCGACTGACGCTCGTCGCGTGTCGACTGAGGGTCTCGAGGCGTCGAGACCCCTCTCATTGCCGGCCTTGCCCTTGGAGCCTTTCCTGCTCTTTGCAGCCCTCCATGTTGACACGATGGCCTTGGTGGTGGCCTTCTTGACTCTTCGCCATAGTGACACTGTATCCTCGGCTGTATTTACGTTGCTGAAGTCGACTAGCCTATGGACGGGGGCGTTGTTCAGCTCGGTGTCGAGGTTGGTTCTCCGCCAATCTTCTATGGCGTCTTTTATGGATGTCACGACAAGGATGATGATGAGAGGTGCGGCGTTGAGCGCGGGGTTTGAGGCTCCGAAAATGGAGAAAATCTAAGTATCTGAGTTAGGATGAGACGGTGACTAATGGAGAGGATACGTACGCCTAGGATGATGATGAACAAGAAGTAGACGTTTGCGACGTTGTGGAACTGGAACCACAAATTCTTGGGAACGAAACTGAGGGGCGTGTATTTGGACGTTCTTATCTTATTGCGCGCATAATGTGCAATGGGGTGCCCGTCCTCGTCGCGCTCCGACTGTGGTAGTGGCACATTGAAGTACACTCTCCGCCCCGAGTCCGGCTCTTCGCTGTCTGCCTCTGAGCTATCCGCCGAATGGTCGGCTATTGATCCACCCTCTTTGCCTAACGAGTCCCGCTTCTCTCCGCCCGAGCCTATGCGCCGGTGCAGACGCTCCTTGAGAGAATGCCGCTTGTTCGCTGCCGTGATGCCTGTGGCCCGATGCGTGGCCCATCTGATGCGTTTTACGGGATTGGAGACCTCTGGCTCATTGGGCTCCTCGGGGGGTTTCAACGACATGGTCGCCGGGGTACGGTGGATGGCCAGATGAAGGTGCAGGGTCGCTGGGGGGCGGTCGAGGGTCGAGGATGCCGCTGCAGTCCAAGGTCGCCGGCTTGAGCCGGGAAAGGCTCTATGCTGCAGACGAGGCCAATTTCGCGTGCGAGGGACAAGATCACGTCGGTGAGGCTTCTGCGCGCGGGTGGACGATGGGCGACGTCCTGTTGTGCAGGCTGTAGGGGGCAGCAGTGAAGGGCAGATGCGCTTGGGAAATGTTCACTTGGCGTGGATCAGGGACCCTGGGCGAGAAAGGGCGATGCGAGACGAGAGAGGGAGGGAAGTGGAATTAAACGACTGTGCAGCGTCAAGGCTGTCTTGTGGCTATCACGGAACCATGGAAGCAGAAGAGTAAGAGGAGGACGGCACGGATGAGGCGTTGCAGGACGAACGGTTCTTGGGCGCGCGCGGGCTTGCTGATACTGTAAGCAAAGCAAAGCAAGCAGCAGCAGCTCCGCCGGCCGCTGCGGTGTTAACACGAGAGTGCGAGGCTAGCGTCTTAGGCTCCGGCTGGTCCGCTCCACCTCTCTCTGAAAACAACACCAGGCCAGAAAATCCCAATTCCATCGACCCAGTTCCGTCGAGGCTGCGATTCAGTTTTCCACGTTTGCGAACGCGTGGCCTTGGATTCCCGTCAAGACGACTCTCCTCCCCCTGTGCTAGTGCCTGGCGGATTCCCAGGCTCCCCAGGGCAATACACAGTACCAGACGCTCGGCCGAGTCCTGCTTCCCACAGCCCTGTCAGACGAAATGGAATACTAAGACACGGTGCCGGACACTTATAATTAGCAGACGCACTACGGTTGTTTGGTGTGCGGTGCGCTTAGAAGTCGGGCGTGCTGACTGATTGCGCCACGACCATGTCAATCAACATGAATCGCAGACTGATGAAGGGTATATCTACTGAGCCGTAAATCATGCTCTAGCCAGTGCTGCCTGTTCATCTAATTCGTGTCCTCAACGCGGGGAAGATGCATCTCACATGCTCTGACACGGCCCGCCGCAGGGGGCAACAGTGAAGATCAATGCGAAACCTTTTGAAACTCTGTTACCATTCAGCGTCGGGCTGCACAAACTTCGGATCCGAGTGCAGCGAAATGACCGGCCTGGCTATGTAGTTATGTGTCTAAAAAGCAATGACGAGCACTTTTCGAGTACATGCCCGGATGCCGGCGGATGCGCATTCCGCTGCGGAGTCGTCAATTGAAATGAAGCTACTCACGTAGTCAGGCCACGTGACAGCGTGTAGGCCGTCTCGCATCTCTTTGGGACGCGCCAAGCACCAGGAACACACCTCCACCCCACCATTCCGCTGCGCCCACGTTCGTCGAGGCAAGATGAAGCCACAGAAAAGAAGTATACGAGACTTCTTCGCCCCGCTATCACAATCTTCGCAGGCGACGCTGGAAAGCACCCCGCTCCAGAGAGGTACTGCTTCTCTTGACATCAGCCCTCACAGCCTTGGGCTAACAACTGCAGCCAGTTCAAATGCAAGCAATGCACAGGCATCCCGGTCGACCAACTCGAGCACGTCCGCGATAACAACGGCGCCCGCACCGACTAGAGCGACAAGTACTGAGGCAGCACCTCCACAGCCGTCACAGAATTCGGTCAACTCGGGCGCAAGCAGGCGCATCGTCTCCAATGGAGAGCAAATAGTCCTCAATTCAGACTCAGACTCAGACTCTCTGCCAGACCTTGATTGGGGCGACTCCAAACCGAGCTTCAAGGTGTCAACGACCACTACACGTTCCAAACGCACAGCAGATGAGGTCGACGGCGATCTACGCAGGCCTCCGAAGAAAGAAAAAAGCAAGGAGCAATCTTTTAGTCTACTTCTTGAGTCTGCGCACAAGAATATAGAAACAGAGCAGAGAATCAAAGAGCACAAAGCTGTCCTGGAAGAGGATTTGGAGGACACCCCTAAAGCCAATCTCGCCATCAATGAAGACATCCTGGGTCAAGCAGTCCAGGACGACGATGACGATCCTGAGAAAGCCCATCGATTGTTTCTCGCCATGCAGAGAACTAATGCTACGCAATTGCAAAGCGTCTACTACTTCTTCGAGGACACGTCAGACTCTACACCTGTGCAACACCACAAGTTCCCTTACGATAGCCTACCCAAACAGCGGTGGGCTTCTAGCTTTCAAGGTGTGTTTGCCATATGACCTCACGCGTACATCTCTAATAGCTACTAGACTCAACAACACTAGACCAGGCTTTCTTGACCGGTTTTGCTCATCAGGTATTTCGCCTACAAGAGCTTCCAGAGGAGATTGCTTCCTGGATGCTCGATCAAAGTTCGTGCCATCCAACCTGGCCGTAGGCCCCGCTAATTCTTATAGTCTGCATTGGCCGAAACGAAGTATTAAATGAACGGTTTCTTGAGATACTAGAAGTAAGTCTCCCATTAGCCATGCTATGTCGTTTATTGACCCCAGTAGTCACATCATGTGCATTTCCAGACGCTACTCGACATAAAGAAGCTTGACGCTATATTCAGTTCGATAGGCGCCAATGTCCAGAAGCTGAATTCGGGTGCGAAGGTTGCACCATCATCCGAGGACCAGTCAGCCACCAGACCTTCACTACCAGCTTCGCTCAAATCAACCGCGAAATTGCTGCACAGAGCTGCACCATGGTAAGAACGTAGATATATGTACTCTCACGTCTTCTAACTGTCTCAGGTTGCATACGAAAGTCAGGAGTCATGCCTTGTACATACTCTGCCACGTCTGTTTAGATAACCGTGTCCAAGGGGACGTCGACGTCTTGAATTCTGTCCAAGATGCCATAGAGGCCACCATCTGCAACTTCGCCGACAACCAACGGCTGACATCCGGCGTAGGAAGCCCTCCAGCAGAGCAGCATACCCAGTCTCTAATCGTCTCACAGCTTAGCGACACCATTCCGCAATTGCTATCACGCATCACTCACCCCATCCTCCAAAGAAATCTCATCTGTGCACTACCAGCCAGATCTCCCCTGACTACTTACCTCCGGCGGCACCTTGCTCTTTCATTCCTGCTCGATCCCACTACGGTCAACGTGCCACTCGCAGATCCCAAAATACCTGATCTAGTACATAAACATCTGAATACTTCACCAAATTTCCGGATTAACAAAGACACCGACTATGGTCATCTCGCTGCTCGTTTGACGCTGCTTGATATCGCCATCGGCCCAGGCTTTCTATCAGTTCCATACCAACCACTCATCAGTCCCGCGCCATCCCGAGCAGGCTCTTCTCCCGTCACGTCACCATTCCCAATCTCCTCTGAAATCAAGGACTTTAACAAAGAAGTAGATGCCCTTGCGCAACATATCAAGCTTTTGGGCAATACCATCGTCGAAGCCGGAGCCGTGGTGGACCTCACAATACTAGACGCAAAAGACTGCGTCGAGAGGTTGTGCTCACGACTAGAACATGCTGCCAGAATAGGTGGGAAGAGGGTTCACAATATTTTTGGCAATCCAGATGACGAGAGGCAGCTCAGGGTGAGCAAGTTCTTCTTGAACGCAAAGAAGCCAGCGACTCCTACACCGCAACGCGGGGGAATCTTCGACGAGGATGACATGTGAAACCTGGGAGGTTTACGAACCTCATCACGGAATAATAACCCCCAAAACGAATGAGGAAGGATGCGTTGCTGAGATGTTCTTGTGCAATCTCGCTTCGTCGCACCAGCACAACATTTACTACGAACCGTTCTCGCCCCGCTTCCTCAGGGGGATCTACGTACAGGAGCTCGCACAATGGCGCGTCGCGTAATTCAACAGAAAGCAAACCCCTAACCTCACGTCTTTGCCCACATCATCCCAAGATTTGCGTGCAATCCTTCGCCGCGCTACTGAAGAGTTCGGCAACAACGCCAAGCGAGTCTAGAAGAGGAGATGGGCGATATCTACACCCGCGATGGATTAGATTGCCCGAGCACCTAATTCCCCCTCCCTGCAAGCGCAGGCGGGACTTTCTTTCTTATGCACACTTTCTCGTGTCTCATGCATGTGCCAGTGTGAAAGTCTGGCAATCAATTTAGGGGAGGGCGGAAGATTTCATTACCACTTTCCCGCCTTCTATCTCAGGTTATTGCGGCGTAGGCTAATGCACTGGGCACTATCGTGCTACTGTGTGGCGCATGTAAGTCATGACTCGCGTGAGATACACCGGGCGGTGAAGTCAACCCCTCTCGGTTGCGGACGAGTTCCGGAGCCGAAGACGAGGCTGCGTGAAAGAACATGTAGTCGTGAGTAGTCTCCCCGCTCAGCTCCTCGGAGTGTGGTAAGAAGGAAATAGACTCGATTGGGTATAGCTTTGTTTCACACGATGCCGTTTGCCGGAAGACGGTCTGGTGGGATGTTGCTGGTATTCTAAGGAAGGGATCAGGGATGTTTTGAACCCTTGGGTTCTCTCGAGTACATATAGCTGCCCTGAACCATACTTGCACCCGCTGCGAAACCCTTTTTCTTCTCTGTAAATCGGATGGAGATGTGAGGTATTGTGGTCTATGAAAGAACGCTAAATGAAGAATGAAGGGCAACACGAAATGAAAGTAGATGCTCCAGTACGTCAGCGCCGCTGACTTCTTACTCATTACCACCGTATCACCACATGCTGAGGGGTGGGAAAGAAAGAGGCGTTCGTGATTGCAAGATACGTTCATGGACTTCGTATAACCTCTCTTCCAAAACCCGCTTTACATTTTAGTCCTATCCTCTTATGATGCACCCGATCCGTTCTTCTCGTCAATATGCTTGTAGCGTTCCTGCTCCATCCTATATTTGAGGACCATGGCAACGCAGAGTACGAGGATAACGTCGACGCCAACAATGCCGAAAGCGGCAGTAAAAATCTGGTCCAGGTACTTGTTGGAAAAAGAGGCAAACTTGCCAATGCAACCACCTTTCTGAGCAGCGACAAGGGTATTGGGGCAAGTGGTATCCTGCACGAATGGAGGCGAGGTCGAGTTGACATATCCGCAGCAGTCGAACTGTATTTTGTCAGCAATCTGACTGCATACCACCACAAATCGGGGACCCCTAGCTATCAGCATCCCGCTGAGCCTCTCCATGTAGACGATCCGCCGCTTGGCCTTTCTAGTGCTGATGCCAGAGGTGGAAAAGAACTCACCTTCTGCTGTAAGAGACTCTGAATGAGCGGTGACTCGCGTCCCCAGATTGCGCTAAGGTGCCGGCGTGTCTCCAGCGTCTCTACCCAGATGGCGAGACCCAGACCAAGTGTATAGGTTGCACAGACGACAACTAGCCATCCTTGGGCGCGAAGCCAGCCTCGATTTGTGGGCAGGAAGAGCGCTGGGAGGGACAGCAGAAATGTGACGAAGACGAAGATTGCGTTCACAACGCCGGCTACGTGTTTTGTTAGTCTATTGTTCTCCATGTCGAAGGTGGTGTGCCACGGTCCGCAGCCACAGTAGTGCGGCAATATTGATTGCAATGGCCCTCTTTTCATGAGCATCCCGGAGTCGTACCTGTCAATGGACACTGGCCGAGCAGCAAGTTCTGCGTGACGTTGTTCACTGTCGGAGTGTTCCGCATCGACTGCTCTGAAATCAAAGAAAAGCCTAGCAGTAGTCCTCCACATGCGGCGAAGAGGAGGTCCATGCCAACGAAGACCATCATCAGTTTGGTCGGCATACTGGCGGTATTGGAGCGCAGCTCAACGGAAAGGGACTGGAAGGAAGAGGCGTGAAGCAAAGAATGGAAGTCGAGCGCAACGGAGCCGACCGGCGTGCTCTCAAATTATTAGATACAGCGAAAGGAAGGGAAGGGAAGGAAGTGAAAGTGGCAAGAGGTGCGCTCGCGCAGAAAGTGCATAGCATTGAAGACACGGGAGCCTCGAGCATTAAGAGGCTCTGCGGTGGCGCGTCGCAGTTGGACGACGACGATGCGTGGGTGGTTTCAGTAGTGTAGGAGCATTGTTAGTAGCGAATCACCGACGCGAGCAGCCATGGTGGTTCGATGTTTGGCGCTGCAACTGTCGGCGAAACTGATGATACAAACGACTGCGACGACATGTTTTCATCTACGAGAGCATCAGACGGGGGAGAGATGGAGGGAGAGAGATACAGCATGACGAGCGCGGTGTGGTGTTGAGTACCGAGTGATAGTTGGCTGCAGGCGCCACCAACACGGCGGCACCTGCGGCGTGAGAAAGGCTGGACCCGAAGCGAGACCGGACGGGGAAGGAGGTAAGACGCCTGCAGGCCGCGGCTTCCCCTTACGGGCTGCCCTTGATTATGGGTGCAACGCTGAAGAAGATAGGGCTGCATGCCCAGTATAGCTTCTGGATGCAATAGCACACTGCTGACTAGTAGCTGCAACGGCCGCGAAGGGCATGTAGCCTCTGCTACTGTGTAGAGACTGCTTGGTCCTTCCTTGAGTGTAGCGCGGAAACCTTGGACATTCACCGCACGCACACGCCCGTCAGTCTCATCTCAGCAGGTTTAGCGTCATTTGTGCACCACCAGAGCTTCTCCACCAATGACAGGGCAGGCGCAGTGGAGCTCCCCACTCGCAACCGGCGGGCCTCGTCCAATGAGGGCCTAGTGCGTTCCCTGGATCTGATGACCACTGGGCAGACGGCGGCGCGCTGTGCTGAGGAAGGGAATGCTCGTTGCTGCTGCTCCGTCTCGAAAGAGCATGACAGGTAAATGGTGGGTTGGTTGGAGCCTCTTCAGATGATGACCACAACAACAACAAAAAAAGGTGCTCGACTGCAAGTACCCGCGCAATGGCCCGTATCCTCACAACGACGACGACTACGACGACAACTGCAAGACACCATCTGCGATTCAGCAAAAGACCAGGGGTGCGAAGTCAAGCGCATCCGCCCCCCGTCGCCTGCAACCCAGTGGATGGCTGGCCTGCCGTCTTGTCTGCACCAAAGCAGCCTGCAAAATATACTTGACCATTCCCGCCGTTTCAACTTTTCCCAATCTCGTTCATCTCTTTCCGTCTCGAGACAGCTTCTCTTGCACCTGCACCACCACCAGCTTGTGCCCTGCGTAGTCGACACTTACTGCCATACCCGCGGCCAAGCTCCCACCAAGCCCTGGCCCGCCAACCAACTGTAACCAGCCTTCGGCCCATCTCTCCACCTGGGCACCCCCATCCCAACGGCGCGCGCAAAGCAAAAACTTGACCAGGCAACAAGCCAGTAAGCGCCTGATTGATTATTCACCTGTTTTCTACTTCTACACTCGTAGGTACGTATCCCCAGCCACTCCCTGCCCCGTCCGCCGAGTAATGTTAGCTGCCCTCGGCCGGCTGCGCTGTGTGACCGAGCGCGACTGTCTTCCTTGCATTCCTCCCCGCCCACCACAAAGGGTCGACGCAGCCCGGCCTTACTCGTTCAACCCAAGCGCTGCCGCCTGCTTCGTTTTCCCCATTCATCTTTCAGTCTAACCCAACTTTTCCCAGACAGCCTGTAACATTCTGCGCGTCCGCCCAACTGCAAGAATCAACCGGCACCTCCCCACAAACTCCCGCTGGAAGCAGTTTAGGGCCTCTCCCGCCAAACTCTCGTAACCAGGCCACCGCACAACCTCCACCATGGCCTCAGAACTCACCGACCACGACCAGAACGCGTCGCCCTCGCTCCACGACGACGGCAATGGCTCGCTCGGCGCTGCCGACTCGAACCGCGGCACCAAGCGTCCGCGACCAGCCGCCGACGACGACGACGACGATGATGACAAGCCCGGTCGCGAGCGTAGGAAGATTGAGATCAAGTTCATCCAGGACAAGTCGCGTCGGCACATCACCTTCTCCAAGCGCAAAGCCGGCATCATGAAGAAGGTACGTCGTCGACGGTTTTGTGTGCGCACATCGCAAGGCAATCCCCGTCTATAGCGCTGCCCTGCCCTTTACCCGCGTCGCATGACAAACAACATCTGCGTTGCTGTTCTTCGCTAATCGCCTCCTCACCTCTAGGCTTATGAACTGTCCGTCCTGACTGGCACCCAAGTCCTGCTGCTCGTCGTGTCCGAGACGGGCCTCGTCTACACTTTTACCACGCCCAAGCTGCAACCGCTGGTGACGAAACCCGAGGGCAAGAACCTCATCCAGGTACGCTGCCAACACCATCCTTTCCTCCCACGTCGCATAACACTGCTAACACGCACAAGGCCTGTCTAAACGCGCCAGAGCCCTCGAGCGGCGATGCCAACGGTGTCGACGCAGACAACTCGGTCGAGTCGCCCGAGGACAACCATGCGCAGGTCGCGCCCGGCCAGCCACGCGGAATGCCGCCCAACAACAACGCCATGCCCCAGGCCTACATGACGCCCGAGGCTGCCCTGCACTACCAGAGCTACCTCCAGCAACAGCAGCAGTCGAACCAGTACCCAATGGCACAGCAAGGCATGCCCCGCCACCCAGGCGGCCATTATCCCCAAGATCAGAAGCTAGGCTAAACGTAATATTTTGCGAGCGATCCACGACTGAACCTTGGTAGCAGGTCTCTCTTCAGGCGGCGCATAGTAACCGGATATGGACAACCCTCGTAATGGACGAAAAGTAATCAACGGTGTAGCTCAATCAGCCATGCCCAGGTGCCTAGTACGCATGCATGCGGCAACAGCGGAAAGATGTGGGACGATATGACGTGGGAAAACGCGGTCTTGGAGAGCCAAGCGGGTGCAGTTCTAACTGGACGATTGTACGTCTTACGTGGATATGGGCGTGGTGTGGTGTTTTCTTTGTTTTCCTCATTATTCTCTCGTGCTCTCTCCCTGCCAACATCTATATCATCTATCTATGTGTCACGTCTACGAGACGCTGTGTATTTTCAAATTCCCCCACAACTGTCTCTGCATTGGTACAATACAACGTAATCGACCTTTACTCGAGTGTCGCGTGATGCCACTTTCGTGTTAGGACGCCTGGGCGTAACTGCTGTTTTCGTAGTTGCCTGATTCGGAGGGAATTTGCCACCCTCTCCACCACAACCTGGCCCACGCACACAACACAGACTGCTCTCGACATGTACATGGCCCGCCAGCACGCAGGGCTTTTGCAAGGACATGTCTGCATGCCGGCTTACACTCATCGGTACTTTTTTTTTGCGGGTCGCGCGGGACGATCCACCGCTCCCTTGACCCAAAGTAGAATACCGACATGACGACGGGTTTCAAATGACGATTGCTGTTGGACTCGTGCCCGCCCGACCATGACCGAACCATCGCGTAGAGGTCTTTTCTGATCAGCTCTTCGGGACGAAATGATCGATCAAGTCCATCTAGAGCTCTCAATCACACCTTTACGATGCATACTCTGGCTACAGCGAAGCGAGCAGAGCACAAAGACTCGATGTCCTCGAGCCTCAATAAAGTCGACCGACACGACTGGGACCCTTCTACGTTGCTTTGGAAGATTCTAGTCCACTCTGTTAGGTCACAATTACGGCTTCTGGCAGCAAGTGTGTCACTGCGTGACTGCAACATTCTCCTCTCAAGATGGTGGTACGAGGCGGCGATGGAGTGGTACACGGCTGGCGGATGCTCGATACGAACAGCTTGCGCTACCTGCTGCTATAGAAGCATATTGGAAGCATGTCGAGCCGAAAGACGAACAAGTGCACTTACAGGACTAGACCTGTAATATGTTTCATCAAACTATGATTCTCGTGGCTACTCCAATGAGATTCACGAGATACAAACGATTACCTGTTGCTACACACCGAGGAAGCACCGCATGGCTGCAGTGCCACGGAAACATCCCGCTTTGCACCCCTCATCCATCGGCTTTCCAAGGTTGCTATTTGCCGCTCTTGACAGCTTGGTGGTCGTCGCTACACATACGGGTACATTCATCCATCTAGTGTCTGCTACCATGATTCTACGAAGATCTACAATTCCTGGGGACTTGTTTCCCTGACATGGCTAGCCTTGCTTTTAGATGCCGTAGCAGTGCCGCAGGTAGATACTTTCCATCTACGCGCATGTGCAACATCGATGCCACAAGCCCAGGCGTCCTCTTGAAGCTCCCTATGCCCCTATACATTCGACATTCCCGTAGTCTTGCGCCAGTAGGTAAATACGTATTCGCAATGCATTGCTCAGTGATGACCATGTTGAATCTCATAAAGCCATGCTGTATCGTGGTCACAAACCTACGCCTTACCCGCCATTCTGCTGCTAAACAGATTCAGGTTGCGGATCCGGGGTTAGCGCGCCTCTTTCTCCGCACCGGCGGAGACAAACGAGTGAATCAGAGTCGACGTCTCTTCTACCCACGCAGGGCGCTCTTACAATTCCCAAAAGCAGGGCTGCTGGCGCCTATCACATTCGATGCGCGGTACGATTTGCGGCTTGTCATTGAATTTAGCCTCTCGATGCTCTCACCTTGCTATCTCTTATCTACATGCGTTTCTCCCCACGTCCCTCGCTCGAGGGCTTCCTACAGAGCTTCGTTATCAAGCATACATAATCTCTGACGATTCTGCGTTATCTCCTTGGCAATCGGTGACAAGCTTCGCAACAAGCTTCGCGCCAAGTACAAATCCAGCAAGGAGTCCTCTTGAATTCACGATTCACCACTTCACTGCGTCCTGTGCGACCTGACCCTTATCTCAGCCAGTCTGGAGCCCAGAGACAGCAGACACCATGGAGTCAGAAACAGAGAAGAAGATGACTCCGTCCGTATCTCCCGATGTCGAAGCAGTGCACAACTCGCCCATCGATGAAGACGCCTTGAAGCTGGCGGAGATGGGCTATACACAAGACATGAACAGGAACTTTAGCGTGCTGTCGGTTCTCGGCGTTGGCTTCTCCTTGACGAATTCGTGGTTTGGCATCTCGGCCGCTCTCATCACCGGCATCAACTCTGGAGGTCCGCTGCTCGTCATCTACGGCATCATCCTGCTGGCTTTGGTCTCGACGTGCGTTGGTATCAGTCTGAGCGAGTTGGCGAGCGCGCTGCCAAACGCGGGTGGACAGTACTTCTGGGCCAACGAGCTAGCTCCCAAGAGGTTCACGAGAATTGCGAGCTATTTGACAGGATGGCTGGCTTGGTGGGGGTCGATGTTCACCAGCGCGTCCGTAGCACTGTCGGTGGGGGGTGCAATTGTGGGATGCTATCAGCTCAGCCACCCTGAATTGTGAGCGCGCCTTCCTTATCTGATAAAAGCTTGGGCAACATGAAGGCGAAGATGATATGAGCTGACCATTCGCAGTGTGATCAAACGGTGGCACGTCTTTCTCACCTATCAACTCATGAACATCTTCTGCTCCCTGTTCAACTGCTATGGCAAAACACTGCCTACAGTCGCTCAGGTCTCGCTCTGGACGTCGTTGGTGTCGTTTGCCATCATTCTGATTACTGTACCGGCCGTTGCTCCAACGCATCAGCATGCTCGATTCGTCTTCGCAACCTTCATCAACAACACCGGCTGGCAGCAGGGCGGTATAGCCTTCATCGTCGGCCTGGTGAACACGAACTGGAGCTTTGCCTGTCTCGACTGCGCCACCCATCTCGCTGAGGAGGTCCATAGGCCTGAGAAGATGGTCCCAATCGCCATCATGGGCACTGTCGGTATCGGGTTCGTTACTAGTTGGTTTTATTCCATGGCCATCTTCTTTTCCATCGTGGGAGACTTCTCCGAGATTGCGGCGTCGGCATCGGGAGTTCCGATCCTCGAGGTGTTCTTCCAAGCGCTGAACCACAGGGCTGGGGCGATTGTCCTTGAGGCGCTCATCATTGCGACCGGAATGGGCTGCTTGATCGCAAGCCATACCTGGCAGAGTCGGCTCTGCTGGTCCTTTGCACGGGATCGAGGAATGCCTGCTCATCAGTGGCTCTCCAAAGTGCACAAGGGGTTTGATGTTCCGCTCAATGCGCACTTTACTAGTTGTGTCATCGTGGCCATCATGGGCTGCTTGTATCTGGCCTCGCTGACAGCATTCAACTCGTAAGTCGGCAAAGACACTTCAAGGCTGTTACTGACACGGCGCAGCATGATCACAGCCTGCATCGTTCTCCTGTACCTGAGCTACTCGATACCCATCGTGTGCCTGCTCATTCGCGGTCGATCGAGCATCAAGCCGGGGCCGTTCTGGCTGGGTAATGTCGGCCTGTTTGCCAACTACGTGCTGCTCGCCTGGACTGGCTTCACGCTGATCATGTACTCATTCCCCTACTCAAAGCCAGTACAAGCCGGCAATATGAATTGTAAGTGTCTAAACCCGCAGCCAAGAAGGTTAGAGCTCACTGACGACTCGCGTAGATGTGTGCGTTGTCTACGCCGTTATTGCGTTCCTCACGACCATGGACTGGGTGTTTAGAGGCCGCAAGAGCTTCCGAGGTGCGGGCGAGCGCAAGGCTGACGTGAATGCGCATGGGCAGAGGATTGTGGATGTGCCCCGGCCTGCGTAGCCAGGGGAGTTGTGATCATTGGGTGCTTGTACATGCTAGGATTGGGATATAGAGTGCTTCAAGGTCAACTTACGTACCACACTCAACCGCTCTGCGTACCATTGGTCAAGGCCATGTCTGCCGATACGCCTCCAAAAATAACCAGCACTCGTGTACATGGCCCATCTCGTCCCGTGATAATCCTCGGTCGACAATCTATGCGAAATCCAGATGCCCTCGCTAGACCGGCAGCCACGCACTTCCGTTCGGCAACGAAGCGACGTACGACGCAAAACGCGCACAGCCACATGTCGCCACTCTCCAGCCGTTTCGCCAGTTACAGCCGTCCCCCGCAAACCAGGCACGCCCGGTGTATCGCAATTTATCGCAATGTCGACATGCCATTTGCTCAAATGCGATGTGACGGGTGGCTAGTGAAGGGGCAAACCTGCATTTCGCTGTCTTTCAACCGGCTGGCAGCACGCTGACGGGCCCTGATCAGCATCGCAGACTGCCCACTGTGGTAAAGAGACCGGTGGGCTGTGTTGGTTGATCGCTTGCTTTTCGCCTCTCTCTACGTCGACTTGCTGCCGCGACGAATCTCGAGCGTCGAGGACCTGCACGCTGTACATGGGTCGAAACAAGTGATAAAAACTATGGCCACCGCTGTTGCGACACGGTTTGCTTGCACCGTCCACCCGAAAATGAGGCCCTCATAGTACACACTCGACAGTCGTTCGCACTAGCATATACCTTTTTTTCTGCTTTACGCCAACACCACATTCGCTCGGTATGCATTCGTTAAGAGGATGGAAGTGGTTGGTACTGGGGAGCGTGGTTGGCAGTGTGAGCAGTGCGGTGATGCCGACACCTGCGATTACACCTGCACCACGATCCGCTGAGGTGAATCTACGATCTTTGGAGAAGAGAGAAACTCCAGATGCGTAAGTTCAGTACTATGGAGCTCAATTGCAACAAGCTGACAACCCACAGTGTTTCACTCGCTCACGTGCTCCTGACAGCACTACCACTTTCGCTCCGCCTGATCGCTGCGACCAACGTTCCAGCCGTCTCAAGCATACTATGGGAAGAGTTTTTGGATGATAAGAAACCGCAGTGGTTTTCAGAATTGCCATGGGATATACAAAACTATCTAATCAGAGAATTCGGGCCACAGTCAGCATGGCCGACCGCGTCGCCAACGAGTAAAGTCACTGCGACGGGAGCGTCCTCGACAGCGCAGACAAGCCTGTCGCAGTCGTCCGAGTCGCCCACACCGTCAGCATCTGACAGCGCGTCCACGACCAGTACTCCTTCGACTTCAACACCAGTGTCATCATCAGTGTCTTCACCCTCACTGGCTTCCACCCTTTCCCAATCGAGGGCGACCCAAAGCTCAGCGTCACCCTCAACAGTACCCGTAGCACCAGAATCCAGCAACTCCGGGCTGACCAGACGCCAAAAGGTCGGGCTCGGCGTCGGTGTGCCATTCGCCTTCCTGGGCATCGCTGCTATTCTGTTCGCATGCTGCTTCCTTCAGCGCCGCCGCCGGAGAAGGCGCATTGAAGGCTTCCAACCGCCATCGTCACCAGGCTTCATCCCCCGCTACTCGTTCCAGGACCGGACGCTAAGCTCTGACCACTATGAGCATCGCACGCCGCTGAACCGGGCGAGTCAAGAGGATGGCACCATGAACTGGGAAGACGACGGCTACGATCCCGCAGAGATGGAGGCGCCACATAGAGCGAACGCGCTTCCACCAGTTGCAGCGCCCATGGCAATGCACGACCCTAACCCCATCATGGCGGCGCCTGCACTATATCATACGCACAGCTCGAATCGCGCACGAGGTAAGAGGACAAGCTACACGAATCTGCACTCTGTTGCCGAAGTTACGGAGCCAGACGACGAAATGATGGAATCCCCTGTCCTGGGACGAAACCAGACACCACCAAGGCAGACTCTTCGGAGAATGAGTGCGCCGCTACACATGGATATGCCGCCGATACCAGCCGTGGCCACGCTCAAACGAAAGCCCGTTCCTACAAGCCCAATGGGCACCAGTCCAGCCGCCGAAGCTGCATCGCGATCCCTACTGCGTCCACCACTGGCGCAGCCCAACCACAGCGGCAGCAGCTCAAGCGGCATGGCAGTAAGCAGCGTGAGCACCTCGTCCAGCTTGGGAAACCACTCCGACGACGTGTCGTCTCCTATCAGCCCAGTGTCCAGCCACGCCCCGAAGAACCCTTTTGCTGGCGGATACGACTACCTCGAGGACTACGGCCCAGAGTACTCCAACAACGGCTATGATGACCTCGAGGGTGGCTTGTATGGCGGGCACAGAAGTCTGGATAGATATCCGGATCCGTCGGCCCCACGCAAGAGCTCCAAGACTGAGTGGCCGTTGCGGAATATGATGGGCTCGGGGCACAAGCGGAACAGAAGTCCCATGTGGGATCGCGTGTATGAGTAGGAGTGGTAATGATCTATGACGATTTTTCTTTTCTTGCACGAACACGGGTTAGCATGGGCCTGGCGTTTGGAGGTTGAGTGTTGATGATAAAGTCCGCTCCTTTTGGTTTTTAACGCGTTGCCATGATACACAGCGCCTCTATGCGCAAGTTTTGTTTGATAGTTTTTACGATACCTACAATACGGCTTTGACTCCTTCAGCCGAATACAATCCAACACTATACTTAAATTTTTGAGCTTACTCTATTTACCCTGCAGGATCTTCTCAGCAGCCTTCTCTGCTAACGCGTACACAGTGGCCACAGGATGCCCAGGCGGCAAGAACGGCACAGCGCTCAAATCTACAACCCGTAGCTTCTTGACACCGAACACTTTTCCTTCGGAATCCACCACAGCCAGCTTGTCTTCTCGTTTGCCCATCTTACATGTACAGCTAACATGCGATATCGTCCGCGAGTTCTTCTGGATATAAGCCAGGATCTGCGCATCTGTCACCGTCCCGTTCCCAGGCACGACTTCCGCACCAACGACGACGGGTGCAAGAGACGGATCGGCAAAGATCTCTCTTGCTCGTTTGATGGCTGCGACAGCGACTTCTTGGTCCCGCGGATCGGTCAGGAATGCGATGTGGAGGACGGGCGGGTCGAGCATGGATGCAGAGGATATGGATATCGTGCCTCTTGAAAAAGTATTCACCAAGACGGCAGTGATGCCCGCGTAGTCATCCTGATCGGGCGGAATTCCAGGGTAGGATGATTGGGTGAGGTATTCCAAATCAGGCCAGTCGGACGGCGCCTTGTTCAGGGCTGCTGCGGTGCTGTTGGATACGAGGCGGCGGGGGACTTTCTCCCAGCCTAGGACGTCGCCGCCCGTGCTAGCCAAAGGGCCTGCGCCATTACGAATGAACTCCTCGGTTGCCGCTTGGTTCTTCGCCGGCGTGTTGAGGACCGTTGAGCTAGTTACTCGGACTTTATACGTTACTCCCATGCTTGGATGATCCTGTGCCATGTCAGTCACCATAACTGGCAACGATGACGAAGCGACTTACCTCCAGACCCAGTCCTACTCCCGGTGCATCGACTAGGACTGGGATACTGAACTTCTCTAGCGTCTGTCGTGGGCCAATGCCACTCACCATGAGCAGCTGCGGGCTTTGAACTGCTCCAGCACTGACAATGACTTCTTTCCGCGCAGTGAGCCCAAATTTCTTGCCAAGCGTACTGCAAGAAACTCCAGTGGCTTCTGTGCCGTTGAAAACAATATTCAACGCCGTTGTTGATTTATAAATAATCAAGTTTGGTCGCTTCAAAGCCGGTCTAAGATACGCCGTTTCAGACGAGTCTCGCACCATGGTCTTTGGGTCAGTAGTTCGCAACGACCATCCAGAACCGATCAGGTCTCCGTCGAGATATCCAGGAAGAGGCTTCATGCCCACTGCCTTGGCTGCCTTCAGCGCCCAACTCGTAAAGGGCAAAACATAATTGGCGTACGAAATCTGCACTGGACCGGACTTTGCTCGTTCGCCCGCAGGATCGTGCGGAGGCGTCGAGTTCGCCCATCGCTTGCTCGCATCTGCAGAATGGAACGTCGTCGACCTGTCATAGTACTTTGAGAAGTTCTCCCACTCAAAACTCGCATCGCCCACGTTCTCCGCCCACAGCTTATAACTCCCCTTTGTCGCGCGGTGATAGATCATGTGATTCCTCGCCGAACTACCACCCAGCGTCCTTCCCCTTGTGTAGTGGATCTTCTTTCCGCCAATGCCTTCCTCCGGCTCAGTTTCAAACTCCCAGTCGACCAGCGGATTGACGTCTTCGAAGCCCAGACCTGCTCCAGCCCAGACGTAACGCGGGATCTGCGAGTTGTTTCCATTTTCCAGCTCATAGAAGCCGCCTGCTTCGATGACTGCGACGCTGTGTTCGCCGGACGCTGAGAGACGGTTAGCTACAGCGAGGCCTGCTGTTCCTCCGCCCACGATGACGTAGTCGAAGCTTGCGTTGAGACCTGGTATGCCAAAGGAAGAACCGAGGAGGTGTTGGCCGGAAATTGGATCTGTCGGGGATGAGAATGCTGGTGCGAAAAGAGACGCAGACCAGAGGAGCGAGGTGAGGAGAACGCTGGTCCGCCCTCGAGAAGGATGTGTTGGGGGCCAGGACATGATTGCGAACTACACTCCGCGCTGAGGCTTCTGAGGGGGCAGCTGCATTGGAGGTATTTGTATGAATAGGCTTAGTTATAAAATTATACTTTTGACAGACTTCTCCGACCGCACCTGCATATGCGCATCGTGTTTTCTTCCGAAGAACTTCCATTATGAGATGCGCCGGCCGATCTAGATCCTATTGAACATACCTGCGGGGGCGGATAAGCCCCGGAAGTGTGTTAGCGAAATGTAGTCAGCCCTTAACGTGCAGGGTTTCTCGGGGAGTGGTACTTTCAGGTTGTTGGTGCTACGTCAAATCGCGCTTTCGGGGTTGGACATGGCTACTTTTTGAAAAGATGAGACATACCCTACCTCATTAGCTACTAATACTTTTTTCCGCGTCTCAGGAGAGATCGAGAGGCAGAAGGTTCACCTAAATGCAAGCATTTCTTGTTCAGTTGTAGATGCTTGCTTGTCGCTATTAGCCGGACCAAACAGATTCCTTACCTGCAGCAACCTGCAGAAAATAGCAACGTGTACCTGGTACTGCGGAAGTTGACATGGATGCGGAGGATATGGATCTCACGCCTCGTAAGTGGGAGCATGAATATCTAAAAGTTGTGCAGCTACTATCGCTACTCAGGAAGAGATTTGAGCAAAAAGTCAATATTGGACGTTATGTCAGATTAGTTCGGACCTGGGGAGAAGCATCTCAGAATCCTCCAGAGTCCTTATAGCAAGAGCAATAAGTTCAGGCGGTAAAAAAACGGTACTGGATTCTGCATCAGTCGATCTCTGCGAAGGCAGTTAGTCTATTCGGTATTTTCCTGTATTGGAATTATAGCTACGCTTTATAGCGTGAGAAGTTTCGTCTTCGAGAATGACAGGCAGTCTTCGGTAGGGTATTATCGGATTATCGGAGCGACACAGAAGGCGGGCGGTGGCGTCAAGCGTTTTCGAGTAGAGCTGCTTACAGAAGCAAAAAGCTCAGCAGTGTCCTGCTCAACTCCCTGATGTACCTCTTCTACTCCTAACGCTCAACGTCCTTGTGCCCTTGCATGCACCAAGGGCTATATTTCGGATACGAATGGGTTGAGAAGGCTTCCACCGGGCATCGTGGCGGTGTCGTGTAGCGAGGGAAAGGATCACAAGCTCTAGAAATGGACACGGCGTCGCTTATCATACTCTCTGGCGTCGGTTGGTGCTGCACCTGGGCGGGCAAGTGTACAGAGCGGGGATGGTGCGACGAAATCAGCGCCAAGCCACTAGGCCGATTCAATGACTACGCTTCAGACCTCACCGCAATGTCTCCAACGTTTATCGAACTATTAAATATCGCTGGCCTGGTTTATTTGCGTTGGATCGATTGCGGTCGAATGATTT